CTAAATTAGATATTCGACAAGCGTTCCATTATATTCATATGAATTCAGTTTTCGAAGAATATATTACTTTTCGCATTCGATATGGTTTTTATAAATACAAAGTTTTATTTTTTGAATTAATAAATGGCTCTACAACTTATCAACAATATATGAACAATATTCTATTTGATTATTTAGATGACTTTTATATTGCTTACCTTAATAATATTCTTATATATTCTGAAAACGAAAATAAATATAAGAAATATATCAAGTATATTCTCGAACAACTTGAGTCTGCTGGTCTTTAGGCAAACCTTAAGAAATATAAATTCAATATTAAATATATAAAGTATTTAGATTTTATTATCTTTATAAATAGTATATAAATCGATCCAGAAAAGATTAAAGTAATTGCTATTTGGACTTACCCTATTATTATAAAGGATATTCAATTATTCTTAGGTTTTTATAACTTTTATCGCTAATTTATTAAGGATTATAATATAATAATAAAACCTTTTTATAAACTTACAAAAGCAAATATCAAATTCCATTTTAATAAAATCTATCAAATTGTATTTGATATATTCAAAGACAGATTTATCTCCACTTCTCTCCTACAGTATTATAACTATACACTACCCTGTATACTAAAAACCAATATATCCGATAATGTAGTCACTAATATGCTATTTCAGAAGTATGGCAATAAATGGTTATTAATTATCTACTTTTCGAAAATGATAATTATTGTTAAATTGAATTATAAAGTTTATAATAAAGAAATACTTGCGATCATCAAATCCCTAGGCTATTAGAAAGCCGAACTTATCGGATCCTTATATCAGATCAAAGTGTATACTGATTATAAAGTGCTCGAGTACTTTATATCTATTAAACAGCTAAATACTCGATAAACATACTAAACAAAATTACTCGCTAATTATAATTTTATTATTATATACCATACTGAAAAGAACAATCCATTTATAAATGTGCTTATATATTGTATTAACAAGTTGGATTAACAGAATAATATTAAGAAAAAGAATTGTTTTTAGTAGCTTATAAAAGATAATCAAATGGATACAAAGATTATATACAAATCTTTACAACAAGACCTGAATATAGTTGTAAATATCAATATATATATAATAACATTGCTTTTCGATATTATAAATCGCATTATTGAAGCAAATAGATTCTATCCAAGTTTAGAAGCTCTGTATATTCAGATTACCAAATCGTATAAGTATTTTATACTCGAAAAAGAACTCTTATTTTATAATAATCGACTTTATATACCGGATATTGAAAATCTGTAAACCTATTTGATTTGCAAAGTTTATAATTCAGTTTCTATTATATATCTTAATATTAAAAAGATCTATACTCTCTTGACTAATCAATACTATTAGAAGAATATAAACAATATAATCGACCAATATATACAGAATTGCTACAAATACAAATGCAGCTCTATACCAAGAGATTGCATTCCCGATCTTCTTTATTTGCTCCTAATCCTTATATGAATATAATAATATATCACTATGGACTATTGTAATTTCAATAAGGATAAATATAGTTATAATAATGTATTTATTATTATTAACCAATTAATTAAATAAGCTATTTCGATATTCTATTATAAATCAATCGATTCAAAAGATCAGGCCTGCTTATATCTATACTATGTATATAGATACTACAGTGTCCTAAAGATTATAATCTCTAATTGTGATTCTCAATTTATATTCAAATTCTAATAAGAATTCAATAATATTTTAGAAATATAAGTCAAGTTATCTATTATTCACTATTTGCAAACTAATGATCAAACTGAGATTTATAATTAATATCTTCAATAATACTTACAATTCTTTATAAGTTATTATTAAGATAATTAATCTGAATTTCTATTAATAATAAATTATACTCAATTCATATTTCTCTATAAATCATTAAGCGGTCAAACCCTATACAAGACCTTATATGGCTACCTACCCCACAATCCCTAAGATTGAAAACCCGACTCCACCACACCTATCAATAATTTGAATATAATCAATACTAAAGAGTATGCCAAATATAATAAACTAGTATTCGATTAAACAAAAGAAAATATCTTGTATATACAAGAAAAGATATCTCGATCAATCAATTTGTATCACTACTCAATCGATTTTGATATAGAAAACTATATATAATTTAATATAAGGGACTTTCCAATATAACGACTATTCAAAAAACTGGATTATTTTATTTAAAAGAAATTCAAGATTATTGGTCGGGCTAGAGATTTCTTTTAATTAAACTTATTGCCTATTATGAAAATCTATTCTGTATTTTTATCTAATAAGCTTTATAAAGTGGTAGATAATCTACTTTCTAAATAAATTCTCGAATTACTACTTTCAATAAATATTACTGATAATATTGAATGGGAAGTGGAGTGTATTCTAGTTATAAAGAAAGTATGCCGATAGTTTAAGTATAAAGTATTGTAACTGAATATCAATAACGATTTTACCTGGTATTCTATCTTTAACTTAAAAATTGCCTTACACTATTTCTGTGACTTTTATTTACAAAATCCTATTCTACCAGAATCCTCTGTATATCTATCAGAGTGGATTCGCTTTTATAAGAATAGAAAGGATAATTATGATTTTATAGATAATAATTAATATATAAATAAAAAAGATAGAAAGAACTTTTTTAATTTATTATTATAACAAAAAAAATCCTAATTGTATAAGAGGCTAAAAGCGATTGAATAAAGATAAAATATCAATAAAGAAAATCTTTTCCTTTATTTAATAGATTTAAATCAAGTTAGAAAGAAAGCCTCTATGAATATTAATAATTATGATTAGGCGAGGTATAATAGTAAAGATTAAATAATTTAAATCAAAATATTAGTCGAGTTCTTAGTCAATAGCAATAATAAATATATACAGAACAATTATAAGCCAAAAGATAAGACAACTCTTAGTCGTAATATATGCGATAACAAGACCGAGCTGATATTTAATTATATTTAACCATTTGCGAGCTATCAAAAGCTTTACTTCTATTTGAATTATAACAAACTAATACTATTACTCCAATTTATCTTCCTATATTATAATCTTTACTATACAATATTTTGTGGCTTTTTGAGTAAGGATAAAAGGAAGCATTTCTTTCGAAATACAATTCTTTAGCTTCTCCTATATATCAAGCTATCTTAAAAATTAATTTTGCTAAAAGCTAGCAAAATTGTAATTTATTTTTATTATATTACTATATTCAGCAATAGCCAATTGATATTAAAGAAATATTTTATACATATCCCTATCAGACAAATACTTATACTTATACTTGCTAGCTAGATAAAGTAGATAGCGAGATTGACCAAACAATTGTTCAGAAAGTCAATAGCAAATACTATCTCTTTTACTAGAAACACAATTATATATATAGTCAGCACAAATCCAATTATCCTTCTGAATATATTATTTCTATTATAATACTATCTTTTTTGATAATCTCTTACTTAGAGATCCTTATTTATCGATATCAATAAAGCCAACGCTTTTATAACAAGGTATATTGAATTTGCGATTAGATTGATTTTAATATAAAGCCTTTAGAATATCTTCTTTAACTATTTCACTATTATTTTTGAGATTACAAAAATGATATATCACTATAATCAATTTGTTAGCGAACTTCTTTTTATAATTATTAATATAATCAATTAAGGGATTATATTTTTCCTTTAAATTCTATTTCGGAAAATAATAAAACAAATATATCCAATAAGCATATTGAAGATCGACCCTACCCTTAGGTATATTGTTTTTAATATCTGTAATCATACTTGTTAAATAAGTCGACTATAAGCTGGAAATATCAAAAAAAAGTTTTACTTATATATATCTTTATTATTTAATTTATCTTTTTCATTATTCTTTTTCTTGCTGATAGGATTATTACTATTTCTATTATAACTCAACTCCTCCTTTTTCTCAATAAAATACTTACTTTGTATAACAGAAAAGACAGATGCTCTCTTTACTATAAACTATAAAGAAATATATCAATAAAGCAAATACAAAAGAAAAATAAATAACTTATTACCATACACATATCCTTTTACTACTTTAGCTATACTAATAATAACTTACTCTTACTATTATATTTTCTTAATAATATAAAAGATATATTAATTATTAATTAAGAAATATAAAGAAAATAAATAATCAAAAAAGATTTGAAAAAAAAAGGAAAATTCAGACGATCTATATATTTCAAAGGCTTTGCACTATTACTAGACTATAAAACAGTTTTCTCCATTTCCCATATATCTTCTTATTACAAAAAAAGCAAAATTTGTATATATACTTATTTATTATATTATATTATAATGTAAATAATAATATTTTATTAGGATTGCCAATGTATTTACAGATTAAATAATTGTGAAGCTTGAAGATAAGCTTTTTCAAAAGGAAAGATAATATTATAGATCGCATTCAATTACAGTTGCGATTACTTACATGCACACTTGCGCACATATACAATTATATGTATATAGCTAGTATATAGAAGCGCTCTACAAGCGCTTTGCTCCCAATTCTATAGTTATAGATTCTAAGGATAAATTGTACCCTGCTCTCGCAGTTCTTCTAAGGCAAAGTGTCATAATAAACAAGTAAATACAAAACAATACAATAAATATACTAACCATCCTAAATAAACCTCTATCCACCTACCTCCCTTTCTACATATTCAATTTCTCCCCTCCCCTCCCCCCCTTTTCCCCAACTATACTATCTATTTATCTATTCATTCATCATTCAATCCAATCCCAAAACTACAAGTAAACCCAATTTTACAGTTATAATATATAATATAGTCAATAGATACATATATAGAAGGTATAAATGCATACTTACATACATACATACCATACCTATCCTCTCTCAAAGTCCGAATTCGAATCATCCAGCTATCATTTATTTACATAGCTAGCTAGCTAACTAGTAAGTAAATAAGTAAGTACTCAGTAAGATGGAATGAGAAACTTATATATATATACACTCACACTCACTCACTCACTCACTCACTCACCCACTCAATCTCCATTTGACATTTTCAAAAGAAAGAAAGAAAACATTTAATTTCCACAAACAAATTCTCATCTCACCCAAATGAAATTGATTCCTTGCGCATACATGTTACACACATTGTAAGATTTAATATTTCTCGACGAAGAGTCTTCTTTTTTATTTCACTTCACTTCACTTCACTGGATTCTCAATATACCCACTTACCTTTCTTTACATATACAATTCATTCCTCAGAACTCACATGCACATTCAAATTCCACACATTCGAAGTAAATAGTTTCAGCTTCTTCCCGTAATTAATATAATACACTTTCCATACCTCATGCCTCCAAGCAACATCACCACCACCAGTCAAAGTACTAAGATCCCCCATAATCCCAAACATAAAGCAAACACCGACATACACCTCATCCCATTCATAGTTGTGTACTTTCGTCAAGTGCTCAACCATTTTGAACGCCGTAGCGAACTGCGGCGGTTCAGTTTCTTCCTCGTCGCCTTCGTTCGTCATTTCACAAATTGGACGACTCAACTTCACACTCCCGCTGTAGCCTCAATTCATTGGCAACAGTTCTTTTCAAGATACTCAGTCGACTATGATAATCTGTGCTCAAGTGGATATCAAGCTCACGGAGACGCCAGGATTTCTCCTTCTTCTCCACAGGAGCTGTGTCGTCTAACAGACATAGGTGGCACCGGTGGCTCGATCCAGAATTGTTCGTGACAGTTTTAACTACTGTGGCTTCGGTCTCGGTCTGACTCGTCGGTAGTTTCTTCCCTGGTAAGTATATGGTGCCTTCTCCAGCCTTGATGAAAGGAGAGAACTGGGAGATCCGATCCTTGAGTTGGAATCTCTCCACTTCGTTTTCCGGCTCCTCAGGCTGAATGATTATATTATCGGGCAGACCTTTCTAGGCTTCGGGCATCTCTCTTGGATCACTTTCAATCTCTTTTTCCGCATCATCTATTTCTTGGGTTGGATCTTCATCCACTTCGAGATATCTCACCATATCGATCAACCGTTCTCCCGATGGTGTCAGGTTCATTGCATCGTCGGCCTGGTCGATAATTTTCTGGATATGCTGAGCTCTCTTGCCATGACTATCCTGGGTGGCCAATTCCTGTGCTTCTCTAGTCTCCTCGAGCTGTCTCGTTTCAACGATGGCCGTCTTCGGGAAAAAGTAAATAGTTGAAGCATTGGAAAAAGCCCAGTGTCGACAGCATGGCTTTTTTTGATTGTCGATCGAAGATAGAGCCTGGTAGCTATTTTCTTGAAGATATGGTCGGTTAATTCACTCTTTCTTGATTGGTTGTAAAAAGATCGGAGTTGTTTGAATCCAGAAGATTAATAATTAATTCATTCACCTCTGGTAAAATAAAAAGTCTTGTTTGTGTGTAAAGGTTGAAGAAACAAATGAGGAAGGGGGGGCGGAAGAGGGGCAATCTCGACCCCACCACATATACTAGCCGGAGCTCGGACCCAAAACGATAAGCGCACAGGCGCACCGCATACTTTTTTATACACGGGCAAAATGTAAACCTCCAAAACTGTCTTGTCTGAGGTCTACCTGAACGTCAAAAATGAAAACTGCAAAACGAATGCGCAAATGTGATAACTGAGGGATTCGAACCCTCGCTCTTTCGAACCAGTAAGATAGATGAATCAGGTCAGCCTGAAACTGGCGCCATAACCACTCGGCCAAGTTACCGCTTTCGTCGATGTAGTTTCGCGCTGATTTGGTGTATATATTGCCATGTTTTGATGGTTGAAATCGTTAATACAACTTTTAACCTCCCGACGACTTTTCGGGTCTAAAATTTTGGGACTCATTTCTTCTCGGAAAACATTATGGTATCCATCTCCAGCTGGCATTCCATTCTCCATATAAGAATCTGTTTTCCATAATCCGAAGAAGAATACTGATTGTAAATCTATATCTGAAGGCTAGAAAAGACATTTTCCCCTAGTTTGGAAAACACAATACCCTCTCTAGGTTTGCTCACTACAGCCACATCACATCTAAACCACTATAATATCACCGCATACCTATACATAAATTCACCCAAATTCCAATAAAGCATACAAATTCAAGTGAATTCACACATACGACAAAAACAACAACAATCCCAAAAATCAATAGACCCAATAATTGCTGACTGTATTTCCAAAACAACAACTTGGAAAGACATGTTACCAACCAAGCGTCAGCCAACACCCCCAATTCCAATCCCCCATGTTCTTATAAACTGCCATTCCATCTCGAAATTCAAACCCTCACACACACCATCTAATCTAAACAATCCCATCATAACCATCTAAAATAACCCTCCCTCAGAGTCAAAATGCCCTGACCATTCTCTCCCAACTATCCCGAAAAAGCCCCCGAATATGCAAATGAGAAAGAATACGACTACATAATAATCGGAGGTATGTTTTCCTCTCCTCTCCCCCTTAACTCCACTCCCCACAGGCGGAACCTCCGGGTGCGTTCTCGCTTCCCATCTCAGCAGCTCCACCACCCATAAGATTCTCCTCCTCAAACATGGCCCTGCAAATGATACCTATCTCTCGTATCCCACTTCTTTCATCTAATATATATGACCCCTCTTCAGACGCTAAATCCCGGTTTTGTTCTCCGATGAAATACTGTAATGATCGGGAATCTTTAGTCTTCCGAGCCGAAGTACTAGGTGGGTAGTAGAGTTAACAATAAAGTATATACTCGTGGAACAAAAGGAGATTATGAGGGATGGAAGGAGATGGGATGTGAAGGATGGGGATGAAAAGAAGTAGAGCCTTATTTTCAGAGAGTGGAGAAAGTTGTAGGAGAAGATATTAAGGAGACGAAAGAGCGCGGGAGGGGAACGCAGGGACAGTGGGTTATGAAATCTTTTGGGTATGAGGAGTGGGGATGGAGATGTTTGAGAGTGTGAGAAATGTATTCTTGTTTCGCCTGGGAGAGTAACTTGCTAATTGTATCTATCATGATAGGTTTACTGATGCAGCTGATAAAATGGGATTCTCTCGAATTCCAGATACTACTGTGGAAGATGCATCGGTCGATGGATTAGCTATGATATACAGTACAGTTACCGAAGATAGAAAACGAAATTCCACTTTCCATTCTTCTCTTCCGAGAGAAATTGCTCTTGAGCGAGAAAAGCATTTGACCATGTATACTGACACTACTGTACATCGAATTGAATTTTCAAACGGCAATGGAATTCCTCGTGCGAATAAGGTTATCTTTGGAAGCACTGATCCAACATCTACGAAGAATTTCGAGGCCAAAGTAAAGAAAGAAGTAATTATTTGCTCTGGTGCGCTGGGTTCGCCGCAAGTGTTGATGTTGAGGTAAGCTAGGATTTCGTCTCAAAGCTTAAGTAATGGATTCTGATCTAACAATAATATCTTCAGCGGCATTGGTCCTCGTCAACATCTCGAAGAACACAATATCAAAGTCATCCACGACCTACCGGGAGTGGGTTCCAATTTCGTATGTACTCTCAACATACCCAGGACAAAAGACTCACCATTATTAACCATAACCCTCAGACCGATCATCCAAGTATTCCAAATCCCAATTTCAGAATGCATTATTCAAGTCGCTGTATCCCCCTTAAAAGCCATTCTCGAATTCGTCCAATATCTTCTCTTTGGAACCGATATCATGAGTTTACCATCTCAAACACTCAGTTTGTTCATCCGATCTCAATCTCTCAATAAAGATGCCAGCGGACCACACATCAAAGATTCCTTACCCCAGAATATCGAACCTATTCCCACAGAAACATCTCCTCTTCATCCCTCAAAATCCCAAAATCTAGTCCCGGATACCGAATTAGTACCACTCGCCGTAAGCGCCATGGACGATATGTAAGAACACCAATCGACAATTTCCAAAATGGGAATCTTTTGCATCCTCGCTGTAATCTGCAATCCCCTATCTCGCGGCAGCGTACGACTTAGATCCTCACCCGCGCATGCCTTTCCCGCCGTCGATTTCGGCATCTTTTCCAATCCAAGCGATATGATCCTCGCCCGACGCGCCGTCCATCTCGCCCTTGCCTTCGGCAAAACCATGCGCTCTGCCGGATTTCCTCTCCTCCGTCCCGTCACCTTCTCATCCGAGTCCCAAGATCTCGATGTCGAGAATGGAAATCACGAAGAAATGGATAAGTTCTTACGTCACAGAGTACGAAATACGTTCCACTATTCATCGACATGTCGCATGGGTTCTGAAAGCCGATGAAAATGCTCCTGGGGTGGTAGATAACGGATTGCGTGTCCATGGGGTGAAAGGTGTGAGAATTGCAGATGCGAGTGTTTTCCCTAAGATTGTGAGTCATCATACTATGGCTCCTGCGGCAATGGTTGCGACAAGATGTGCCGGTTTCGTGGTGGATGCGCAGAAGTATAGTTAAGATCGAGTGGGGAGGTTTTATTCATGCAAAGGATCAGCGATCTGGTCTTGAGAATAGAGTGTATCGCGATCTAGATGTGTTTCAAGAGGATTTGTAGAAGTAACATGAGGTCATTTTTAAGATATCAGATCGCGATTATGCATCTGCGACAAGCGCATTCCTGACAAAGTTCGATCGTGGCTGTAAGGTTCGATGGTGGTGGTAGCTCGATGTCATCTTGCGTCTTGGATCTTTTATCTCTGAGTCATCATCATCGTTGAATCATCGATGATCGTTCAAAAGAATCTTCCCACTCAGTATGCACAGTTGTATCCACATTGCAAGTACACATATCCACTCTCTCTGCAGTGTTTGAGAAAGAAGCTCCACACAACCATCTCGGCGCATAGACTCGAAGAGGTGATGAACTACGCTGACGTAAGAACAACTGATTTCGGGAAGCAACCGTAGACATTGTTCCGTGAGGCTCAATCAGAATCTAGATAGCTGATGTTCTCCATCAAAGCCCTGCAGCCATGGCACTCAACAAGATCAACGCCGCGCCCCGAGCTTCGGATAGTTCCGATTTCTATCAATGTCGTCAATCTCAACAGGTCAGCCAAAAGAAAGCAACGGTGAGACCGCGACACCCAGTCTAGTCCATCCATCTTCAATACCCTATCCCGCCGTCTTCAAAATCATGACCCCCGTGTTCCAGAACCATTACCATCAAATGTAGTACAACCATAGGCTATTGCTGACAGCATTTCATCCTCCCTTACCAGCTTCTGCCTATAACACACAGCCTATCTTTTCGGTGAACCGGTACACAGCAAGACCCTTCAACCTAGTTACACCGAGTTCACGCTACTCCGCTTCCCAATGCCCACATCATAAGGCGAGATAGATAGGCGTTGGAAATACTAGGATGAAGGGTGAAGCGGAGACGCAAATATACTCTCCGTATGCATGGAGGGTACGATACTAAGAGTGCTGGACGAACTGGTGTGGGTGGAGAGACTGCTCTTCCATTTCCATCTTCCAATGAACTTCTTCCACCTCAGAATTCCAAGGGGTAGGTATCCAGAGTATACTGTGCACATCCAAATCCATCCTACCAAGCCTTTCCATCCAACCCAGCTGAAGATCCCACACTCGTAGCACCACCCGCCGAACCCGCAACTCGGGTCCGATAAGCCCCTTTGAAAAACGATTTTCCGGGCCGATGATCAAATCACAAATTCACAATTCGTACGATCGGTACGATTCTCAAAAAACTCAATTCGGATCGAAAAAGTATTATGGGGGCAGAGTATAAATGTTCCGTTAAAGAATTTTGCGCGCGGGATGTTGGGGGTGTTCGCCGGGGAAGTTTTGTTGGGGGTGCCGAGTGATGGATGAAATAAAGCACGGATTTCCAAGCGAGGACTGAGGTGCACGTGAATGGTTGCGCTCCCCCCGAGTGTTTGATCGTGGCAGGTGATTCAGCTCAATTTCTTAAAACGCCTTCAGAATTTAAATTACCAATCCAATTTGAGATATTGCTGTCAAGTAACAATAAAAACACATGCACTGCATAACAGGTGACACCAATTCCCAATAATAATATTTCGCCACCCCCAGATCCGCATTCGAAAGAGAGGACATGTGAAAATACTACTCGACAAGCGAATTAAATCCCAACTCATCTTCTGGCCGACGCCTCTACCCTGTCTAGATCTCATCTCATAATATCCCACGCTTTTGCTCTCGGGATCCCTCGCTTTCGTTTTAGCCTTATCATCAGATACCTAGTCCGCATCCGCATATGCAACTGCAAAAATGCCTCCCTCTATCCTTTCCCATAAGTTATAACACATCCCCAACCTATCACTCATCCCCTATCAAAAAACATATCAAAAACACTCAACCCATACTCAAGACAAGCATCCGATAGACTATCCTCCTATCATCTCAGTACCCACGCCCCGCAATCTCTCACGAGGTTGACTCGGGTCCAGCATGCTGCAGCTTTGTTTCCACCACCACCGAATCTCTTCTTGGCTCTCCTCACTCATTGGTCTTTGACTTCAAAGTGGCAAGTAAGCCCAGTCTTTCCGACAGGCACCATTGTATCACTTGTCCCAATTCCCTTACCCCGCATTCAATAGCGCTGACTGCAGCTGCTATGTATGTACGTGGATTGTCTGTTTGGGTGTTTGTGCTGGTGGATGGGGGTCGCCAGTCGTAATAGTACCCGGCAACGACACCGTGGCTAAGCTTTAAACAAAGAAAAAAATTGGAGAGATAAAAAAGATAATATTCGAAGTCGACAGCACATGAATACATTGCATTGAAGAGGTAGATATATGTGTAAATTATGTATTTGTAAAGATTTCAAAGGCAAAATTCCACAACGCCTAGCTGAGGATATACTTCATAATAAGTGATACAGAGATAGGAAAACTCGTAATACATGTAACAATTGAGAAAGAGACTCAAACCCAAAGTTTACGGAATAAAGTCAGGCGGTGACATTTGTTTCCATGGCCAGTGAATCTCGCGCATAACATCAAAAGAACAACCCATTCTCCCTGAATCCTCCCAAGCTCCTCTTCTTGCCTGTTTACCCTCATCTCCTGCTGGCCAAATTTGCTTTGCTTTGCCCCATAACCTTACACCTGATTGTCCGTCCACCCAACGATCAATGTCGTATTTGAAGAAGAAGAAATGATCGAGCATAGGTAGACGTGGTGCTGGCTGTTGAACAAACATATCTTCTTTCTCTTCACCCTCCAGATAAGATAGTCTACCATCAACTGATAGAGTACCAAACCATGCCTCACTTAATTCTTGTAGAACTTCTCCAGGAGATCCAGTAGACACCTTTAGCATTCTTTGAGGGAAGCCATTACCGTTAGGAAGTGCGCAGCCTGTGTTGATATCCAATTCCTTCTTGACGTGAGACAGGTAACCATCCTTTCCGCCCGCTTCTTCCAACGCTTTGATGTTTGATCGGACCAAGTTATGCCAATGGTCATTTGATCCGCCTCTAAGTCTCCAGTAGAGTAGTCTTGCGAAACCACTGTGCCCATACCCGTCGTAATTACCCCATGGGTCTTCCCCGAGACTCATATGTAGTTTTATTCTCTTTAGGTTTGGCCATCGTGCTAGATCCTTCAATTGGTATTCGAATGGAACAAGCGAAGGACTGTCTTCGGATAATTCAGACTTCCTGCGGAAAGCTGAACGACCTAATATATCTATCTTGAGTTCGACCGAGGTAGCCATCGAGGCTATCGAACCTGGCAGTCTGCCGAGTATAGGGTGATCGATATATGTTCGAGGAAGAATGCCATCGAGAATGAGTGAGTTCTGCTCCCAGAAGACAACTTTAGCTTCATGGTAAATTTGACGACAGGTTCGTAAAAAGGAAAGGCGTATGGTTTCGCCGTGAGATTTGGAGCGGATGGTATATGGGGGCTTTCCAGCTGCTGAATATTCTTCTTGAGGGTAATCGGGGTCATTGACCACGCTTTCGGATAGATACACACTTCTGGAGTGGGATGATAGAACATATCCGTATATTTGATCGCGAATCTCTCTTGGGAGAGTATCTAAAAATGTACGAGCCATTGTGACGTTGATTCACCAAGGTGAGGGAGAGATAAAGAGTTGTTTGGATTAAAAGACAATAAAGACAATATATAATGGTGCAACCGAAAGTAGTAGATATATCAATGTGAAGATATTTTCAATGGTCTTCTTTGCGTGTAGCGGTGTGAATATGTAAACTGTACAAGATGAAGTGGTATGAGGATTCAAAGGTCTGGTGATACAGGATACTTATATAGTAGTGGTCCAAGTGTTGTTAGATGCTGTCGGAGAGTGTTGTTAGATCGACAGATATGCTTGCATGACCCTCTGGGATTCCAGGATCTCTAGAAGGAAAGGTTGTCAAGGGTATGGTGGGATTCCCGGATAAAGCCTTGTCTGTGGAAGAAGCAAAATCGTCGGTAAATGTCAAAATAATGTGGTGCCAGGGGGAAAGCTCGCTCACATCATTCTATGTCAGCCCACCGTACAAGGTTCTTCAAATCGGAATAGAGTCTTTTTTCTTTCTGAATGTAGGGTCCACTAGGTTCTTGGAGAAATGTGAGTAGGGTCCTCTAACTTTCTGCAAAGACAACTCTTTTTATACAAGAACGCGTTGGTGTAGACAAGTGTTACGTCTCGGCGATGTCCAACAGTTGGATGAAAACTTCGGAGATGTAACGATCAAATTCTCGTGGGGCTCAGACTCGTTAGAATGAAATAGATTACAGAGGAAATTCAATGGTAATTCATCTTGGTATCTCATTGGTATCTCCATACTAAATATAGATTAGTGACATGTTCTGCCCCGAATTCCAAGGCGATTAGATGCACTTACAACCGTAATGATTTGAATATACGCCGACATGTCTTTCCCATGAAAACACATCGGCTTTTAAAGGAGGTGTACATAGTACCTAGGGAGCTTTTCTAATTTTCCTCCATATTCCTTGTAATTTTCCCCAGATTTCTTCCACCGCTCCTCAAGAATGTAATTTGATGATTAGAAATCATTCATGTATCTACCATTCATGTGGCACAATATCGTCACCTGCACTCGTTCAATCGCCCCCTTCTCTACCACTGGGACTACGTGATCGGCTCCTGGCTCTACCTTTGGCAGGTGCCCGACCTCCTCTACCCTTTCCTCCTGGTGGCGGTCTAACAAATGCAAAGTCCACCTCAACAGTCTGTTCCAGCAACTTGGTGTTATGCGCACCGTCAATAGCGGCCCTTGCCTCGTCCAATGTTGGGTATTCGATCAATGCGTAGCCCTACTTGCAGACATTTTGTGTTAGCTGTCCGAAATTGTCTTACAAATCCCCAAGGCGAGAATGCTAAATTGATCCGAGAGCTTCCATGCAAAAGACGTAATCGTATGAGCTCACCTTGACGTATCCAGTTCTTCTGTCGAGGTTCAAATGAAGATTCTTGATCTCTCCAAAGTCTGCGAATTTGTCATTCAAGTCCTCCTCACTAGCTTCTTCATGTACATTGGTGACGATGATGATCCAGCCTTCGATAGATCGTACCGCTGTCGCATTTGAATGAGTTGTCATCGAGGCATTCTTGGTGTCATTTCGTTGCTCTTGTGGTGATGAAGGCGCATCGACATCCATTTCGGTATCGGCCATGATGATGGTGTTTTGAGAAGGGATACGGGTTATCGTCGAGGAAGAGTGCGACGTTGAGGGATCGTGGTAAGGTTGACGGGTTGAGGGTTGACGGGTGGTGGGATGATTTGTAGGTTGAGGTTGTTTTGTTTGGAATGTTTGGAAATTAAAGTTCGCGAGATTCGATTTCCTCTACGCTATCAGGAATGCCTATCATGTTTGATAATTCATCACCTCACCACCCATTGCAAATATTGAATAATTGAATACACAACGACGACAACTTAATTAAATTAACTAAAAATTTATATTATATTTACTCGATTAAAAGTTACCTACACACATAAGAAAACAATGTCTATTGCTATACATGATTATATATTTCTCCTCTTTCTTTCCTTCCTCTAATCTTGTTGTCGTTTCCGGTCAAGACGTAAGGTAAGATCTTGCATCTCAACCAAAGTCTACTCGACATTGAACGAAGGCATGAATTTACCTCATTGTCCTGTACATGTTCGTCATAGCTAGTGTGCTTGCTGTCGCCTCAATAGGTCGACTTCCACCGAACCATGGAACATCACGATAAAGACATGGATTCGACAGCAATGCCAGGCATTATGTTTAAGTGGCTCGTCGCATTGCTATACATCAATGTAACCTTCGCTGAGCTCAAAGGTTTGGGCATTTTTTGGGACAACGAATAATTTCCCCGGTTGATTATCCTTATTCCACATGCGGTCGCTCAACAAAACCCACAAGACGATGAACGTGTGATGCATCACTCCGGACTTCCTGCAGCCATTAACTTACCCACGACACCAGCCGACAGAATCCTGACGTGAACCGACACTTCTGCTCTAAGGGAAAAAGAGAAAAGACATAAACACTCAGTGCCCAATACCTCCTGCGTGCTGATCCAAATCCAGTTCTATCCACCTTCATCGAAAGCATGAAACGCAACGATCTGAGCCATCTGAAGAGATTCGATCAGTGAAAAACGTGCGTCAAAACAAGACACCAGCCAGCCATGACGTGGAAATGGGACAACATCTCGAATGCTTTAACGCCCGCATCAAAATGAATGTGGTGCCAACACTCAGTACCTATTTCGGCGTTAAAATGTGAATATCACGGCGTTAAGAGTTCCACCAGTCCGCTATTTTCTGCGGGGCTGCGCACAACGTACTATCCACTCAGAATCACTGCCCAGCTACCAGCCACAAACTTATTAATGAAAGCACTTCCAAGGTTCTTTCAAATCATCCAAAGTCGTGGAACCAAAAGAAATGGCAAAATGTTTCTCACGACATGTGCAGGATTTGAACCTACGAGGCCGAAACCATAAGATAACCGAATTATTCATTCAAGTCTTACCCATTAACCACTCTGGCAACATGCCCAGTCAAAGATTGTGTACGATGTATGAAGATACTTTCCCAGCAACCAATATATATCACACTGCGCCATGGGTGGAATGTTGCGGCCTGGAAAGAACAATCAAGTAAGCCGGCATTGTTGCCGCGAGCTTCTACTCGATGCCTTAATCAAAATAGCGCGTTCTGGGCTAAGTTCATGAGACGAGCACAACACCATGACATGAGAATTGACAAGATTTTTGTGAAGGGACGGACACCAGGCATTGTGAGAAGCAAAAGTAGGCTGTCATTCATGGTAACACGCGCCAACATATCTCCTTCACCAGATACGTGTCACAAAGGATGGTGAATAGATAATATATGGTGACCCATTGCGCGGAAGAGAACCTCTGAATTTACGAAGTGGTCCTTGAGCTCGATGACCTTGATAGGTGAGCGGTCTGTACCGCCCGATGTTAAATGCAACGCCTATCCTTTTCAATGCGCCTACCACCCTCGCCAACCATTGTTTCTGACCAGGAAAATTTAAGGCCAGGTCAGCAGACCCCAAATCTCAGAAAAGAATTCATTCACTCTCGCCTGGATGAGCATATGTCACTACCCATGGCTTCAATAAGACTACCTTTGTCTCCGGCTCCTCGGCTGAGTATCTGACTAATGCACCCGAAAGAGCGTACGCAATAGTCCAGCCATTTGGTACAGCATACTTCTTGCAATCCTCCCTACGAACTTCAGATTGTATGTCTATCTCGTCATCGTTAAGCACGTCTCCTGGTAGAGGAACCTCGCAGCGGTACACATCTTTGTAATTCCTCAGCTTGATGGTAAACTTGAGGGCGTTCATGCAAAGTGTCTGCCAGCGACCCATGAGCTGATCTGTCTCATTCTGGGAGTGTTTTAGTAAGGGGTCTAAAAGCCACATCAATTCTTTAGCGACGTGGATGCAAGGGCCTGGTAGACGACTTGGGTTGACGGGTTGCAATAGTTTCGCACATTTCATTGTTGCGGTTCTCCATTCGGCGATTTCGTCGTGTTTGTCTAGAGGTGTCAGTACTCAAAATATATCTATTCAGAATGAAGGTAGATGGTGAGCGCAACATACCTGGGTGATTCTGATTGAGCACTGACTCGAAATTTCTCAGCCCAAGCTGCATATCCAAGCTCTCATCCATATCTTCAAGTCCAAAGAAAGGTTTGAGCAGCAGAGATTGATCCAAGCGGCCGAACACGAAAGCTCTCACTGCATTTTCTAATTCAAATCGTTCAAGACCAAGACTGAAAAGATTGGAAAGATAATTTTCGGCAATCTGTAAGGTCGGATTTCGACGTACTGGATGGACTCGCCTCATTGTATAGGAACTGTGAATGATGCGATGGATTTCTTCTCGTAGCCATTTAAATTCTTCGCAAACAACTATTTCGTTGATCTCCATTGGTGCATTTGATTTTTGAATGATTTCTCGAAATCTCATGGCTTTTTGTTTATGATATTCAATTTCTTCCTCGAGCGCTTCAAGCTTCTGTGGCAAGTCTACACAATTGGATGTCAAACGGTTCTGATTATTGGATGTTGTGAGCTCGTTACTCAGGGTGAGATTCTGTCTCTTTTGTATTTCGAAGTTTTCCAACAGATTTTGATGTTTTTGAGCTTGAGATTTCTGATCCATGACCACTGTGTTGTATTTATGCTCAAGTTTGTGAAGCTCGTCCTTTTTTGCTTGAAGTAAGCTTTTCGTACTGTCTAGATCTTCGAGAGTCTTCTCAGCAGCTGCTTCGCAAGATTTTCTCTGGTTGAAGCAGACGCTGATATCGTGCTGTAGCTTCTCGCACCTGGTGTTGAGTCCATTGTTTTCGCGAGTGAAATTTTCAAGCTGCTGCGAGAAAGCCTGGTTCTGAATTCTAGCCTGGTCTCTTTCTGGAAATAGACTATCCATTTTCTGTTTCAAGAGATTGATCTCAGCAGCAAGCTGTGTAAGGTCGTTGGTGTTGTGAAAGGTGACAGTCTTCCCTGCTATTTTCCTCGGCTATGACAATTAATCTTGGTCTGGGACAGTGGCTAGATTTTTTACTTACAAAAAGTCCATCATACAATCGACGAAAATAACAAGGCCGCCCCCTGATCCCATTATAATCTGTGGGTTCTTCTGTTTCTCGTCTGACGTGCAAATATGGATCGTCAAAAGGAAGTTGAGATTCCATGTTCTCCATCATCGAGTTGGTATTTAGCTCCTTGTATTAACTTGCGTAGTTCCGTGACTGCGGTTTGTAGTTCGTACCAAAGATATGCTCCTGCGAACGCGATATGAATCCGAGTTGTGTAAAACTACTTGTAAGCTAAGAACACGGCGCAGAAGGCCGACAGAGTGCATTGTCTCACATTTCTATTCTTCCATATCATTCTCAGAGCACGAAGAAGGTGAGTCCCATCTTCTAGATGTGCCATCGAATTTTTTAACAATTGTAGACTTGGCTGGAAGCTGCACCAGTTCAGCCAGCACACGTTGACGGAGTGAGTTATGGAGCAGAAATTTCATGATCAAAAAATCTGTGAGATTTGGAAGTTTGGAAGATTCTATTACGTTCGTCGCTGAATCTACTTTAGTAAGTTGCAGAATGTACCAACACACTAACAAAGAATTTATCTTAGACATGATATCCATAAATAGAGGTTTCGTCACAGTATGAAATCTTTTCTGTTTCTAATAGCAGTACACTGTGTATCTTCATATCAACAGCTTAGTACTGTAGTCCTTCTTGCGACACTTGTCACCATGGTCAACCAAATAGAGCAAGATAAGCCAACCAGTGGAATTTTGACACCCCCTAGAGATCAAAACACTTACAAATCTGACGAGCAAATCATTATCGCAATGGACTTTGGAACGACGTATAGCGGCGTTGCATTTGCATTTCTTCCAGGTGAGAACCCTAGGGTTCATGGTGTGGAAATGTGGCCAGGTAGGGCTTCTGATGTACTGCTCTCTTTGAAATTTCTAACCCAACGCAAAGGGCTTCTCTGCAAACAACCGAAAACCCCTACGATCATAAGCTATAAGAGAAATGCCGGAGGCTTTGCCTGGGGAGCTCAGAAACATAACGAACACCCGATACACGGAATCAAACTACTACTTGATCCTACACAGGAAATGCCATCCTATGCTTCCGCGTCGACTTTCAGACGCGACCTCGAGCGCTCGGGCAAGCCAGCCGTTGAAGTGGCAGCTGATTTTATGCGAGCCATTTACAAACACGCTATGGAAAGAATCGTGGCTGGTTGGCCTGAGGATTACATTCAAGATTGTGAAAAGAAATTTGTCCTTTCCGTGCCCGCTGTCTGGTCAGACAGGGCGAAAGACTTAACTTTGCAGGTTGGTATCTTCCGTGTACATGCGTTGGGAGGCTGACTGGTATTCTTCATACAGGCAGCTAGGAATGCGGGGTTTTATCCAGTGACTCTCGTCAAAGAACCGGAAGCAGCAGCATTATATGCGCTAACCGAATTCAAAGACAAGGCGCTATCGGTATGACTACACTCTTCCTTATAGGTCCCCGACTAACATCTCCTCTAGATCGGTGATGCAATCGTGATTTGCGATGCTGGTGGTGGTACAGTGGATCTCATATCATATGAGATCGTTAAATTGGATCCCAGGTTAGAGTTGAAAGAGCTCGTACCTGGTACCGGTAAGTCTTATTCTCGGCTGGTATGAACATTGGGCTGAACCGCACTGAGGCTGCATGGCAGGCTCATTGAATCTCAACAAAAGGTTTGAGGAAGTCCTGAGAGAACTGGTGGGGGAAGCTCAATTTCACGATCCCAAGAATGCTAAGGTTTTCGCGGATGCCTTTATGCAATTCGAGTCTACTGTCAAGCGAGTCTTCAATGGTAACCTTGCCGGTGACCAGCATATATTCAATTTTTTCATGGGAAATCTCCTCAACGGCGAAAAGATAGGCCTTGAGAACGATCATTGGACTTTGAAATGGTGAGGCTGTCTTCAGTCAGTAAATATCAACAGAGCTAATACGTTAACAGTTATGACTTAAAACTCATATTTGACCCTGTAATTGCAGATATCATAGTCAAGGTCAACAAGCAGGTGCAGGATGTTATAGCCAAGAGACTCGTGGAGAACCATCCAAAGGCGAAAACAATCAAGGTTATAAAGATAACCTACCTCGAAGTTTCTTGAAATTTTCAATAACCCTTTCTAGGCAATCATACTTGTAGGCGGTTTTGGTTGTTCGGGGTACCTCAAATCTCGACTTGATCAAGAGCACCCAACTATCCAAGTTATCCAGCCGCATGATGCTTGGTCCGCAATCGTCAAGTAAGTTCTCTAAGTGCAAGGAAGAAAGTTGCTGATACGCTGTAAGGGGTGCTGTCCTGACTCAGCTTCCGCAAAAAGTCATGGTAGTTTCAACACAGGCGACACGACACTATGGTATCACAGCTAGTAATATCTATCATGACATAGAAGATAAAGGCTATCCCAAGTTCATGGATGTATACGGAAAGTGGAGAACACGACGTGTAAGACAGAACAACTTCTCGCTCTGATTGTCTACTCACAAAACTAGATGACTTGGTACATACAGCGCGGAGACAATCTCCAACGACCACAGAAGATCCGCTTCTCGTTTTATCGAACTATTCACAGCATTTCGGATGAGAATCTTATATTCAGGGAACATCTTGAACACTGTGAAGTTGACAGTGCGCCTATCCGCCCCGATCCGACGGTCGCAGTAAATTGTAGCCTGCAAGTTGATCTGAGAAGCGTGGATCCAAAGACGTTCAGGGAGAAAACTGACAGGCTTGGAAACCCGTGCTGGGATGTTCATTACAAGTTGGTAGTGACAATCAACTCCGCTATCATGATGTTTTCACTTGAGTACAAGGGCAAAAACATGGGTAGTGTCAAGGCGAGGTATTCCTGAATTCCAAGTCAGAGGCTACTCAAACCCAAAGAGGTTTTGATTACAGATATTCGCACTGTAGTGGTATTTTTTTCAAGGGAATAAATTGTTGATACAAGGAACTTTGCGTGTTGTTTTGTCATTTGGTTGGAGGTTTCAACAGTGGGCCGATGAACTCATAAAACGCCTCTCAACTTTACAAGAAGCATAATTAATTCAAATCTCTTCTGAAGTTTCTGAGAATTTATTTGCAGATTGTTTGATTTATGATGAATCATTGCACGAATATTCAAGATGCTTGAAGTGACACTCAAAGCGTGAGATTGAACTGATATTTTCATTGTTCTCCAAATCCATGCCCCCACTATTGTTTGATGCATCTGGCCTTGATGTACGGCTCGAAATATCAAAGTGAAGACCGAGCCATCAATTGGCGACTGATTTCTTCGTACAGTGTGTGGTGCACCATCTTATACCAAGACTTTTAGCTTGTCATATTATACCTCTATTCACTATCATGACAGTCAAGGACAACCTCACACATACTAAATAATACTTTTCTTCCTTAAAACTTCATCTATTATCTCTCAAAACATAACCCTGATAATTCAAAGCAATAATTAAATTTTAATGAAGAGAAAGAGCATTTAGGTATGTGAGAGGTTGCCTTCGGTTAGGCACATAACAACATTGGATAATTGATGTAATGGATATCGATCGAACAAACATCGTATGTACAAAGATTTTTGAAAGACTTGATACTTACAAGATCCGACACTGAAAACGGAAAACGGAAAAGAGTAAGCACTGTGATAAGGGAATGGTTGGCATGATATCGAGACTGACAAAGAAATAGTCTCTAGTTCTTTGACAATGAACGATATGGTGGTCTCTTTCATGACAAAATTAGTGAAAGTAGTCAGATCACAACACTCGAGTCCTCAAAATCTGCTCCATGAGCTCAACGAAGACATAATTCAACCAATCTCCAGAAGGTGCAATTACAGTATTCAAAATGAATCCCGAGATTCCCGCGCCCAAAGACAGCCAAGATGTTCAAGATGGAGGAGCTGTTCAACAAGCTGTAGAGCTGGTGGGTAAGATGCTCGAGCAGATTCAAATTGAGCTTGAGAAAATGCTATCTCAACGTGGTGAAGTCCCAGTAAGTTTGACCCCAGTCATGTATGACTTGTTTTGTAATTTCTGAATTATGGCTTCAATATTGCATTTTATTTTCCATTACTAATGAACATCATTCGGCAGTCCGAAGCAGATGCTCCCGAAAATGAAAAGGATGAGTCCCAGAAACGATACAAAATCCTTGAAAGCAATTATCAGAAGATATCAGAAGAGCTTAAAGTCTTCGGCCGCCAAATAGCTAGTGCACCCGACAAAAGCGGCCAAGTTCAAGCAGAATTGAAATTTGCTCAGGTTCAAAATGTTGTCGAAAAATTGAAAGCCGAGGTTCAGAACCTTCAAGCTCAGTGTAACGACTATCAAGCACAAGCACAAGCTCATCAGAATCCTCAAAATGTGCAAGAATTAGAGACTCAACTTGAGGAACTCAAGAATGAAAATAAAGAACTGCAAAGAAAAAGAGTCGAACGGCTGGACAAGGATCCTGATGCGTGGCGTCGGTGGGTCAACAGATACAACAGTGTGGAGAAGGCTGGGCCAATGTCGCTGTATGGAGAAAGATATAAACAAATGTTACATAAGCTGGATACCTTCGTCTTCTTATACCTAGATTGGAAACAAGAGCCGAAGATGGAGCTTATCGGTCAACATAAATGGAGAGACAGAACTTTGAGATGGGCTTTCGAAAAGAAACCAGACTTTGAACGATATTGTCGCCTCAAAAGGGCTGTCTTTCAATTTTTGAGCGATGAGATATTGCTTCAGCCAGCATTCGGCCTTGATGATGAAGACGAGGGTGTAAAGATGGAAGCTGGACTTACAGCTTTTGAAAGGAAGCTCCGGGAATCTTCTAAAGGTGATGACCAGATAGTGTCAAATGTAAAGCTGGTCCTTGCTAATGACTTTGCAGGTCAACTTTTCGAGAGTCTTGACTGCCATAATTGGAGAAAATTTACCTACAGGTGTGCAAAGGTGATTCGAGAGAGAGATTCAGAGAGGAAGATAGTTGCTTTGGTATCAGCTTGGGAAGACTTCTTAAGACCTGTGCCAAAAAAAGAAGATGTAAAGACCACCCGGGAAGTAATGTTAAGAATTTGCAGAGAGGCCTTCATGTTGAGTCAGATTCTGAGAGCAGAGCCAGTTGATTATTATAAGATATATTATCCACAACCCGGAGATTCAATAACACCCGAGGGGGAGGATAAATATAATCCTGATACAATGCAGGTTCGGGGCGAGGAAGCAGGATTTCCCGCAAATGAGGTTGGAACTGTTGCGTATACTTATTACGGCGGATTGTTTTTCCGGGATATTCACCAACAGGAGGTGTGGAATTCGCTTGTACCAGCGCAGGTAGTTGCGAAAGTGACAGTGCCAAGAAAGTGACTTCTCATTACTCTCATGTGTATTCGGACTGTTCAAAACGGAATAATAGCACAAGATGGAATTGGCACGTTCTCTTTGCATTGATTTTAGGAGGTGGCTTACGTCTAGCAATCGAATCAAGATCATTTGAAGTAGTCTCGTACGCATAGAAATCTTTTCCTGGCAGAGAGCTGAGAGCGGAGCGGATGGCCCAAAGAACATTTGGAGACATCGCGTGGAAATACCTACACACTGTTGAGCACAAGATAGGGAGATTTTTCTCTTTAATCGGAATTCGTCTTATTGTTTCATTACATATGCTAATCATTGACATCCACCTGGTGATCTCACATGTATGATCCAGGACCCCACACGGCCCACGTGACTTTAACCTTACATCAACTTTTTTGTTTACAATTCTTGGTGAATAGTTGTAGCAATCTTCTCGTCGTTGTTCAACTTGATATCTTCGGGTCGCTCTGCATTAGCAAGACCAAGTCTCTCGTTGATACTTTGCATTCTTGCTTTATCTGCAGCCGCAATACTGTCAATGCTACCGCCGAAGTACAGATCGAGTTCCTCCAATGTCTTGTCCTTTGTTTCAGGGAAGAATTTCCAGATGAAGAAGCCACCTCCGGCACTGAATACAGCAAAGAAGATGTATGTACCATATTTCATGGAGCCAAGCATGTCTTTGGTGGTCAAGCCGATGATAAAGTTGAACATCCAGTTGGTAGATGCGACAAGGGAGACACCACGGGATCTGACACTGGCTGGGAAGATTTCTTGAGCAAGAACCCAAGTGACAGGTCCCCAAGAATAGGCGAAGTTGACCGCAAATAACCAAATGAACACAATGGCGACCCATCCTTGTGTAACAGCAAGGCCTTCATTGAGGTTCCATTGGTCTTCGTAAACACCTTCGACGGCAGCGACAACGATGTGGCAGATGCACATACCAATGGCACCAACAATGAGGAAAGTCTTGCGACCGAATTTATCAAGGTACAAAACAGCTGGTAAAGTGAAGAGAACTTGCAAGATACCAGTGACCCCAGTAGCGAGAAGAGTAGTGGTAGTGCTAGAGAAACCAAAACTGGCGAAAATTTGAGGGGCATAGTACAAGACAGCGTTGATACCAGTAAACTGTTGGAACACCATCACAGCACATCCTAAAAAGATTCTTTTGAATACATGTGGAACGAATAATGCTTTCCATGGGGCCATCATTCCACCAGCGCCAATTTGCTCCGCTTGGGTTTCCTCGTCGAACATGACAGCGGCCTTAATTTCGAGGAATTCGGCTCGCAATAATGGATCATTGGCGTCAAGACGTCTGAGTTTGCAGAGAGATGCAATAGCCTCTTCTTCGCGATGCTTCAACATCAACCATCTAGGAGAGAATGGGAAGAAGAACATTCCAATGAAAAGGGTCCATGCCGGAATCAATTGCAATGCCAATGGGACTCTCCAGGAAATTTGGTTTTGACCGGTACAAGGGTGTCCATGGTTTGCAGCAGCATTATAGGTGCCATCAGCGAGATATGGGTCTGCAATACCCTCTGGCTTACACTTGTTTCCACCAGAGAAGGAGAACCCAAAGTCGAGCCAGAAAGCAATGGTAGTTCCGATGGTAATGGAAAGTTGTTGAAGTGACACCAAAGATCCTCTAAGTTCTGGAGGGGCAATTTCTGCTTGATATAATGGAATGACCATGGAGAACATACCAATACCCACACCGCCGATGATACGACCTGCGAAGAAGTATGATGGATTCTGAGCACCAGTTTGGAGACCAGTACCGAGTGTGAAAATGAGAACGGCAACCATCATACTGTATTTTCTTGAGATTTTATCTGCGAGGTATCCGTTGAAAAGAGCCCCGAACCAGGCACCAAGCTCAAGGGAAGCAACGAGCCATCCTTGAAGTGTCGACGAAGTGAGAGTTGGGAATTCGTTCTCGAAGTTTTCCATAACCAGGATTGGGGACATGACTCCTTGGTCGTAACCTGTTATTCCAATGTTAGCCAGTGCTCGCTAGTCATAAGGAATTGAAATGCTTGTACTAACCATACATCATACAACCCAATGATGCGAATAAACATGTCAAGAACACATAAGGATTCTTGAGCATGCCCATGAGACCATGAGCTTTGGCTGCATTCTGTCGAGCAACGAGCGACTGGCTCGGAGCCCCCTTTTCTGCCATGATGGCCATTGTCGTCGGCGTGAAAATGAAACGAGAGCGCAATTGGAGGAGTGAGATGAGGGGAGGCGGAGCCCGATGAAGATGAAATGAAGACAGTCTGTGAAAAGAAGACAAAGAAGAAGAGAACTTCATATATATACTCCGTATCTCCCACTTTCTACGGATATTCAAGGATAAAGCCTTTCCCGCGGGGATTCCCGATCAAGCTTAGGCTCGAGAACACTAAATAACAGATAAACTCAAGAGTAGTCTTTCAGCAAAAGATTCTCCCCACTTCAAAGTGGACGCTCTGGGAAGGTGTGCCACACGTTAATTCCCAACTCTTTGGTTATCAATGTATGAATAGAACTCATGGAGGATTCGGGGAAGCCTGAATGTCATACGAAGATCCCCATTCTTCCATCTTTTCCAACTTCCTCCCCAGGGTTCGTTGCCAGTAGCTCGGGTTGCCATTTGTCAATAAACAACCGGAGCTCAAGCCACTCTTGAATATCCTGATTCCTTGCATTCCCATTAGACCAGAAGTTGTGTCCTCTCTCATTTCCCCAATTTTAGACCATTCTTCTATTTCTGAATTAGAGAGTCGCGCGCGCCACCCTGAAGAATGATAAGTCTCGGCTAGGATTCTACCACTGCATCATGTGCCAAGGCTACGGAACAAACTAGATGCAAGGATTATAGTGCCATAGTGCGATTAATAGGGCTCCAAAGCCTTAGCCTATCAACCGTCAGGCTGGCTCTACAAGCCACCCGTCGACTGGGGCGCTGTTCGTCATGCGAATATCGTCAAGCTTTGCTTGGACTCTTGGCCTTCAACGACATCAGACAAATAAGCGCGATAGTCAATAAGTTTCTCGTCAATATTCGAAGACTTCCCTCGCTAATACTAACATGTCGGCAACGAACAAGGCAATGTTTACAACTCCGCTAAACTCCGCACTTATGACTTCTCCTCGACCGCTGACAACACTTTGCGGGCGGCGGGTAAGATAGACTCCATATTTATTCGGCCCTTTTTCTCCAGATGGAGTGACTTTTCGACCCCGAGGTTCGTCGGGGTGGGGAAACCCCAACATCACTTTGAACATCAAGGAGCTGAATCTCTACTTCGTATATGGTAAGAATATCCTAGTGCATGTTTGATAATTCTATTTTTCCTAGTGCCAGTGGAGACACTGTGGTGGGGACATATGTAGAATGGTGACGAGGAGAGTTTCCGGAAAATAAAGGGGCTCGCATCAGTTCTAGCTCTATACGCTTTCAAGAATCTTGTTAATCAGACAATTTCATTCCCCGCAACAGACCGTTTTACTAGCATCATATCATTAAATACTGAAGGATGTAGATGATGAAAAATGAGCATAAAATTCTGAAATTGCTTCAACAATTTTTTCTTTTCGGTCCCGACAAATAGCGGGATTCTAGGATCGATATCCGAGCATCCTCACAGTCTGACAGCCATACGAACTAATCAACGTCCATAATCACCCGATGACCACGCCTTATTGGAGGAGACAGGAGACATACATCACAGCACATCACCAAAGCAATTACTTTCCTTGTATCGAAAGAATGTTTTTCCAAAATCCTCTTTTTGTAAGCCAAACTCCTTACTAAAGCCGACTCGGGTGTCGAAACGGCACTGAATAAGAGCGATAACCGACGTTTAGCCGACTCTCAACCTTACTGAACCCCAAATTGGAGACCCCGTGTTTGTGCCGATACCCGTTCACCTTGGCTTACGAAGCTCTCATAAAATTCCAATGAATCGATAAACCAACCTCGATTTCCACAATTTGAGTCAATAAGCGCAATATAAGGCCCGATAGGTGCTCGGATTAGATATCCTGTTGGAATCGCAACGCTGACAACTTTTCCATCTATGGTAAGGTAAACGGGCTTTAAGTTGCTAAAGCGGATATACGTCAGCATATGATCCACCATCACGTGGAATCTTAACAATGTCCCACATTGACAAAGTCGCTGGATTCTGGAGTCTCCAGGTTAGATTTAGTGAATATGAGGAGATGCAAGATGGAATTGCTGCCCCGCATGGAGATTAGTGACGCCAGTAAAGTAGGATGAGAGCTCGTGCATAAGCTTGATGCACGAAGTGCACAATGGTTTTTACTCGTATGGGACATGTTGATACTGTCTTCTTCCCTGCGAAGTTCAGAATTCGCCGGCTAGACGGCTCAGGTCAAAGTCCTTCTTTTACTAGGGGGAACTAGAAGTTGGATCGGTTCCTCGACGTTCCTTGACTCGGTTTCGATGCTTTGCGTGGCACTTCTCGTCATTGAGAGTGGGCAACTCAAACTATTTTGGTGAAAAACTCGTGTGCTGTCAAAGTACCATCGACATTGATAAGCCTAGTGGCCTAATCGACATGATAGATTGAAAGTGGCATATTATCAAGCGACATGATAAGCATCTCGCGAAAAGAATGCAGAGATACCCCTCAAAACTTCATGTGGATTGTACGAATAGCAATTGAAGCATATAACTAGAGGATTGATCTGCAGTTTGCGGAGGTGCGGGGAATCGGTCCTTTTCCAGATTTACTCCAATATTTACAAACCTGGTAAGGCGAACGCTGCCGTAGGTAGAGACAATTTCACTTTCCCCAGGATCTCATCTGTCAAACATGGTAGCATTATTTATCTCACATCTTTGCAAAAACGATGATGATGATTCTATATTGGTAGTATTCTCGGTCCGATTTTATGTCAGCTCAAGGGTGTGGGAAGAAATCTACAGATACGAGGCTTGACCGGCGCCAATTCAAGTCAATGAATACAGTCTATTGTATATTCTTCGCACTCGCTCATGTCCGGCTAACTCGGAGGCAAGTCCAATAGTTTTGCCTTGTTAACGAATCAATTAAACCTGTCGTGAGAATGAGTGGATGTCGGGCCTTCTAACTATTAGACCTCGGGTCAAAATGCTCCAAAGTATTCATTTATTATCATTTGAAAAGAAGGGTGTATCAACACTTTCTTATTCATGGACGAGACCATGAGAGAAGAGAAAATGACCACCATGCCATTCTTGCTGCTGACCCATCATACTATGGCCATTCAATACAACCATTGAGCAATCTAGTCATGTCTTAAGTCTGAGGAGCAAACTTTGCTTTCCGGAGAACGTTCAAATTCGAGACATACAACAAAACTTCACGATTCCAACCAAGAGATAAGATATCGTGCGTCCGGAGAAAGTTCAATCTCTAGATGTGCAAACTTCGAAGTTCAAAGAGGTGATAAGGTGATTGCACCGCTCGTGGAAACATTGTATCTCGATATCTGGGGGAGTATTCTAATACAATTGCTATACCGCATTTGGCCTAGTATTCACCGAACTGGCGTATAGAGATTGAAGGATTCGGGCGTTGTGCTTATGTGATGACGACATGGCAAGGGTGGGATACTACTCGTCTTTCAGTATCATGATTAGGATTCGCGATATGACTTTCATTTTGTTAGGAATTGGTGAATCATGAAATTTTATTGAGATTACTCGAGACTTTTGGTAGTTTGTTGCACATCTAGGGTTGGATTTCCCTCTGAAGGGCATAAGTTAAGACTCGTGATAGGATGGTTTGAGGTGCTTCGTCAAGTGAATATGGCTCATAATATGGTGGAAAAGGGATTTCTCATTGTTTAAAGCTTCGTTTGGTACCTTCATATCTGAATGTATCAAGTATTTACACGAGCAAGTGCGCACACCGCGCAATAGCCTTCATGGAAACTTCAAACAAACTCCTCCAAGCAGGATACTTCAGGCATACTTAAGCAATAATGGTCTTCCACGTTGATGTTCAATTGATTTCGCTTGATACGGGTCTCTAATTTCTTAATAATATCATAAATCTAGAGATTAATGGGAGTCTAGATTTATGGGAGAGCATTCTTATTATTGAGGGCGATGCGTTCCGCAAGCTATATCAGCTCATAGTCCATCAAGGGAAGCTCGGAGGTCGATTACAGACACCTTCGCGATTTTGTGTAATTTAGGGTTGACATTGAGATGACTTACGGCAATGCACTGTCAGTTTTATAAACAACACTAGAAATCAACGCGATGGTGGCAGAAAACCAGTCATCGCTGGGACTTCAGATCTAAAGATAGAATTACAAGATGAGTGAAATTATGCTCCTGGGTAATCTTGAAACTAGACAGGAAGTTAAATGGTGTGTCACAAGTCTTCAAGTGAAATATCCATCCACAATGACAACAAAACGTTTAATATTCCTATCCAGGCCCACCTCCCACCTCATCCAAACATTGTGTTCCCTGTTCTTCTTCTTCCAAGCTAAGCCCCTTTCCTCCACAATCTAAGTGTATACAAAGCTCGCCCTATGAATAGAAGAAACTCTTGGCGTTCGTTCAGCTCCGTATTGTAGAGTTAGAGGAAGTCTTCTAGTTCAAATATCTCTATCCATCATCTCTCGAGAATTCTATCGTGCCCAGAATGCTGGATATATTATTACTCTCGAAGAATTAATGGGATCTCGGCTCAGATAATTACGATAATAATATACTATATGAGAGCGTTGGTTAGTATGAGTCGAACCGACAACGAGATATCTAGATGATAGTGGTGAATTTTTAAGAAAGTGATAGGTTTTAATGATAGTATTTTTGTTGGGGAGCTACAAAAGCTCTTAGCTTACATTCAACGTAATGAGGAATCTTTCCTTAGGAATATATGCTCAACTTTATTACAGCATGAACACTCGAAACTAAAAGAACACAGACTCCAAGTCAAACAAAAGAGTATCATCTGCTTAATCCTCAGAATAAAGAAAAATCGAGAGAAGACGTATATTATTTAAACACACGAAGTTCTTCAAGCATAGCCATGTGTAACGCGAGCGCTGGGTTTTGCAAGCGGAACTAAAAATAACTGCAATTTACACACAACTGAATTACCTTCCATTTCCACTTCAAATGGTTGTTCTTTTGAAAATCAAGAACTTCTCGAGTTCTCGCGTAGGTAGCATCGAATCTGGGTATAAAAGCGCTATTCTCAATGCACCAGATATCTACGACACCTCTGTGAGTTTCGACACTGGGCTTTTTCCAGGAGATTGGTGGGGTGTAGTTGCGTAGACTTTGAGTTATTGAACAACTGTATCTTGGAGCTTGTCATTGTATAAAACTCACTTATATTCACAAACTGAATCCGCATTTGTGAGGTTCTCGTTGTCACAAAAACTTAAACATCGACCGATGATGAGAAAACATGTGATGAATCTCTCTAGACAGTGAATTCGGAAGCTTAACTCGGCTCTCGCATGTGAGATTCTCATGTTGAATAAGTTGAGCGATGATAAAAGAAGACAAATAGGTCATTAATAATGACACTCAACAATCATTCTTCAGTTCGACAATGATTCCTCGCTGGCAACACATGCAACGGCAATCCCCCTACTCTTATAATGATGTACTAATAGCAGGCAAAAATGAATACGTATTTTTCTGTGGTCTTGAATGCAATCTTTTGACACTGGGAAAGAAAATCTGCTCTCTTTTATACTGATCCAAGAGTTTGAAAGAGCCTAGAAACTTTTATCCAATAGAAGTGTAGATATTTACCTGTGCTCTCAACTGTGCGTAGTATGATCTCTAACTCGGTCTCTCTCCGTCACTTCTCATAGCTTCCAAATCTGCCTTTCGAATTCTATCGCACCATTCTCATGCTCAAAAAATGCCTCTTTATTGTCAATCTCTACTGTACTATCCGAGCTGTACTCACTCTAATCCGGACCTATACTTAAGTCAAGGGACTCTGTATCTGAATTTTTTGCTACATTCTACAGTCACCTATCTGACAATCTGAGAGTGCGGGTATCCAAAGGGAGAAAGGAGAAAAGAAAAAGAGTCGTGGGACGACATGTGATAATATGAATTAATTTAATGACAACAAATTTTCGAATTTTCTCGAACGATATTAGCAACAGGAATAAAATTAAAGAAATGTTAATGGCGATAATGCAATATGGAGCAAAAATACGAAGTACTCATTTCTCCCACCAGTTGATACAGGAGTAACTCCACCTTTCGATAAAAATGAACTTCTAATGTGGCGAACTAGTTTCGAGTCTTGGGACGAAAACATTTTGGTACAAGTACCGGAATAGGCATTGTGCACTTTCATGGGCTTCAAAAGTCACGTTTTTGAGTTTTTTCTAGTTGCAGAGAAACTTCTTCCGAAGAGGATCTGTAGGCGTGCAGCTTCTTTCCATAAAAACCAAGTTAAGACTAACGTAGCAGAAATGAGAATCAACCTACCAGCCCTCTCCTTGAAATCTACTCTCTCATCAAATCATTCAGCCAACCCGAAAAAAATCCAAACATCCTCCCCCCTAAACCTAGAGCCTCAAACCCCAGACTCTAAACCCTCCTAATCATCCCCCTCAATCTCACATAGCCAATCCAATCTCCACCCCCCGGACTCCTACACACACTTTCCAAAACCTCACAAACCTCTTTCTCAGCCTCCTTTCTCTCTTCCCCATCCCCAAGAACATCAAACAACTGTTTCCCCATCAACTTCACCCAGCCTTCTATTCCCCCCTTATCTGTCTGCGTAGCCCTGTATTCTGTTTCCAATTTCTCGATCTTCCATTCTCTTTCTCCTTCTCTATTAACACCTGTATTAACACCCGAAGAAGAACAAGCCGAAGCAAGCGCACTCCTCATCCACGCCTCATCAGGAAAAAACCAGGGATCCGCCTCCCTCGCCCTCTTTAATCCCCCCTCACAGCGACGCCCAATAACACTCAAAAACGCAGTGCGCATCTCGGCTACATTACCCATACCTCCCATTTCGAAAACGAAAATGCCGTTGGGTTTGAGAAGTCTTTTGACTTCTGTGAAGAACTGTATACGGATGGATTCAGGGCGGAGGATCCAATGGAGTGCGGCGTTGGAGAAGATTTTCGTGTAGCTTTGGGATGGGAGAGTCGAGAGATCTTGAAGGGAAGATGCGTCGAGGACTGGGTTGTGTTAGGGCAGTGTAAGTTTGGTGTGGAGAATGCGAGAGTGAATAGATGGATAGGAGAATGGGAGCAAAAATGAAAATGTAAGTAAGTACCTTGAAATGTACAAATTCCCGGAATCTCTTCACCCCCTGCAACAGCAGCCTTTTTGGCAGCAGCAATCATATCCTCCGAACTGTCAATTCCATGGATACTTCCTGATCCTTTGGAAAGCGTGTGCGCGATCTGAACGGGGATAATTCCATCTACATAGGCGAGCAAAGTCAGCATGTTTGTTCTCGTTCTGTTGCATTTCCTCTGGTTCTTCTCTCTTCATTCTTCTCCCCACTCCTCTCTCGAGTAAGACGATTCCCGAAAGAAACGATAGCCCAATCCAATACATCCACCTCGCGCACCAATACATTTGCAAGAGAAAAAAGAAGAAGAAAACACAACAACTAACCACCACACCCAATATCCAACACCACATCATCACTCTGCACATCCAACCAACCCAGGACTTTCCCTGCAAGTTTCGGAACAAAGGAAGCGGAGTTTGATAGGCCTATTTCATACATGTTAGCTTTATTTTCTAATCTTCATTCTCCCCATGGATATCATTTTCTTATTCTCCCATTTTTCGTCACATTTTGTGGGGAAAAAATTGTATGAAGGAACAATATCAAAGAAAAGTTAGAACAAAGAAGAAGGGAGGGGCAGAAGAAGAAGAGGGAACAATACCGAAGCAGACCAGTGATCCTCTTGATTCTTAGCTTTTTCCATGATTTTCAATCACAGAAATGATAGTTCTAAACTTGAATTTCGGATTCGAGATCTCTATCCTAGAGTTTAGTTCCTAATCGTGGCTGTAGTTATAGCTGTTGTCGTGGACGTCGTGGTGATTCGATGAAAGGTCGATTCGAAATGAATTAAAATATCGATACCAAGAAATCCAAGAACGGTAAACAACAAGTAATGATCACTTAATAAGATCGAACTGTCGAATTTTTGAATTGGGTGCAGATGTCTTATCTCTTATATACCACTAGCCCTCCCGTGAGATGACATCGAATGTAAAGTTGAGGTTCAGATGTTCACCTCCGATGTCGGCGCGATGCGAGATAGGGGACAGAAGCGAACGCTCGAAACCCAATCCACCATTGCGTTTTCCTGCTTTATGTTTATGATTTTAAAGCACGACAGCTGAGTTGACTCGGGGGTTAGTTTAGTTTGGAAGAAATTCTCAATATATGACAGTGACTCCGATCGCGCTTCGAGTTATCCCCCCCTTTTGGGTCGGTCGTTCAGGCTACGACCATTCACAACTTTCGAATTTCACACTTATGCTAACATACTAGTTTTAGAGGGTATTTTAGATATTGATCTATTCTATCAACTAAATCTCACTACCGTGTCAAAAACATGCTCAATATTCAATGACCTGCCTCCCAACTCCGAGTTCGCTCTTGAAAAGCAGTCATACGTAAGATCACCTTCTTAATCGATTTCCAAAAGTTTATATTTATCCTCATCCAATAAATCTTCAATCCTATGCATAATAGCAAGAACCTTTTCCTCTTCCAATCTTTGACCCACCACTTGTATCGCTACCGGAAGTCCATGCATAGCGTTTGCGTCGTAATGCTTATAAGCACCGTATGCGACACCATTGAGAGATTTAAGGGAAAAATTGGATGGGAGTTGATCGAGTTCTTTATCGACATGGGTAATAGGCATAATACCTGCAGTGTAGTCGAGCTGTTTTGTTAGCTGTGAACTTCAAGGGGTTATGCAATAGACTCACCAAGTTGAATAAGAAAGTGTAACCACAACTGCTGACTGCATCTTTCATTCCGTCGTGAGGCAGCGCTGGTGTGGCATTTGGTGGAGTGATCATGAAGTCGAGTTTCACTTCTTCTTCCCACCAAGCATGGAATTTAGCTTTGTAAGCTTCTCTTTTGGCGACGAGTTTCCATTGCTCATAAGCAGATTTCTCATGCCATTCCTTGATCAATCCAGCCCAAGTATCATCTCTTCTAACGTATTTGACCCAGGCCCAATACATCCATTTGAATGGACTTGGTAATGACATAAGAAAGCTCATTGCTTTTGCTCCAGGATCTTCCCATTCGCCAGTTCTGAAGAATGATTTGAATGTCTTGCAACCATCAGCGTTGAGAAGTTGTGAGCCAAGATAAAGTGCTTCGTATGGAGATGGTGGATTAACATCATAGACTTCGTGGCCATCTTCTTCCAGTACAGCCACCACTTCATCCACAGCTCTCATACAAGCGGGACTTGGATCCACAACACCATCAGTTCTTAGTACACCAACTCTAAACTTCTTCTTTTCGCTGAAATCCTTCCATGCTTCCTTTCTCCATGGAATAGGGTGGACACTATGATCATACTTCCATGGTTGCATACCAATCATAGACTTTGTGAAATATGAGAGGTCTTCCAAAGTTCTTGTCATGGGACTAAACACACTAGGAATACCTTCTTGACCTGGCATACTTGTGCACATACCATTCTTCGGCCATCTTCCAGTTGAGCACCTCAAACTATAGATTCCCGAGAAATGCGCTGGAACTCTAACTGATCCAGCAACATCTGAACCAATTCCAATCCTTCCACCACCAGCTGCTAATAAAGCAGATTCACCACCGGTAGATCCACCTGGCGAGTATTTGTTATTATGAGGATTTGTGCATCGTCCCCAAAGATCGTTTGTTGATTCGAAACTTAGTAATGTAATGGGAAGATTTGTCTTGACATATGGAATGGCTCCAGCATCTTTCAATATCCTCACCATGGTTCCATCCCTCTCTACCTTGTTACCAACATTGCTACTGTATCCTACGGTTGTATCGAAACCACCAACTACAATTGAATCCTTTAGACTTATAGGGATACCTGCTAATGGCCCCTTGAAATTAATACTTCCATCTGTAGTCCAACCTTCAGCAGCGTCAATCATAACTTCCGTTACACAATTTGTTTTCTCATGAGCTTTGATTGCAGCTTTTCCGTATGCTCGAAGGATATCAATTGGTTGGATAGCTTGATTGTGAACATCTTTGACTAGTTCCTCAATGGGTTTCGAGAGAACTTGTCTTTCTGGATTGGTAAATGCTCCATGATAACTCGTGAGGCTTTGTATTCGTTGAGTTCGTTCTGCTTGTTTGAATTGACTATATGGAAAGTTAGATATTGCTGTGCTTGGCATTCCCCAGAGTTCCTCTCTCGCACCAAGGTGATTTTGATAACGATAAGATGTGAGCATGGAGCGTGGGATGAACACTTACCAATCCCTCCTGTGTTGGAAATAATCAAGTAGGAAAACCATTTTGAATATGAACAAGTAGACACTGCGCAAATATGTGAGGGTATTTACAATATCAACGACACAAATAGGAAGAGAAATCGACGAAGAATGTTGGCTCAAGTTATAGCTAGACGGGGGACTTTAAAGCCATTGATATCCGGCCTGGAACGGAAGGACCCCTCCCTCCAGATAAGCGGCTGTACATTCCTAATTTGGCCAATTAGTTAGAATTCAACGCATTCCAAGGTTTAAACGTATCAAATCAGAAAACAAGCATATTGCGGGGAAAAGTGGTGTAGCGTGCGGTATCTGTGGTGTGTCAAACAAAAACTCGACCAAAATCTTCAAACAAATCATATCAGGGGAGGGCGTCAACACCATCTCCTGATCATCTGACTACTTTCTACCCCTCTTTTTATACATTTTCCAACACTGCCACATAGTTATCTTTCTTATCAAGATGTCGACTCATTCAACTCCATATTCTTCCATCTCGACACCGGCAGCCATAGTTCATGACGGTGCTGTTCACGATTTCGAAGATCTTCGTCACGAATACCAAACCCCACCGGCATCCATCATGTCCAACTCAGAACATCTACTCATATGTACAGCATGCGGTACACAGTTTGATGCCGAAGAGCGATCGATTCTTACCAGATGTCGAATATGCGATGACCCACGACAATTTGTACCGCCCAGTGGTCAAGCATTCACTACACTTGCGGCTTTGAAAGCTGAGGGTCAATATAAGAATCAATGGAAACAACTCGATAACGATGATCGATTCTGGAATATATGGACCGAACCTAAATTTGCCATAGGACAACGAGCGGTTCTTATCAAGACGCCGCTTGGGAATGTGCTGTGGGACTGTATAGCTTATTTGGATGATGAGACTGTGGACTGGATTCATGGGCTGGGTGGGTTAGCGGCGATTGTGATATCTCATCCGCATTATTATACTACACATTTGGATTGGGCAGAGACATTCGATTGTCCTGTCTACTTGAGTTGGGAGGATAAGAGTTGGTTGAACCGACTTGATAGAATGGGAAAAGCTAGAACATTTATTGAGGGAAAAGAAGAGGAGCTTGAGATACGGGGTGAGAAGACTGGTGTTAAGATGTTGAAGCTCGGTGGGCACTTTCCAGGAAGCTTGGTTTGTCTTGCTCATGAAAGATTATTGGTAGCGGATACTCTGGTAACCACACCAAGTGCATTGGGAGATTGGAGTAAGGGTCCTGGGGGAGGAAAAAATACAAGACCGGATGGAATGAATAGTTATGCTTTCATGTGGAGTATTCCTAATATGATACCCTTGAGTGCAGACGAAGTAGCTGGAATGTGGGAGGTATTGAAACCTCATGGCTTCTCAAGTACACATGGAGCTTTTGTAGGCACGGATGTGGTTGATGGTAGTAATGGAAGCGAGAAAGGGGTCAAACAGAGAGTACTTGAAAGTATGCAAATTCAAGTGAGGAGAATGGGTTGGAACAGTCATGTCTTCTTGAAAGAGAATCTGGATGAACAGGAAGAAGAAGTTCTATGATACTTATGATAACGATAATGATGATTGATACCCCCATGTTTCAGTATAGATCTATATTGTCTTATCTGATTTCGCCTGGGAGTTTTAAATGTTTCTGAACAAGCTTGGATGTTGATCAGAAATCATACTTGGTTTATATCATGTCCTTATATCGCTAATGTCTACTTCAGTCTTATTTCGAACGCAGCGAGCAAAGGGGGTTTGGGGGCTTGCCCCCTTGAATGGGATTATACTGATCGCATAAAATCAACAATTTGCTGGCCTTTATAGTATGAGAGACTTGACTATTTGCAGAGCTGACTATAGTACTAAATTTTGTAAGATGGATGTTTGAGTAGGTAACTTTAGATGACGCTCCGCTGGCCCTCCGGGGGCCACTGCCGTGGAGGCAGACTAATCGTGAGGGAAGAGATATATGTATATGATCTGATTTAGTATCCAATTTGAGTAGCCAGTCTGTATAGTTTCTATATACTTTAACAACTTTCTCATTCTTTACTCTGTGGCGTCTAGTCTTGCTCTATAGTTAGCCTGAATGTACCTAGTACTTTTATATAGTAATAGATACGTTTCTGTAGTTATGTTTGTATATAGATATATATATATATATATATGGAAACAAACATCTAGATTCTCAAATATGGACTCCGCTCTCTTCCAAATTGTTTCATATAAAAACCTTATAAGTAAATAAATAAATGAATGTATAAACTTTCTTTCACCTAGACGACCCTAGTCGAAGCCCCTGAATATCAACCCTTACCTATCCATCGTTATCGCACAATAATCTACAGGGTCCTTCCAGGGCTCAGCCTCTCATCTGATCCCCAATTTTAGTTCCTGCAAGCTCCAAGCTTGAATTTCCCAGCGTCGTAATCAAATAATTTCCATCGAGGACACAAAAAAGTCATTTACCCCAATTCTAGGTATGCACAGAGAAGAATACGAATTCTCCCACAAATACCCAGAGTAGGCATTGTATTACACATAGGAGGAGTACGTACCTTAATATAACATAATTTTTGGTCATCATTCCTTGGTACCGAATCTTAGCCAAGGGGATTCGGGTATGGATGGCATTTGATACTACATAGGTAGGGGAAGCAAACCACAAGTGGAAATTGTCAGAATGGCAGCTTTTTCTCATCATCCTCAATATACCCATTCGACGCGCGATCATTTTAGGGAACCTCCTTCGATCTGGAGAAGGTTATTATTGGTTCTGCCGACGGATCTGGCCGTGTCTTTGCAGAGGATGGCAGACCAACAGAATTCCAATATGGTTGGGGGGAAGACATCGAGAATACCGAGGTTAGTGAGGGGATGGATGAGAGATTGGAGTTGGAGACGAGCTTTCAGTTTACCGCATTTGTTGGTGTGTGTTTGGGTGGTTGTCTTATTGTCTGGAGAGCGCTGGGTTTTCGAGGAAGCTGTGCGAGCTTGTGCGTGGGAGGAATGGGAGAGATGGGTGAGTTTTCTTGAGGAGGGGGCGATATTCTTGAGATGGATAGGACGAGGCTGATGAATATGTTCTATTTGAATAGCCTCCAAATACTACGCCCCATCACTTAATCTTTCTGGCAGACCCTCAATTAACGGATCCGCATTCATACCCTGATAGGCCATGGCCGTTGTCGACTTTCACCGTCTGGCACACGGACAATTATATGAAGAGGTCTTATATACAGCTTTCGAAGCAATTACATCCAGATACTATATTTTTCTTGGGGGATTTATTTGACGGAGGAAGAGAATGGAAGACCGCGCATGGAAATTCAGAAGATCAAGCATGGGCAAAAGGAAGACGACCAGAAAAAGAGCAAAAACATGTGGAGAGTTGGGGGAAACGATACGGAGAGGATTTTTGGCTGAAGGAATATGGTCGATTCTCTAGAATCTTCTCGGACAATTGGAATTTAGGAGGAACAGAAGCTGGAGTTGGGCAAAGAGGACGAAAGCTCATTGCAAGTTTACCAGGGAATCATGATTTGGGCTTCGGCGCACAAATTAAGGTTCCCATTCGGGATCGATTTGAGGTTTACTTTGGAGATGTAAACAGAGTGGATGTTATTGCGAATCACACCTTTGTTTCTGTGGATTCGGTATCATTGAGTGCTGGAGCATCAGAACGTCCAGTTAGTGAGACTGCACCTATTACCAAACCAGTCGAGGAATTTCTGAACAATGTTCAAGTCTCCAAACGAAAAGCCGTGGCTAGAGAGTTGGACTTTCAGGCTGGAAAGGAAAGAGTTATACAATATTCTCATTCCGTTCAAGATGTTGAACTAGCAGATTACGCACACTTACCAACTCTTGACCCTGGACCAAATGGTGCTGAATTTCCTACTATTCTTCTTACGCATGTACCGCTATATCGAAATCCTGGAACTCCATGCGGTCCTCTCCGAGAACATTGGCCACCAACTCCGCCACCAAAGGGTCAGACCATGCCAGTCACACCCGATCATAGAAATGCCATTAGTGTATCCAAAGGATATCAATACCAAAATGTCCTCGGCGATGACGACTCCAAAAAACTAATCTCAAAAATTGGCAATGTAGTTTCTGTCTTCTCAGGCGACGATCACGATTATTGCGAATTAGTACATCCAGAAGACAAAAATCACGCCCGAGAAATAACAGTCAAAAGTATGAATTGGGCAATGGGAATTCGAAAACCTGGTTTTCTCATGCTGAGTATGTGGAATCCAGTTGGCGCGGATGGAAAACCTTTACATGCGATTCCTACGGGTCATGGGGCTAAAAACACGCATACTTCCACGACGATGGAATCGCATCTTTGCTTATTACCGGATCAAATTGGTATTCTTATAAATTATGGCATTTTAGTGGGTATATCACTTCTTCTCCTGATTATTCGAGCGATCCTCGTGCCTTTTACAAATCTTACCCCTTTCGCCCTCGATTCAAGAGGGTCTCCTTCGGGCCCGGGTAGTCCAATTGATTCGGAATTCTCGCTGTTGCCAACTAGTATCAAAGATCTCAAACGCGAAGATGAAGAGGAAAAAGACCGGAGGAGTGAAGGGAATTCGTCAACTTCGAGTACGGCTACGGTTAATAATCTCGCAACTCGGACTTCTAGAACGAGAACCTCGAGTCCGGCGAATGGATATGGGTTACCAGGACAGGGATATTCGAATGGAGGTCTGTATCAACAGGCTCAGCCGTTGATTGAGAAGGCGGGGTATTATGGTGGGTTGGAGGGAAGACTTAGGTGGGAAAGTGAGAGGGAATTTGAGATGGAGATGGAAAGGGAAAGGAAGAGGAAAGTGGAGATGGAGAGGAGGAGGAATTATAAACCCTGGAAGATAGTGGTCTGGTGGGGAGGATTTAGAACTACGAAAATGGGGAGAATACTGAGAGAGATGGGGTGTAGTGTTTGGAGAGTGCTGTGGGTGGTTGGTGCCGTTTTTATGTGGTTTACTTGGTTTGGTTAGGGGGCTGAGTAGCTGGGTAAATGAAACGAGCCGAAGAGGAATTTTAAGTTGTGTTTTTATCTTATTTTTGGCTGTTTGGCGGGCGCATTGGCGATGGGGCATTTGAAGCGTGTCTGCTTACCTACTTGTGTGCTATATACTTTATACTTTCTACCGTCACTTTTGCTTCTACTTGTAATTGGGGATGGGCTCAGGCTCAGATCTGTTTCTCTTTATAAACATAAAGACAAGCTTCGATCTGGGTTACTTGCGTCGCTAGCGGTTGATTGGTTGCATTGGGATATGGTGGTGGATGGTGGGATACGCTGATCTGCATCGGTCTGGGTTATGGATGGATGGATGGATCGTTTTTTATTATGATCGAAGGCTGGAACTCAAAAAAACAATGGGGTTAGGGAGAGGATTGCTTTTGCAGCCAGCGTTTGTTTGTTATGTTGCTGGGATAGCTGGTATGGTATGGCATGGCATGGCATGTAGGTAGCTGTTGAAAATGGAAATGGAAATAAACATTTGGTTATGAGGCAAGAAAGGAAAATGTTCAAATTGGATGGATGGTTAGTTGTGAACAGTGATTGCTTGCTTGCTTGACTGATTACACAGATTGGTGAAACGGCAAATATTGGATGGAGAAAGGGGGAAGTAGACGAGACGAGATGAGGTAGATGGGAAAATGGAGATAAGAGGTGATATGTATGCCTGACGCGATATGGTACTAAGTAGATAGTGCTGGCTTGGTTATGGCGTGGTAGGTAGGTATTCTTGGTGGTTTTTGTGGATGCAGTGATGAAGATTTTTGAGTGTGGGAATGATGGTGATGATAATGGTTATTTGTAGCTGTAGACGATTTGCTCTTGCTGAGGTGAGTATTGGAGGGTGTGGTTATTGGAGGGTTGGAATGGGATGGATATCCATATATATGTATTATGAAGAGTGCTTTGGAATTACTTGTGTATGTATGTATAAATGAATAAAGATGATTTTGACATTGGGGATTCGGACACGATTTACTATGAAGCTACCAAGTACCTACCTAGGTAGGTATGTAATTTAAGCTTCTCAAGGCTGACCAAAAGTACCCACGCCAGGTGATTTTTGATTCAACATCTATAATGGTATCAACGTCCTATCTTACAAATCCCATCTCTCTCAAGACCCATCAACAACCTCGTCCCTCCTCACCGGTGTATTCCCAAAGCTCTCCAACCCCCTATCACCAGCTCCAATCTTCTCTTTTGCCATCTCGCTAGAAGCATCCACGAGACCCTTCACATCATTCATTTCCAATTCCTTGATACTCGCATCTGCTTTGAGCGCCGCATATCTCTGACCCGCTTGCGTTAACAACACTTGAACTTCCTGTTCCCTTTTCCCAATTTCCAGTTTTTCCTTTTCTCCTTCTTCAATTTTCTTTTTTCGCTTAGATAATTCAAGTTCCATCGTACTCAACGTATTCTGTAATCTTTCCAAACACTCCGATAACACCGGAATCGGTGTGATTCTCGCCGGAACCTGATTTTCTTCCCTCGCGGCAGCCGCATCATCATGTTTATGAAGACCATCCATACCTGCTCTCGTTTGGGCAGCTTCATAAGCGGCTCTTCTTTCCGCTTCTGAATCATCACTTTCTTCATCCGAGCTTCCTTCGGCTTGTTGGATCAGATCTGCCATTTCTTTCTTCCGACGTCGTTTCTCCTCGCGTTCTTGTTTTTTCCCCAAAGAAATCCGTCCATCGTCTACGAATTCTTCAAATCCTTCCATGATTTCTTTATCGTCGCGCACTAATCTTGATTCTGGTTTCTTTTGTCGGGGAAGAAGTGAGGTAATTCTTCCTCCATCTGGTTCATCATCATTTAACGAGATGAAATCTTTTTCCCTCGCCATTCTCGCTCTTCTTTCTTTCTTTTCTCTAATTTCCGCTTCGGTAGGTATGATCGCAGCACTCCCTCCAAATCCTCCAACTATATCTCCGTTCCCGTGTAAATCCACAATCATTGCTCCCTCCAGCTCACTCGCATCGAGGAACGGTTCTTCTCCTCCCCCAACTTCTACATCGGCCAATTCTCTCATGGCAGAAGCCTGCGAGCTCTTTAATTCTTTCAAGTAGTCTTTACTATAACTCGGTCTTCCCATATCTGAATCCCCATCTCCATCCCCATCTTCATCCCTCGTCCTCATCGGCAATGGTACCCTCGTATTAATCTTCTTCGCATTTCCCTCTGTAACCTTCCTCGAAAGAGGTTTCTTCACCAACGTAAACGATTCATCTTCCTCGAGATTCTCAGCATCGGAGCCAGATATTATATCGCCTACTCCAAAGGAGAGACGGGAAGATGCGGGTCTCTTTTTCTTTTTGAAAGAGGTCGTTTTGACGCTCGGGGGTTTGTTTAAGGAGCTATCGTCGCTGGGAGTATCGATTTTCGACGTATGGTCTTCATCTTGTGTTAGATCTTCGAATGCGATACTCCGGCGCAAATTAGATTTCTTGAGGGGTTTGCGAACTGCCGACATCTTGTCTCTCTTCAAATCTGAAGTTTCTCTTTCCGTAAAACAGGTATATCAATCAGTATCCTCTGCTGTCCAATTAATCAAAAATACTGTCCTCAAGTCGTAACAAACAAAGACGCGTCTTCTGCAATGAAGCTGTCTTCCGCCTCGCCATCCCGATAAATAAAAGTCACCCAGATGCACCTTCTTATCACCACGTGACCCTAACATCAGCCTCACGAAACCTCAATACAGCCACGAAATTTTGGTGTGTATTCGTCGCAAGCAGTCAAGCTTCCAATTTAACACCATCTACCCGACGCATTCTACAAAAATATATCGTCAAGATGCCTCAAGCTCAGCCTGAGCTTAAGAAGGTATGTGCGATTTCTGATGTTCCGTATCTCTAGGAGTTGGCGGCAATATGAGCAGGCAGGAGATTGAAAGCACATTGATCAACTCGAGCTACTGCGTGAGAGTCAGGCAATATGGGAGAGTTGAAATTAATGGCTGATACTATACGACGATGTAGTACCTCGATAAGAGACTATTTGTGCAGTTGAATGGTAGCAGAAAGGTTATTGGTGTATTGAGAGGTTATGATGTGAGTTCCTCTTCTTGCGCGCATTCCAATTCATACTAGCTAACGCGCATAAACAGGTCTTCTTGAACATTGTGCTAGACGATGCAGTTGAGGAGAAAGACGGTGGTGAGAAAGTAAAGATTGGAATGGTTGTATGTTCTTGCATCTCCCGCAGACTCACACTCAAACGTTAACAAGCCCTTTAGGTTATCCGCGGAAACTCAGTTGTTATGCTCGAGGCATTGGAGAGAATAGGTGGAGGAAGGGAAAACCGCGAACAGCATTAGGGTTATCAAGGGATTCGATTTGTTGGAGAGTTTGAGGATGGAAGATGAATGGGAAGGACATCAAAGTATTATATCTGGACCCGGGCGTTTACAGGTTATATGAAATACAAATTGCATATTGAGGAGCACGGAAGAGGAGATGAAACAATCTGTTTGGCAAGATGAACCATAATTTCTCGAGCTGATGCTCTTTTCAGAGGAACTTTTGCAATTCATGGACTTGGGCCTACTATAATGTGAAATGCGACTGAAAATAATATCTGTATCTCTTACTTCAACTCCTCCCACTTCCCCTCCTCAAATCCATCCATAAGCATCCCCTCAAACTCTTTCACCCACCCTTTAATACCACCCTTCAAAACCGCAACTTCCATATTACTTTTCTTTCCAAACTTCGCTACATCATCAATGTAATCCTGCATCCAGCCTGCACATCTTGGTCCCCTCCCAGTTGATGATCCTACATCTCATAAGCATCTCATTTCTCAACCCCAGACACGAAAAGTACATACCACAATAGAAAATGACCTTTGTGATACCCGCTCTATTACAGAGTTCATACAGCGACTTGCGAGTTTGATAGAAACTCTGAGCGGGAAGATTGAGTGAAGTTTTGATGGTTCCGCCCTACACACACATACATCAGAGATATCCAACCTCAACCTTGAACTGAGTTTCGTAGAGAATGGTATGGTGTCCTAGATTCCCGCTCGAGAAAGCTCTCAGAGTACGTAGACTATATCTCCAATGCGATATATGAGGAATATACATACCACCCAATCATCTCTTCTAACATCTACCAACAAAAAAGATCTCGGCTCAGATGTGATATCCATATCATCAAACAACTTCATCACATCATCCGCAGTGAGCTCTGAACATTTTGCTCTGGCTTCAGGGAACGCTTTCCACCATGGAGCTTCTGACTTTGTATCTTTTGTGTCCGTCATGATTGTTTTGATATGAGATGAAAGATGTGTAAAAAGTTTAAGAAGTTTGAAAAGTTTTGTTTGGTGGGTGTGTCATGAGTTAGGCAGCTTTTCTTCCATAGGTGGCTTGCCAATCTCACGCATTTGCACCATGTCATTAGTTTCAGATTCACGTTCATTAGTCGAAAAGCTCAATATATGTGATATTCCATATCATTTCGTTCATTAAAATACAGAGGTATATACAGGATGTTGGATTAATACAACTTGAAAACGAGAAAACTAATGACCCTTTTTACCACCTTCTTCGCCTTTTTATGCGCCTTTTCACCCATCTCCTGCTCATAGATTTCTGCAGCCGATTCTCCTGCCTTTCTCTTGGATTTCGCACTCTTTACACCAACCACTATATCCTTCTTTCCGGATTTAGCAGCATTTTTGACTTGCTTCTCGGCTTCTGCCCACCCTGGTGCTCCTGCTTCGATTTCATATCTGGTCAACGGATTAGTATTGTAGTATCTGAGATGGCTAGATCAAAAACTTACTGATCTAAAGGGAGAGCATCAATAAGCTCCCTTTGCTTCTCCTTCAAAGCTTTCATAGCTTCATCTCCACCTTCCTCCAATTCTTCTTCGAGTCCCTGTTCTAGAGGTACGAATCTATCATCTACAACCTCGTCGTCCAAAGCTTCATTTGCATCTTCTCTACTGACACCGATATTTTCCCGACCTGGCATCTCAGCCTCAATGGCACCAGAGACCAAGTCACCAAAATGTGAGCTCATCTTACGCATGATTTTGATGAACATGGCCAAGAGTTGAGATGATGGAAGAGACAATTCGGACTCAATGGCGGTCAGATCCTTTCTCTGCAAGCCAACGGCAAGTAGTATCGATGATTGAATACCAGTGAGTTTAATGTTGGACTTCAAGCGACCAGTGAAATACAAGTTTGCAAGTGTTGGAATGAGATCCAAAATGACGTGATAATCAAGCATGTTATTTGCATATGATTCCAAGCGTTTAAGATCGAAAGGTGACATAAGTTTGTCTAATTCTTCTTTTGAAAGTGGCTTGGGGGCGGCTTCTGGGTCGGATTTTGAACCAGCGTTTGCTGATTCGTCAATGCTCAAGGCCAAAACTGAAGGGAATTCGCGGAATTGGTATGAAAGAAGGGATAAGAATCTGCGATGGAAATCTCTAGAGAACGCAGACTCCCATTCTCTATCTTCACTATTCTCCAAGGTGCGAACCATGACACAAGTGTGCTCTCCTGTCAATTCGTTTGGTGTTTGACGAAGATAGAGAGGTACAAACGAAGCCCTTTTCCAGAATCTGTGCAGAGGTTGAGTAAGGCCGTAACTCACACCAATATAATCTAGGTTGTCGGGTCGCTTTTCGGACAATTTTGAGAAAAGGGGTGGCATCTTTCTGATGTCTCTAACCTTGATGTTATCCTCAAGAAGAGATGAACTTGTCAACTCCTCGTCTGTGACACGAGTGATTGTCTCTTCTACGTAGTCATTCGTAACTTCCGAGAGGTTGGTAAACTTCCCTTCGGAGAAAGCAGTAAGGAGCTCGAGCGCTTTGCTTCCATAGCCCATCTTGATGTAATCAGGATTTGTTGCTATTCTGACTACTCGTGCTCCAGAGAGACCAGCGAAGTCATCGTCTTGAAATTGTTGACTGACCAACCAAGGAATGAGATCACCAGCTGCTCGCTGACCTCTACTCAGGCTGTTCATGACACTTTGTTTGCTAATTTTTCCTTCGAGAGCCACTTGAATTACGCAGAGAGGTTCTGGTAAGTGTTTACTGTTCTCTTCAATAGGTGGAACAAGGACAAACAATTGATGAGCTGGAGCATCACTCATCAATTGCAGGTCATCTGGGGTATTTTTGTAATGACTTGCGACATAAAGAGCAATCATTTGCTGCAAAAACTTTTCGGAAACATCATGGAAAGAAAAGAGGGTATCGCGATTGACATTGAGCAGTTGACATTGTGAAGGATCTGGGCATCCTTGAAGAGTGTTTAATCTCGAGCGAGGTAAGGTGGCGTCAAGGCAGAGCAATTGATTGAGCCATTTCTCAACAGCGTCACCTTGTGCATAACGAATAGGTTCAGACAAGGTAATCTCTCTTAGCGAACGACCTCCTGAGAAGCTGTTGTCGGCACCTTTAGCAGCAGCCTTGCCGCTTGATCGATCAGCTACCTCAACATCTTCTGTTCCATTGGTTGTTCCTCTAGATTGTTCTCGAAGTTGTTTGATCAATTTCAAAGATAGAGATCTTCCAGTACCTTCGTATCCATTAATGGTGGATGCCATGAATACTAAATAAGGACCCATAAGCTTCTTGACAAGTGGCAGCGGTATTGCAGCGGCTTCATCGATAACCAATAATTCGGCTTGACCAAGAACATGCGCATCCTGTGGTCTGATGTATTGGATGGTTTGACGATGTTGACGATGAATGTTTACTCGAACAATTGCTTTGTTAAAATCCGGGTTTGTAGACTGTATGATTGAGTAGTCGACGTGATCCATGTAGTTAAGAGCATCGAAACCCTTAAAGATAAATTCAAACAGGGTTTTCAAATTCTCTGGACTTGGGGATGTGATAAAAATGTTACTATATCCATGCGCGACGGCTGCTGCCACAGCCACACCAAGCGCTGCAGACTTTCCACGTCCTCTTCCAGCAGTCAATGTGACAGTGTTCCTCAAGGTTTTTTCGGCGATGGCGTCTACGAAAGTGAGAAGAGCTTTGGCTTGGTCCACGGTCTTTGCCAAAGTGACAAGAGATCCAACTGGTTGTGTGTCTTGTAGGGCTTCTTTCATGCTATCCAATTCTATCTGTGATTCGCTTTTTGGCTCGTCCAAATCCGGCGGAGGTAAAGCCTTCACGTTCTTTCCACCGGATATAGGAAGAACATTCAGCTCGTCGTCGATCACTAAACAGGACTCGCATTTTCCAAGGGACAAAATGAATCGCTCGTTGAATCTAGCAGTAACATCGTCATGCGCTTCGGTTCGATATCGAGAATGAATATCCATGGACAATGTGTATAATTGCTTCAAACTGTTCATGCCTTTCAGTAATAAAACCACAAGCCCTCCACCCTCAACTGTTTCAATAGTTCTGGCTAAAAGGTTCGGTGTGATGGCTTCAAAATCCTGCAAAATACACATTCCAAAAGTGTTTCCCAAGATTTTCTCGGTTTCCTTGTAGTAAACATATCGAATGTTGTGCAGCGACACGAAAAGTTCGAAAGGATCCTCAGTATTTGCTTCTCTAATTCCACGTTTGATTTCCTTTTTAATTTTAGTTTCTCTCTTCTTTCGATGACTATAAGTAGCAAATTGATCAGTATGCAGCTTCAAAAGAAGGTGGCCATCTTCGCTACTGACCTCGTGAATCCTAGAAGCTTGTTTTTATATGCCCACATGACTGATTTGTTCTGTTTCATGTCCATACTGGACATAATATAGTGTAGATGTACAATGACATCCTTCGTTCTATCTCCAACAACGACAATGAAGCTTCGTTTCTTCTCTTGGATGCCATTGCGAATGAGCGCGGGGATGCGCTGATCCCTATTGATGTTAAGGTCAGTTGTTAAGATAAATACAATTCGGAGTAGCGATTAAAAGCTTACACTGCTTACGTTGGCCGACCATAATTTACAATTGTCTGAGAGATCAAAACCTATTCAATGGCGATATAAACACCAACCAATTGAGGTATTGATGCGCCGGGAACTTTTTTTGGCGATTGCACTTATCTCGAACTTTTTTTCGACAAGGCCTTGTGACGCTAGAGCGTTTGGAGTGTAGTAAGTATGCAAGGCTGCGCGCGGATAAGAGCACTTTTCACGAGGCTGAACATATGTAATCAATATCTGCCTCACTACTACAAAATGAAAACGGTTTCAAGGGTTTCTTGTGTCTGAAGATCGAAGGTGATGTATTAAACAGCTTATGGTATTGTGAATTCTCTCGAGGGACTATGGTCAAACTTGAATCTATCATGCTTTATCGCCAGCTATGCTTTTTGATACTCCAAATATGTACCATCCAAATTCCAAATTATAAAGCAATTTCTCAAGAACAATTTACTGTAAAGATTCAATAACAAGAGCAGATGCTCCACCACCGCCGTTGCAAATACCGGCAACACCAATCTTTGCCTTTTGCTCTCTCAGCACATTGACCAACGTGGTGACGATTCTAGCTCCGGAACAACCAAGAGGATGTCCGATAGCGACAGCACCTCCGTTGATGTTGACCTTGGATTCGTCCAATCCGAGGATCTTCATGTTCGCCAAAGCGACAACCGAGAAAGCCTCGTTGATCTCGTAATAATCAACAGCTGAAGCATCGATCTTGGCGTGTTTCAAAGCCTTAGGGATGGCCAATGATGGCGCGGTGGTGAATTTGCTTGGTGCCTTTTCTGCATCACCCCAACCAAGAATTTTTGCCAAAGGCTTAAGACCGAGTTCCTTCAACTTAGCTTCCGAGACTAGAACAAGAGCTGAAGCACCATCGTTAAGGGGTGCAGCATTTGGTGCGGTGACGGTTCCTCCATTTGGCAAGAAAGCTGGTCTCATAGCCTTTAGTTTCTCAATGTTCAAGTTCTTAACCTCATCATCTCTCTCGACCTTGACATTTGGCTTTCCACGGCCACCACTGACTTCAACTGGAACGATCTCGGTCTTGAAGAGACCAGCTTCGGTTGCCTTTTGGGCCTTTTGGTATGACTTGATAGCATACTCATCTTGTTGCTCTCTACTGATGTCGTGATCGACGTGGCACTCTTCAGCAGCCATTCCCATATGCTCCTTTTTGTTGTAGGCATCAGTGAGGCCATCCTTGAGAACACCATCTACCAAAGTTTGGTCGCCATACTTGGCACCATTTCGGAGAGTTGAGAGGTAGTGAGGAACGTTAGACATAGACTCAGTACCACCGGCTACAACAATATCGGCGTTGCCAGTGATGATTGTTTGAGCAGCGAGAATGATGGCCTTGGTTCCAGAAGCACAAACTTTGTTAACGGTAGTACAGATTACGCCTTCAGTGAGTCCTCCAGCAATGGCACATTGACGAGCAGGGTTTTGTCCCAAACTATTCAAATTAGTTTTGAATCATCTACAAACAAGTCATTGGCTTACTTTGCGGATAAAACATTGCCGAAGAAGATCTCCTCAACATCTTCAGGCTTGATTTCTGGTACACGCTCAACGGCCGCTGAATATCCGTTAGTCTCAGAACTTTCCACACCAGAAAGATGTAGTGAGCTTACCCTTGATGGCGATACCACCTAGTTCAGTAGCACTCTTGCTAGAGAGGGAACCCAAGAATGAACCAATGGGTGTTCTCACAGCGGAGCTACAAACAACACATGGTCAGCATTTCTCATCTTTGGAGAAAGGGTCACGAGAAAATGAGAGGGGCATGTATGCCCAGAAAACCATCCAAGTGGTGTGAATCCTGAGGAAGGAGAATGGACAGAAACTTACACAATATAAACTGGAGGAACTGAAGACATTTTTTTGAGTAGAATTACAAGATTTGAAGTTTGAAAATAATACTTTGGGAGAGGGATTGAACCTCAACAAAGCTGGGCCAGATATTTATGGTGAGGGCGGTGAGGTGAGGTGGCAGATAACTAATCAGCCCCGCCTATCCTTGAAATCTCGTGCCACTTTTGAATCTTTGCTTTGTTTGTGTTGAGAACAATGTGAAGGTTCATCTTCGGACAATGCCTAGGTGGACATAAAGTAAAAGAGTTCCTCTTTGGACGACAATGTCTAGGTGGATATAAAGTAAAAAAGACTCACAAAAGCAGCCAGAATAGTAATGCAACCCTTCGGAGTCCGAGGTCCTGGTGGTCAGTAAATGATCTAATCTAATCAATCTCTTCATCTTCATTCTCCACTATCGATCCATTTCCCTGTTTTTCATTAGATGAAGTTTACCTAATGTGACAAGGCTGTGTCACGTGATCTCAAAAAGTACCATCGCGAAACCTTGAGTTTTCGACGCGAGGCCGGTGAAGCTGTAGCTTCATTTCTTTGACATCCCTTGATTTTTATACAATTTTTCTGCATTTACTCAGTCGCGATGGATGACCTTTACGATGAGTGAGTCACCTCGACGTCTTAAGCTCTTGGGAAGCTTGGCCACAGCTAATGTTCTTGCAGGTTTGGAAACTTCATTGGTGAGGCCGAGGAGTCGGACGAGGAGTCTCAACAAGGCAATGATGCGAGCGCATACGTCTACGATGAATATCCAGAGGAGGCGCCAGAGGAACCCACGGGACAGGAATTGATGGACCTTGATGGTTGGTTATAAGCATTTTCTGGAGCTCAGAAGGGCATCAACTAACAACTTTACATTTAGATGAGGGACCTTCGAATGCAGTAATATTACATGAAGATAAACAATATTACCCTACTGCGCAACAAGTATACGGAGAGGACGTAGAAACTATGGTGCAGGAAGAAGATGCGCAACCCCTCACGCAACCAATTATAGCTCCGGTCGAACAGAAGAAATTCAACATCCAGGAGGCGGATTTACCACCGGTACATTTCGATCGAAGTTTCATGGCCGACCTCATGAATTACCCCGAACAAATTAGAAATATTGCTTTTGCTGGGCATCTACATCACGGGAAAACCGCGTTCATGGACATGTTGGTTCTTGAGACTCACGACATTGCTGAGCGATTAGAAAAAAAGACCGGAAGGAAAAAGGATGAGCAATTGCGTTATACAGATATCCATGTTGTCGAGCGTGAACGAGGACTATCTATAAAATCCGCACCTATGAGCTTGGTGCTTCAGAGTACCAAGGGGAAGTCGCATCTTCTGAATATCCTTGATACACCTGGCCATGTGAATTTCGTAGATGAGGTCGCATCCTCGTTACGGTTGGTGGACGGAGTGGTTTTAGTTGTTGATGTTGTTGAAGGAGTGCAAGTCAATACAGAGCGGATTATCAAGCATGCTGTTTTGGAAGGTTTGCCTTTGACTCTTGTTGTCAATAAAATGGATCGTCTAATCTTAGAGCTCAAGCTACCACCTACGGATGCTTATTTCAAGCTGAAGCATGTCATTGAAGAAGTCAATACTGTGATCGAGGCTACTTTACCAGGTCAAGACGAGAGCCGACGACTTAGTCCAGAAAAGGGCAATGTGCTCTTTGCCTGTACCAGTATGGGGTGGTGCTTCACGTTACAATCATTCGCAAAAATGTATGCGGACAGTTACGCCCCAAAGAAGAACCGAGGTCCTGGTTTGAACAACGAGGAGAGTGGTATTAATGCGCACGAGTTTGCAAGGAGATTGTGGGGCGACATCTTCTACAATCCCTCAAGGAGGTCATTTACTCGAAAGGGTGTTGAGGAGAAGTCAAAACGCTCTTTCGTCAATTTCATCCTGGAACCAATCTATAAATTATACTCGCATACCATTAGTGAGAGTCCAGAGGATTTGAAGGATACTCTGGAATCACTGGGGATATTCCTCAAACCATCACAATACAAGACGGATGCCAACGTCCTTCTGAAACTTGTCTGTGAACAATTCTTCGGTCCATCGACCGGGTTCGTCGACATGGTTGTACAACATATACCTTCTCCGGTGGAAGCTGCAGAGAAAAACTTGGAACGTCATTATACTGGTCCATTGGATACAACGGTTGGAACGGCTATGAAGAATTGCGATCAAGATGGTCCATTGGTCATTCAAATAACAAAGCTTTTGAACACAAGCGATGCTACAGGATTTTACTCATTCGGAAGAGTGTTAAGTGGTGTTGCACGAGCAGGCACGCAAGTACGAGTCCTTGGCGAAGGATATTCAATTGATGATGAAGAGGATATGAGTGTTGCCACCATTTCGGATGTGTGGATCGCTGAAACAAGATACAATATTCCCACAGACGGAGTTCCTGCCGGCAATTGGGTTCTTCTTGGGGGTGTGGATAATTCGATTGTCAAATCTGCAACCATTGTACCCCTTGTGTTGCCAAATGAAGAGGAGGCATACATTTTCAAACCTATTACCCATTTCACCGAGTCGGTCTTCAAGGTAGCAGTGGAGCCGATCAATCCTTCTGAGCTTCCTAAGATGTTGGATGGTTTACGAAAGATCAACAAAAGCTACCCTCTTATCACTACAAAGGTAGAAGAATCTGGCGAACACGTCATTCTAGGCACGGGAGAACTCTATATGGACTGTGTCCTGCATGATCTCCGACGATTATATGCAGAGATGGAGATTAAAGTTTCCGATCCTGTCACACGCTTTTGTGAGACAGTCGTTGAAACATCAGCTATCAAATGTTATGCCCAGACACCAAACAAGAAGAATAAGATCACCATGGTGGCAGAACCTCTCGACCAGGGTATTGCTGAAGACATTGAAAGTGGCAAGGTCAGCATCAAAAGTCCTGCTCGAGTGATTGGCAAATACTTTGAGGAGAACTATGGTTGGGATTTATTGGCTTCTAGAAGTATTTGGGCATTTGGTCCCGACGACTTGGGACCAAACATCTTACAAGATGATACCATTCCATCCGAGGCAAGTACATTCCAGAAAGCACCTGTTCGCTTACCCCTTGTTAGTAGCTAGCCTCCTAGCCAGGCTAGAGCTACTATCGTGAGTGCCTGCATAGGCTAAACAGCCGTTGTGTTGCACAAACGGAATTATTCGGCCCTTCTTATGCTGACTGATCTACAACAGGTGGATAAGAAATCACTACTTAGTGTACGGGATACCATTCGACAAGGATTTAGTTGGGCTGCTCGAGAAGGACCACTGTGTGAAGAACGTACGTTTCCACTGACTTTTCATTTGTCCTTTTCCCCAGACGCCCTCCCTCTCTCTCCCTTAACCCTTTTGCTCCTAGGTCATTATAGATCGTAATTGTGGACGACCTCAAACCACAATATTACTGAATTAATATGGAAACTTCCGTCCACTACTTTCGCACAGACCCTTGAGCTATAATCCTACCCCTGTATAACTTTTCATTGGTTCATCTATCCGAGTTAGTGCTAACATCCCTTGTAGCAATCCGCAACAGTAAATTCAAGATAACAGACGTGATATTGGCTCCTGAAGCGATCTTCCGGGGTGGAGGTCAAATCATTCCCACATCCCGACGCGCATGTTATTCTTCCTTCCTAATGGCTTCCCCAAGATTAATGGAACCCGTCTACTCCTGTTCCATGACCGGACCTGCAGATTCCGTCACTTCGCTATACACTGTACTTGCCCGTCGTCGCGGTCACGTCTTGTCTGACGGTCCTATTGCTGGTACACCTCTCTATCGCGTCAGTGGACTCATCCCTGTCATTGATTCCTTTGGTTTCGAAACCGATCTCCGTATTCATACTCAAGGTCAAGCAACCGTTTCCTTAGTCTTTGATCGCTGGAGTATCGTCCCCGGTGACCCATTAGATAAAGATGTTATTCTTCGACCTCTCGAACCAGCAGGCGCACAGGCCACAGCGAGAGATTTCGTCCTCAAGACAAGAAGAAGAAAGGGTCTCAGTGAAGATGTAAGTGTGGCTAAATTCCTAGAACCAGAACTCTTTGCTAGTTTGAAGGAAACGGGTATTTTGGACGGGTAGGTAGGGTTTATCGAGTAAATCTATCAAACGCGCGTCCTGGTGGGAAGGAAGAGCTTGGCAGAGATCTGTGGACCTGGGGTTTGATTATCTCATACTACATAAGGTGTGATTGTTCTTCCAAATCTAGAAGAGAAGTGATATATCATATGAGCGTTTTTTGGGTGGCTCGTGCATAGCGAATTGAAACTACTAAATAAATGAAAAATAATTAAGATCTGTACATGCATGGTTTTTGGTGCGTATGTACAATTAGAAATATCATCAAGGTGAAATCAAATCATAGTAAATTCACGTATTGAAAGTTAGGTCACAAGATTCCTGGGAGACATTCCTGCATGAAACTGGGGATGGTGGATTTCCCACTGCACTCTGTGCATGTTCGTCCACTGCAGCTACGCTGGGATATTGACAGCAGTAGCTCGAGTGCTGTCGATTTACTTTTATCATGCCGTGCACACTCAGCATTTATAATAATGGAGCGCAGAAGTCAAAAGCTGGTTGGAACTTGGGGTGAGACAAGAGAAGTGGAAGATCATCCGATTGAGAGGGCTGCTAGACGTTGGCGATCATTTTGGATGGAAATCGGATTGGAGATGGAAAATGGATGTGGGGTCGCTTGACTAATAGCTGCAGGTGTGCATATATGCATTTGAACAATTTAAGGCTCTCTACATCCTATGAGCCTTATCTCCATTTTTCCATCTGCATGTGCCTGACACCTACTTTGTCAGTGATAACTGAATAAGCAAGGCAATGGTATGGAAAATTGGGATACTTGTGCATACAAAGTGACCTCAGATGACTTAACCCCCCCTGTCTACTCATTCACGAGTCGCGACAATACTAACAGAAACAGAGATACCGAAAGCTCGGGATCTCTGGATGGACGAAACTATCACTTCACCCACTTGTTGAGTAGATCGAAGTCGTCATGCAGAGGGAATCGCAAAATCGATTGGCACGGGAGTGGGAATGGAAAAACTATTGTTCCCTCCATATAAACCCCTGGGATTTACGTTACTGTACGTACAGGTACATGTGTTTATGTGATGACCCTGGCCGTTGATCTGAAGTTGGATTACTCGATTCATAGAACGATTGAAGAGATGCATGCACCTGCTTTGTAACATTAGGGTATGCAGGCTTTGGTTTCGGTACCTGGGAGTTGGCATCGTATTGATAATGTCATGTCATGTGTACGATTATAAGTAAGTTTACATACACTCAATTTAATAGTGTTTCCAAAACCTTAAATTTCAGTGTTTTATTAAAAACACCTAAACATTAGATTTTCCAATTTCAATCTACAATACCTTTACCAATTGTAGTTCAATTCAATTGAAAATTTAATTAAATGATAGAGAATAAGAGTGCGTTCGGATCGATTTTCGATTTATTTCATGAAATTTCTAATAACGTTAAAATGGCAAGGGTATTCAGGCTAATATATTTACGAGGGCGTGTCTTTAATGAATGCCGGGCTGAAATTTAAGCGAATTTCCTCACCAAAACCATGCTTTATTCTATATATTCTACGGCCCGGTTGAAAATTACTAATAATAATAATAATAATAATAATAATATTCTATATATTTATAAATATACAATAATTCAAATATTCATTATAAAATTTTGAAATTTGAAAAATGTAAAGAAATTTAATTAATAATTAATTTGATATTAGAATTATTAAATTTTAAATTGAATTGATAATAAAATTCTATATAGAAATTTGATTCTTAAAATAAGTATATTTCTTATAGAAATTTTAAGTATTAAAAATTCAATATAAATTTTGACTTAATTAAAAACTTTAACAAAAAACTAAAACTATATTATTAAATTTCAAATAAAAATTTATTATTTTATAAAATTTCAAATATATAATAATATTAATTGATTTAATATTGAATTCTAAAATGAATAAGTTTTGGTGTGAAAAAGTGCTTGCGCACGGACCCGGCAATCATTAAAGACACGCCCTCGTAAGTGATATTTTGATAGTTGAAATATATTTAAATAATGTTGAAAAATTGTGTGAACAAGAGTATTCACTTCAAAGGAATGTGTCACGGGGTGACACTAAGCCCTTTCTGTCCTGTCCTGTCCTGCTATATATGTGAGAGTAAGGTAGAACTTCCAGTTCTACCTCCTAGTCTTTTGGGCGTTTAGCTCAGCGGTAAAGCTTCTGAATACTCCCAGAAGTGATCCCGTGACAGAATGACTTGAATACAATGGCTACTGTATCAAAGGGATTTAGGCGAATGCGAAAAAGACTAGCTCTTTCAATAGTGTCTATATAAGGCCTACTATTTTTCCCACTTAGCTAGCTCTTTAGATTGAATACAAATAGACATTTAGGGGCCTACTAATAGTGGGAACCACGTCTTCCGTATCTTTCTCGAATTAATAAAAATGATAGAGGTAAATAATAATGAAGATTTATTAAAGTTTTATTTATAAATTTCAAAAAGTTGTTTTACAATTAATATATAAGAATCTTGAAAGCATTCGCTATTTTAAAAATTATTTGATAGCTCCAAGCATTCGCTAAATACATTTATTTATCAAATAATTCCCTAATAATTTATTTCGTAATCTCAAGTGTTCGGTAAATCTATTATTTCAATTATCAGATCTAAATTATTTAGTAAATAACCTCAAATAAGTCGAAATAAATCGATCCCAACGCACCCTAATAAACTATATTGTTCATATGATTTTCGATTGTTTCAAATCGGTATTAATCGAATTGAAGATTTCGAGGCGAAAGTTCGAAAACAATCAAAAATAGCTTAGAAACACATTAATTTTTAATCTCAAAATCGAATTTTTAATCTATCTATCTTCAATTTAATAATTACCTCTTCAAATTAATTAAAAACTAATATACTAATTATTCTAATTAAAACAAGAACTATTCTGAAGAGTTTTTTCAATTTAAAGATATATTAATAAATCCAGAAATAATTAAAATTGAATCTCATTTTGATAAAATTAATGAGGAATAAAATTTCGCTTCTTTATTTTTGGAAATGAGTTATTAAATCGGGTATAGTACATACATGCAGTAGGCGCTGTACACACACATGCGTAGGTATGGATTGCATGTCAAGAGGAATTTGGTGGATGGATTGTGGTAAGGCTACGATCACGCGAAAACGATATCTCTCTGGAGTTCTCCAATTCCAATTATTCTTAAAACAGAATCAAGAAACGCCATCTGTATGGCTGTTAAGATCAAAGAATACCGCTATGCGTCGGTACAATAAGGAGAGAAATTTAGTCCGTCAGAGTGGTTCCCTTTGCTACAAACATCCGCCCTCCAAAAAGAAAAAGTAAGAGAGGATGAAAGATGATCCGCGTGCGCGCGCGGATATGCACGGATAATTGATAAGATCTATAACTATTCCTCCTAATGCAGTCATCAATTGTACCTAGGTAGCTATAGTAAAGTTCAGGGCGCAAATGCTACCACTTCTTGAATCTTGATTTCTCTATCATACTATGTTCACATCCTTCCTTTGTATCTCACAATACTATCCAATCAAATAATTCACCAGGTGGCATAAATGTTCCATGAATTTAATACAATTATGCGGCTCGGTGATGCCGATATGTATGTACTATGCATGATGTTCGAAAATGTGAATGGATGGAAGCGGATACTTGTCGTTAAGTGATATTGTATCATAATGAACATGGATGATGAGGTTTTTGATCTGAACGGTTGCCAGATTTTCATCTGATCAACGAACGAACGAACGAATGAATGAACGAACGAAATGGTCGAAATACTGGCGGAAACCACATGCACTAGGACCAGGATAATGATGGCTAAAAGTAACTGAGTATCAATGTTGGGGAAGGATACTTTGTGATTGGTACAGCTCCTGCTCCAATGAAGATACAGGGGAGTGGAATGTTGAATTTTTAATGGTGATAGGATGAAATGGTTCATCCAGAAACAGACTTATCATTGAGAAATTAGATTATAGCAATTCCTCAATGAAGAAACTCAATGCAGTTGGTGGCAAGTGTGGATTAGAAGATTTTGAATTCCGTGGGGGTAAACTGGGAAAAAGAGGAAGGACGTTGCAAACTTAACCAGCATTGGCTTATCCAGGAAGGCATCACAGCACGTTTCTCTCGTAAACTCTATGCCTCGTGAAAAACTCGTGTCTACAGTGTCCGGGCGAGAATAGTGACAGGCCCAAGAAACGTAAAAGAGGCGAAGGGCGGGGGGTCTACATATTGAGCACGTGTGATGGAATTGTTCTAGATTTCAAGGATTCAAACTTTTGAGGTCCCGGAAACCTTCTTTTCATGGGATTCTGAGAATTATGCTTATCTTGTGTGGAGAGCTAACGAGAAGCGAAAACGAAGCAAAGGTTTGAACCCAGCCCCTGAATGTGAAATGAATGGGCGGCATTAAATGTCGTGCAGTATTGTGAAATGTGATGAGAAAGCTTCAGATGAAATTAACAATTGCCCATCAAAGGAAAGAGAAGACGAGGGTCTACGTAAGCTTCATGACAGTTTTTTTGTCACTACCACCCCCGAGGCATAATTGATTAAGCCCTAAGGTTGTAATCTGCCAGGGCGCATCTAGTGGGTCGAAAGGTCTCGAGTTGCTTGGGAATGAGGGAATATTGTGAATAAGTGGAGGTGCTGTTGTGTTTGTGGGGGTAGAATTTGCATGGGAGCCCTGTCAGAGAGTTGACTTTTGGTAGGCCGACAAGCTTTGCAATATGGAGATGTGGATTGGTGGCACCTTTGCAGTAGGGATGGAAAGTTTGATTGGCTGTAGTCCATGACACTTGTGGAGATCGACGATGGGAAAGTTCTTTGGAACTACCAGAACTTTGTGAACATTGACCATACCAATTGAACTTTGGGGAATATTGTGACACAAATTAGACAGCAAGGCGCGGAAAGATTCTTTAAGAGTTTCTCTTTGACGAGCACAGTATCTGTATCGTGGTATTACACGCACATGCACATGCCAAAATCGGGATGTAGGTAGTATTTGGTGTGGGTTTTTGTGATGATACTTCATATTCGTAGTTCATTAATGGGGGACGGATCTGCGTAACTTTAAAAAGAATCACAATATTGCGGAAGTGATCTCGTATGTGGCAACGGTCTTCTCGATTTTCTCATAACGAGAAATTCTCTGCACTGGCTAAAGCAGTCTCAAAGAAATCTTATGTCTGTGATTATGATATCATCAGCCATCAAGACAGGTTTTCATCATCTTCCTTAGCAAATTCATGAGATTGTTATTCTCGAGGGCAGCCGCAACACGCTCCTTGTCAGCCAGTTGTTTGTTGACTTCGTCAGCTTGGCTGTGTGTATCCTTCTTGATCTTGACCTCGACTCGGTATCCTGGCGGAAGAGCTTGTTCCAAACGTACTCGCACACCAAGTCCAATAACAGTTGCTAGGGAGCAATGTGAAACCGTTGGCGTCAATTCAACCAGTACGCGAGACAGTGCTGCTGGGTTTGTGAGGTCAGGAGGCGAAACAAGATGAACATCCTCAAGCTTAACTACTCCGAGAGACTCCAATGAAAGAGGATGCTCGGGGTCGGAGATCGGTGCAATCAAGTCTTCAAAATGTCAGCTATGCAAACTTTGGAACGCGACTGACCCAATTTAATACTGAAATTCAGATAGCGCTAGTTATAATAGTGAATGGTAGAGGTATCAGGATATTCATTTGATTTTGAGATACCTACTGATAATTGCACGTTTGATATGTGATACGATGCTAGGATATATCGAGAAATCGAAGAACAATTGGTATCAAGTGAATTAGAAATACGTGAATGCTTACCATATATTTCCTGTTCATCTATTGGCTCTAAGCCAGAGTCGTCTGAGTCTGAGTCTTCATCTGAGAAATCTGACATATAAAAAGGATCCAGTGCATAGCTGGGTTTTGCCATCAATATGCTCTGTATACCATGTTTCTTGGCCGAATAATCTCGAACCTTGCGCTTTTCTCTTCGACGTGATATTTCGGACACATTCAAGATCGTAGGGTTCGCATTGTCTGCCGATGCCATGTTGAGATGAGTTGGGGGCCACTTGGGGCTCTGCTGGCTAACAGGAATGGCTTTTCTGTGATAGTTGGATAGCTGACAGGTTCAACGTTGCGACTCGGGTTAGATATGTTCAGCTGGGCTTGCGAGTCGATAGGCAGCGGGTTATTGAATGGATTGCAGGTTAGAGGTGCAAGAGCTTGAGCTATGGTTTCTTGAAATCTTGAACGTAAATTTGATAATGACGAAGAGGTTTATCAAATTCCCTTTATCGATAAAGCGAAGTGGGATAAATCTGAAACCTGAGGCATGATATCAGTTCATGACTAATCACCTAATGATCGAGGAAAGCCAAGGACAAGTATTGAACTTAGAACTCGTAAATACAATGATAAATCATAATACACCAATAAACACTGGAGATTTTTGCGTTGATACTGTCCCTCATTGCATTCCCATGCAAGTCCCTCTTTTGCCCTGCTCTTTGTTGTTATATAGTAGTCCTATTTCATAAAGTGTCTATTTCCATCTTGTGCAAAGTTTCGAGTCCCATATTAGAGACTAACTTTGATATTTGTGGCACGCTCCGCACAATCCCATGGCCAGAACATGGAAGTTCAAGGATGTATCAAAATTCACCTCAAAATCTAATAAATGTCCAGAAGATTCATGAAGGATCAACAAGCACGAGCCATCTGCATCTCGTGGCGATCCTGCGCTTCCAAGGTTAAAGGTTCCGTGCTATACTCGTTTCCGTCCCGGAAGATCTTTAAACCTGGTCTCTTCATATTTGAGATTGCCAGACAAATGAAACTCGTCGGCAAGCTGGACCCTCTGGGTAGCTTCAGATGATCTGATCAGACAAGTTATGATCCGAACCTCCGTGATGAACGGTGTAGATTTTGGAATTCGGACTTTTACTCTTTTGCTTTCCAAGAAACCAGCTTCAATGTACGTTCCAGGTAGATTAGACTACCACTGCCTGTGCGTCTCACGAAGCCAATGGCCTTCCACGCCCTTGTTGGCAAAACAAATACTGAAATCAGCTTATGGCCGCCATAATATCTACCTCTTTAATGTACTCTTCCGTGCGAAAGGTTGCTGGCTCGAGGAACTGCAAGGGGGAGAAAGGTTGTAGAGAGATTATCGATCCATCTGCAGGATAGGCAATCTTTGTCTATCGACGCCCAAAGCCGTCAAACCCTTTTCCTTACTCCCAGCAAAAAACAATGGCCCATAACAAGACCTGCATGTATTCTTCTTCCCTTGTGAACAATCTTCAATGGACATGAGATATCTTTGAGCCACCGAACCATGTTGCCGGGTTCGTCTCTGCTTGTCGAGTGGCTGCGGCTTTAGGGCACGGAATCATGAGGTTAAAACATCCAATCTTTTGGCTTGTCCTGAAATCCCAATATTCCTTGTCAGAGCCGTATCGCATGTGCATTGTTCGCTGCATTTGCTGGCAACTGCGTCCCATATCGCCTGAGAACTGATACCCGGCGACCTTTTCTGGGGCTGTTTAGAGGCTAGTACAGTGTTTGCGGGGCAGTAGTACCTGTCCAGAGATCCTTGGATCCACTCATCATCTAAAGAAAGGCATTATTAATGGAGCAGTTTTCTGAGAATGTATTGAAAATATGCAAAAATACATTAAACAGATGCAACCCTTCATGTACGTTCGTATTCACCTGCACATGCCCCAGTACTTCGGCATGGAAGTGCTTTTGACACACCGCCGACGCCATGAAATCACCACAGACGTCTTGAAACAGACAATCTACAATCTATTTGTTGTTGTACAAAAGTTGCTAGACGTACAGTACTTTGATTGTATCGTAAGTTCGTGACATAGGTGATGTGCGCCTTAAGTCCTAAATTACTAGGACTTTTCGGTGATATAACGGTATCGTTATCAATCAAATGAAAATGAGCTTAGGGGCAGAATAAATATCCGTTTGTTATGTGCGAGTACGACGGACCAACGACTAACACTTTTTCCTATTTCTTTTCTAGTGCAGGCAGTAGAAAAGAAAAGAATGGTATCTATTTGCCGCGATTACCCCTCACAATGCCCTAAAGCACCCTAAAAACGAACGCCTAACCATATGAAAAGCAACCTCGGACTATTGCCATAGACCTAAAGTCCTATGATGCTTCTAAGTCTGAACCCTAAATCCAAGTACCTATAATCTATTGGTAGGTGCCGATGTGAAGTGCCTACAGCCTTCCGCACCTCCTGTAGCACAAACTCCATTTCAGGAACGATGCCTGCGTTCTGTGCCCCACGATATTGAGTTATTCTTTACTTCTTTCTTCCTTTCTCACGAATCGGTATATATGAACATGACAAATGTGAAATGTATTCAACTTCTTGCATTTTGACATGTTAAATGTGGTACCTATCATCCAGGAGGCCATTGTGGGTACAAGACTAAAGAGAGCATCACATCCTTCCACTGATCACCGTTTCACACATCCCAAACTGGTTTACCATGCATCACCGGTCCGAAGGCTACATTCTACGGGATCTTTTACTTGTAGAAGGATGAGCGAGTTGGTATGGTCCTTTTAATCAATCTTGTTTGTGAATCTGCGATCCCATGGCTATCTTCGAGACTTTAACCCATATAACCTACAACGAATGATTGAACCGCATATACGCCTCGGTAAATTTAGGCCCTATTTTGCAACCACCGAAAAGCCTTCTCCCCGGAAACTTACAGTAGCACCGGGTACCTGTACCTGTCTGTACCCGTACCAATTACCCTTTCAACAACATTACGAATGAAGATAAGATGAATGAATGCATGTGATAACAGGAATGACAATCAAGATTCCAAGAGTTGATGTCTTCGGCAGTATCCGCGTCAAGACGAAGGTGTTAGGCGGTTTTATCGAGATTACGAGTGAGGAATAAGGAGACCTGCCGTATTTTTTCTTGGGCTCCCCCCGTTCTTTCCCATATTGATAATAATTTGGTGATTTCACTAATATATGAAAAGAGAAAAAAGAGGGGCCAACCTTATTGGATCATTACCAAATACAAAACACCACTTTAAATTCGGACTTCAAGCCTTCCCATTCCGATTTTTCTTTCGTTGACAGGGAAGTCGGTTACGATACTATTTTCTGCCTCGTAGAAACTAGAAGGATGCTACATCATGATTCATAAGTCTGTCTCTTCTATTGGACTTCCTTGAATTTTCCCTTTCTATTTTAGAGAGATTGTCCTTCAAGCACTTTGGAAGTTCCCGGTTCTAGGCAAAACAATATCTCCTTCATTTTGCCTAGATACGTACTGGCCTTCTCAACTGGTTAGCAACAGAGGTACCTATCACTACTGTATGTTTGACCGGGATTTTGGAAACCAGCCGTTTCGAGTTCCCTGCTATCACCTCCCGGCATACTCACTTGCGGGTCTTTTCTTGTCAGACCTTAGCTTGCCTGAGTCCATGACACCCCATACAACAAGATCCATGGTCCCATAAATCCATTATCACCCATTATCCCTCCTTCCACGCCTGCATGAGGTAAATACCCTCACGCCTAACACTTCGGTAAGAGAAATTTGGGATTCATTGGGAATTGCGTCTATACCCTTACCTATCTATCTACCCTACCTATCTATACCCATACCCACAGCAAATTTATAGGCCAATCCAATATTATTGTCCATCTAATACCTAATGCTTTATAGATTCTGGTCTGGAAGGGTGGTCATCCTTCTCTGGCATCACTTGCACTAAATTATACTTTTGTATTGTGGCGCGACCCTAGATCAATTCAAGCTTCTATCGAGTGCGGAGTACTCTCTCTTAGTATCTGTACATACAACTACCATCTTCAATCGATTTTGACCAAATACCGCATCAAAAGAAATTACACCATCTGTCAAAAGTAGTCAATCTTCTTTCCTTTTCTATGGGGCAACACTTTCTTCGTTTTATGATACAATATCAGTATACCCCAACCTTGATCAATTGGTATGTGAGAGAAGTAGGCGCATGTTGTGCTACTCATGATGCCTTCAATCATAGATGATTAGCTGACCCTGATCTACTTCCGCAGTTTCATTCTTCGATATCCTTGAACTTCCGATACTCCGCCATTCGATTTCAAACGTCCAGCTTCGTGGCCTCTCGAATTAGTCTGATCAAAACCCAATTCGTGCTTATTCTGGACTTAGAACGTGCCCCCTCATCTGGATGCGGCCAAGTGATTGATTTTTTGGGTTCACGACGCTCCGCTTCCTCAGATCCATTTTCGAATATATCGACGATCCTCACTGAAAGAGGTTGTTTTTTCTCTCATCGGATACTCGACAAATAGGCGCCTATAACCGCGGTACGACATCGTGTAGGAAGCCGAATTCGCATTTCAAAATAGGATATGTCCCAAGACCTTGGAACAAGGAGACTACTCCCCCAAAGCTCACAAATGCAGAACTTTTCGTTTGCGCCAACAAACTTTGGCCCAAGAGAGAATCAAAAAAGTGCGCGATCTTGCTTTCATTTGGGTAATTTGGAGTTGACATGGGCTGATATATCTTAGATTATGTCTTTGTTGACGAACACAATCGCCACAAGCGTTTGAAGGGTATGAGATGTCCTCAGTCTATGCGCATTCCTCTACTAATGCAGCATAGTGATGCGAGCTTGTGAAGGATGTCGAAGAAGAAAAATTAAGTGTGATGCTGCAACAACGAACACCTGGCCATGCTCCGCTTGCACAAGGCTCAAGTTGGGATGTGTCCCCCCAACAGTGAACTACGATCGCGATTTCCAGCAAAGTAATCAGACCTTTGAAGCAGAAGCGCCGCAATACGATAATGGTGGAAATCCCAGCGGTGGGTACCATCAGCAAGTTCCAGTACAACAGCAAATGACAGGCCCCTCAAAGGTGGTACCTCCAATTTATACACAACAACCTCCATATCCCGATCCGAATAACATGTATCAATCTATTCCATACGGAGGACCCTCGAGTGCACATAGTCAACAGAGTATGCATTATAATGCTCTTCAAACTCCAGTCAGCGCACTCAGCCAACATACAGAATATTCGCCACAAGCGGTATATCCCACAGCCCCTCTTCAGCAACAAACACATGATTCACCGGAAAATTATACCCATAGTGAATACAGCGGGGAGGATTTGGCCGACTTGCTAGGAGAACTCAAGATGAACCCCGCAGGCACAGGTAAGCGATTTGCTCGTCAATTTAAGTTATGGTTCTGATGAAGAAACAGCTCCATACTTGAACAACAAGAACAGGACCAGAGCGTTGGTAGAAGAACCAGCTTTTGAAGACATCGATGAATACAAAAACGCTTTACCCCCAATTACATTGAGCGCCGACATGAAGATCAGAATACCTCCCGAGTTGCTTCCAGACGAACAGACTATCCTTCATTATTTTGAGATGTACTTCACAAATGTACATCCTTATGTACCTGTCCTTAACAAAACTTTGTTTTACCAACAGTGGCATACGAATCGAGATGCTATCTCACCTTTGATACTGGAAGCTATTTTTGCAATCGCTGGAAGACTTGATGATGAACCAGCGCAGGGCCATCAGTGGCTCGCCCTTGCTTCTAGTATGACCTCATCTTGTAGCTAAATGAATCACTCCACTAACTTCATATAGAACATGCCGATGCTTTTATGGATGTTCCGCGATTGAGCACTCTTCAAGCAAACCTAATAATACTTAAAGCAAGAGAATCCGCTCCAAAGCGTGGATATTATTATCGTTCATGGATGACTGTAGTAGCATGCGTTCAAATGGCCAAGGATCTGGGTCTAGATGAGCACTATGAAGATCACAAAGCAGGCCGATCATGCGGTTCTGATCTTGCTGACTGCATTACCAAAACTCGAATATGGCAAACCATATTCGTTTGTGAATTGATGATCGGTTCTCCACAAGGTCGGACGGATCTCGCGGTCGACATGGAAACACTTGACTTGAGCGTTCCCAGATCTGGGATCGACAATGGAGAACTCGCCATCACGCGCAATTTCACTTGGTTCACACGTGTTGTTCGCAATGTTCGGAGGATGAATAATGTTTACGCAAAAGTTAAGAAGAGAAAGGAGTGGGGTATCGATCCAGATTTCGTACAACTCAACCCTTCCTTCGAAACTTGGATGAATGATCTTCCCGAAAACCTACAGATTGATTTTCCAGCGGATGGATCCCCTCCATGGCTGCCTACTCACTTCATTGGCAATCTTCACTCCTACTATTACCTGAGTATTATCATGCTTCATCGTCCACAACTCACTTTCATGGAACCAGGAATGGACGGGTGGAAACACCATATGCTCATATGTTATAATTCTGCGAAGCTCTTATGCAGACTTCAAGAAAGTGTCTTACAGTCATTTGGCTTAACTGGTCTATTATGCATGCAACGGGGAATCAACTTCACTATCTATTGTGTTCTGACTTGCACAGTTCTTCACTTGGTATGTACAACAGCCAATCTACTGACTTGATCTTCTGGTGTGTTGACAATCTTATAGGTTGCGATCACATCCCCGGATCCAGACTTGAACTCAGACGCCCGGGAATATTTTACCAGACATATGAGAATCCTAGAAAAATGTACCAGCTCATGGCCCATGCCAGATATGCAACAACAGATTGAGTCACTCAGGCAGGCATTTTCAGCTGACACTAGGAAACCTTTCGTTCTGAAGCCATCTTTTCCTTATGGGAGTCCAGCTGCACCGCCCCATACTAGTCCTGCAAGAGGAAATGTTCAACAGTATCGTCAAGGAAGCACCTCATTGGAGAGTCAAAATTTGGGACATCAAAATGCCCAACAGCAACAAGTCAGTTACACAAGTCACCCCATTTCACCACCCATTTCAGCTGGGGGCATAGACACGAAAAGTGACTCTCCCGCTGTACAGTCTCTGGTCATGATGGCCACTGGTCAAAGACCCCCAGTTCCAATTACAAGCGGGCTTCAAATGGCAGATAACTCGACATGGAACCCGTCAAGAATTTTTGAGTAAGTTTATTCCTAACCCGTACCTCAAAAGTACAAATACTAATTGTGTCACCTTAGCCAATGGAACAGCACTTTCGGTACGCCTCCCGCTTCGAGCAGCTCTGCTTCTGAAACGACCCCTCCTCTAAAAACTCCCTCTTCAGGTGCACAAGAACTCCCGACACTCCCAGAAATGCAAATTCTCCCCAACGTGAGCTTACCGCCAGGCTCACAACCTATGCCTCCACAACAATATTCTGGAGCGCCCATCCCCTCATTTGTGAGCCCAAGTATGTGGCAAGAATCAGTCGCGAATGTGTATGAAAGCGGAATCAAACGACATTGGGATTACTCAGATCCAAATGAGATGGTGAATCCTATCGCAAAACGAAGAGGTTGATCGTCTCGATCTGGTGAAAGGTGAAAGGTTGTAGGTACGAATACGTACGATTAATGAACGGCAATCGAATTCGATATCAAGAAAGCCAGATCCATATACACCCCATACGCACAATTCATTTTATCCTGGAGATTAATTGTCTAGTTTACACTTTTGTACGGACGGGTCGATAGATCCGAAAGATCTAATTTTGGGTATATATACGTCTTGGCTCGACCGACGCGTCACGATTTCCATTGATATTCAGGGTAAATTTTCGCATCACGTTGGATTTTTCATATTTTGGGTCAATAAATTATCAAATGAGTACATAAATAAATTTCCATACACAATCTCGAGGAGCATGGGGGGAAAAGGTCGGATTCATCAGATAGGGAGTCATACACTGGATAGGATCGCTGGATTGGCTTGAAAGCGGGATGAAGAGGGAGCAATTGGGCGTATCATTGGGTTTGGGATGGCTGGAAAAGTGTTGTGATTGGCCAAGATAATCGCCGGGTTGCTTGGAGATCTTGAAAACTTAGCATTGGTATAATGATGAGATGGAGGAATACAGAAAGGGAAGGAGAAAAATGTTTTAGGTTGGAAAGATGATGTGTTGATACTGTATGTTGCCGCGAGAAATACCGTGGCCCATGGTAGGAAATGGAATGACTTGTATGCTTGATATATTATTATGTCATCATATTTTGGTGGCTGCATTGTATTTATGTATTTCAACGGTGCATTTGGGCCTCTTAGAAAGGAATACTTGTCATACCTATCTTTGATTACGTGTATATAGGAGAACTGGCAAGAGTTTAGGAGGCGGGATTAGAAATAGTTGCATATACACATATATTTATTCGCGTCACAAAGACACATACGAGTTGGAAAGGAGAAAAGCTGCTAAACTGCGAGATACTATTGAATGAAACCTAAACCGAATCCGAATTCTAACCCATATCCATACCGAACCAAATGAACTCAATTCAAATCAAAAGCGAAAATCGAAACAACTAAGCTAATAAAAAAACCCCCCAAAACAACAGAACAGCAAAGGTGAAAACCAATCCACAACAGATGGCAGTGAGACGTGAAAACCCGATACGCCATCTCTTCACTTCCCAAAAATGACGGGGTTTCAGCTCATGTAACATATATACTGTCTTTCGACTTCCTATGTCTTCCTCTATATTCCTAGAAAGGCCATCCTGTGAATGTCCAAACGTGTTATTTTTCGACTTTTCAAACGTCCCAACTTCCACCAAGCTGTACATAAATCCACCTCCCAGCGCCAAAATCATCCCGGATATGTGAGCAAATCCTGTGAATGATGCATTCGCATCTCTAAAAATCACAATCGATATCGCAATCGAGATGACTTGTTTGATATTCCCCAACACGGCCATCGTAAGGGCGCCTGCCTTTTTGTTCGTGGTAAAACTCGACCAGTTTAGTAGGAATGCTACGAGACCGTTTGTGAGAATGAGAAGGATACCGAAGTGAGAGGTCGAGAGGGGAGAAGAAGTGGAAGATATATGTTTTACGAGAAATTCGTCGATTTCGCCGTTCATGTAGGACCAGATTGTGGCTTGGATGCCGGCGAGAGGGGCGACGTGGTGGATGATTGTTAGAGCGGGGATGGAGAGGTGGGTTTGTAGGGAGTTGGTTGAGAGGGTTTTGCAGGCGGAGAGGAGGGCGCCGAGGAGACAGAGTATCGTGGTGTCGAGAGTGAGGGTGAGGGAGTCGTGGGAGACGAGGAGGACGCCGAGATTGAGGGGGAGGAGAGAGATGATAGTGAGAGGAGAGTAGGGTTTTGTGTGTAAACGGAAGAGTAAGGAGAGGATGAGGACGAAAATGGGGATGGTGGAGCGGATTACTAGGTGGTCGGGAATAGTCATTATTCCACTACCGAGGAGTTAGTCGGGATTAGAATGAAAGAATCAAGAGAGAGAGAGACAATTGAAGACTTACAGTGAGACATTGCTGACTGCAATATTGATCGTGTATAAGATCGAAAATAAGAGTATGTAATAATTCTTTCTTTGACTTCGATGTTCAAGATTTTGAGAATCAAGTCTTCGAGAAATATATGTGCCCATGGAAGAGCAGAGTGCGTGCCATGCTGTAAGAAGCCATGGGTATGGATACTATGGTTTGTTAGTAGGGGGACTTCTTTTATGAGAGATGAAAGAACGTGCTTGACATAAAATACTTTTGTTCAAAAGTGTGAGGAGCAAATTCAGAGCTAGGTAAATTATGAGATGGAATTCGGGAGTGTTGAGTGAGCAAGTGTAGCGAATCATGGCGGCTGTGAAGAGTGAACTGGAGCTGGAATGGTGAGAAATCGAGACGCCATTTTGTAGCAAAACAGTTGAGAGTTTACTAGAACTCGAGGGCAGTAGCCATCAAGATTGGCTTCTGATTATCACACTCTGACGTTAATAAGGATGAGTCGCAATCGAAGCTTATAAATCTCGAGAGAATAATCGACTGCACCTTCCCAAAGAAATTTCAATGAAGGAGGTGGTTTCCGAAATCGGGTTGATATGAGTAAAACAGGTGAGGAAGAATACTTCACAAAATATCATAACAATCCATTAGGTAATCGTCAGTTCGATCCCATTGCATCTCCTCGAAGCTATTGATATGCTGCGAGTATTCATCTGTACACCCTGCTCCACGAATTAGGGAATCTGCATGTGATTTGTTGGTATGAAAGGAGATATCAAGAACTTACAATCCATTTCCTCGGTGATTCTCTGGTTCTCTGAATCAAAGACAAATTCAGGGGAAGGAGGCTCGGCGGGAATGGGAGCGGCGGGCCGATGAGGACAGAACTGGATAGGTGCCGAAACCGGCGAGAAAAATGGTGAGTGAGGTTGTTGCTGCGCATAGAAAGGGAGAAAGAAAGGAGGGAGAGGCATTGGCGCAGGTACTGTTGGTGCCGGTGCGGGCTGCCCAAACGACGTAGAAGAGAAGAGGTTTGAAGCGACAGGATTCGGCGCTGGTGCTGTTGCCTGTACGGGAGGGGAAAAAGAGGAGAAAGGTGCCGAACCAAACATTGGCGCTGGCGCTGGGGGTGTGACAGCGGAAGGGAACTGTGGGGGCTGGAGGAAGGTAAACGGAGAGGAAGCCGGGAAAGTCGGCGCTGGTGCTGGTGCCGAAGGGAGCTGGGGAAGGAAAGACGGGGGAGCAGAAGGGGCGTAGGGAGGAAGATTTCCGTATGGAATTGGAGCAGCCGCCGCTGTTGGTGGAAGGAATGACGATGGAACGTATGGCGGTGGAAGGTGAGAAACTGGTGCCGGAGAAGAGGTTGGTGGTCGGTTGAATAGGCTACCTGCCATTGAGAACGGGGTGCCATTGCTACGCTTTGGCGGGGCCACCGCTGGAGGTGTGTTTGCGGGAGTGGGGAGAGCTGGAGCTGGAGCTGGAGCTGGAGTACCGAACGTCGAACGTCCGTTCTTGGTGGTAATCAAAATGGTGGGCCCCTTCTTTCTTGGAGCAAAAGCATTGGCTGCCCATGCAGCGTTGGGTGGGAGATCAGGATTCATTGTTAAATGTGAGAATCAGAAAGCTTTGAGAAGTGGTATTATAGCAGGTAAATTACTGATGGACAGCAGGAATTGATATGATAAACTTCTTTGAATTGCTTTCGTGTGAAGAGGAAAAGAAGAAAAAAGTATTGAGAGAAAGACCAAAGTTCCTACTGATATAACTTTGCGGTACAGCTCAACTGTGCCATTTACACTAGCAAGTGATTGATTCTACTAAGGTGAATACAACTGACGCGACGCGACTGTACAATAGAAACGATTCGCTTGCCCACGAATACAATAAGATTAGACTCGAAAGTGAATATTAGGTGTGTGGAAGGGGGATTCACTTTTCTTTTTCGGGCAATGGCGTCTATGATATTGTCTCTCGTGAGATGGAACAATAGAATGGCCAATACTACTGAATGCCACAAAAACAATAAGTAAAGCAAATCCATAGGCGGGAAAGAATCCTCGCAGACTACTCACCACATTGACTGGAGAGGAAACAGCTAGATAGTCTTGCTAAGCGAGAGTGCTAGCTTATTGTCGGGGCTATACTTATGGCAGCACTCCACATTGTCCTTGAAGCATGGCATATTCAGCTTTATCCATTGTAATACAAATGCCAAACAAAGCAAGAGGTTTAGATAGTGATCGAATTCTAGGTCTTTGCTTTAGTCTGATTCGGTCTGATTCGAGTGAGATAATTCCACATTGTCGTGTCATTGATGTCTAAAGTCATTAGATACAACACAAGAAAAGGCCTGTGAAGAACGAAGATCCAGCAATGGAACTATATTATCCAGTTGTAGCGAACGAAAGAAGGGCTCATTGCAAAAAGAGCGATCTACCGTTAGGTTCATCGTTCGAAGTAGTATCTGAGTCCAAGGGTGAACAGGACATCTACGCCAATGATTGAAGAAAAGACGTCAAGTAGCGACTAAGTATGGCAGCCTCTACCCCTGAGCTGGTGGAGGTGAAGCGGGGGATCATGCTACTACCATAAACAGGGCCGGCCTACCGTTTTATCTGGTTGTTCGTATGAGATCTTAGTCTATAGATTTGATAAGCATCGTAGTGATTGGAGGCAGTCCAGAAAATAACTGAAGCTGGAATGTGAGACTTCAAATGTGACTGCAGGAGAAAGTTGAAGGTGACCTAATGACCATAGACAAAGGCATTCCGTCGTGGTATTTGACGTCTATTTAGACTTCGAACAAAAGATTGGCTGATGGAATACTATGTTATCTTTTTGGGTTGAAAGAATGGGTATTATCCTCTCAACTAAGGGACAGCAGAGCAGAGGCGCATCTCCGATTAGGTACGCCTTGAAGGTCGTGAAACGTCGCCACATTCATGATGAATGACATGATCTCCATATGTATATTTGGGTTTTGTCAATATGAAGCTTGCTATGTTCATGTCAATTCGCATACTTCAGAGGTATTGGTCCACCTAGAGCACACTGTAGACAAGTGAAGATGTTATTTGGGAACAAAAAGATCATGTGACTCGCTTCTAAAACACTGTGCCTAGATTGGTCGTGTAGCCAATCATAATACCAGAATATAATTATTCCGTGACAGAGAAACCTTAAATTTTGTTGCATGTCTAACATTTTCTCGGTCAGGTGGAAAAATATCACAAGACCTATGGGAATTCTTTAGATCCAAGAATACAAGTCAGTTGCTCAACGACATTTGTATGCCCACAATATATACATTGAAGCTTCACGTATATAATAATATCAAGCTTAATGATGTGAATGATATTGTCACAAATCATCGATGGTGTTTCTTGATATGAGTGCCTTTTTATATTATGAATTCAAAATCACCCCGTACTAGGTCGTACGTGATGTACTTGTTTGGCCTGAAGTCATCATTAATGTCAGATGAACTGTTTAGTATAAACATTTATACTGTTTTTATATATTTACCTCTTGATTACTTCACTGACATCCACAAGCCGTATGAGAGCAATGCGATGTGTCTAAACACCCTTTCCAGTTGTGTCACTGGTCTATCAAACATGACAGGGACCACTATCTTTCATCGTATTCCTCAGTTTGCACTTTCAACCGCTGCACGGGACCTCAACAGCAAAAAGTTCATGGTAAAGACTCGTCGTTCCTTCCGATAGTTCGGGAGTAGACAGTTGCCAGACAACGACCTAACATCGATAATAAAGCTGGCAGCTTAGGGTACTCCCTTCCTAAAGTAATACCCCCTTCTAATTGTCGGTATTATACTGTCAAGGCCCACTTGAGACATCTAGTTGGGAGTCCAGATTAAGATCTGCAGTAGGCCAATGTGGTTTCGTACCATACATTAAAAGTGTTATGTTGGCTTGATCCAAAGTCATAATGGGGATGAAGTCCCTAGGCCATTGGAAGCAAGTGCGATCACTTCCCACTCCAGTTAGCTGATACAAAATCTAGCTCTACATTTGCGACTGGAAAGATACTTTGCTCATCCGATATCGTCGAACTACAAAGGATTTCCTAGCAAGTTAGCTCAAGTAGTACATGTCAATGTACTTTAGTGTCACAGCTAGGTGCAAATAGATAACTACTTGATAATTGAATCTTCCAATCAAGACATTCAGAGCTATGTGAAATAGATTTGTTGCACATCTGATCTTATCAATTTGCAAGGTACATCCTAACAAGCACAATAAGAAGCTCAAATTTAGATGTAGCTGATAAATTCGCTTCACGGCCATTCCCTATCCATCAATCATTGCCCTCATCCTCCCCCCATGCATGAATAAGATCCGTTTTTTTTTACCCTAATCACGCTTAAACTATGATCTTCATATTGGTTTATGACAGGTTCTAGAGATTTAAAATACGTCGATAAATCAAACAAGAGCTTCGATCAAAAGAGTATCTTTATTCCTCTCCGCTATATTGCATGGATCGACTAACTCGGAGCCTTCCAAAGCTTCTCAATACTTCTAGAACATGCCGACAGATCATCTCTCGTATATTTCTATGTTCTGAATTGTATTCATAGATAGATAGCCTTTTGGATGAGTTCCTGCGATTCTGCTACACTGAAAGATTCCGGAGAAAATGCTTACTTCTCTATGCTTCGTCAATAATAATATAGTAAGGTCAATCAAAATCGATGACAGTGTCAAACTAGTCTACTACGCCCAACTTTCCTTAGTGGCATAATCATCATCTTCTAACATCGTAGACCACCACTAACAAAAGTCTAACATCGACATACTTCCCGAGTAGTTCTGGGTATCTCCTAACCACCCAATAGTTCCATACAAAAAAATCATGCAGATCCCCCCTCCCAAGATTCCTTTATAAACCCCATCTTCCACGCCCATTTTAAATTTCCTACTTCTTCTTCTTTCCTCTTCATCACACAGCAGATATACCAAGTCGATTGCTACTTTGAGTCTTTCTCCGGAAACCACCAAGTCCATCGTTACTTTGAGTGATCTCTTGTGCGATACGTCGAAAAGTCCTACCGAGTCAATCGCTACTTTGAGTGTTTCTTCGGAATCTACCAAGTCGATGGATACTTTGAGTGTTCTTTTTTCTTTACTATACCCTTTTGCTATACAACTTTTGCTATACCCTTTTGCTATACAACTTTTGCTACACCCTTTGCTATAATTTTTTGGTCAAGTGATCTTTTTTGCCACAAATTATGTCCAGGATTTGAAGCGTAAGTTTTTCTTTTTTTTGCCCTCGTGAATTACATTTGCAGGAATGGTAAGTTGGTACCCCCTCTTGCGCAATCTCATATTCTGATTTCTCCTCTTGACGACAATCTGTCATTTCCTGGTTTTACCATCCGTGTGGAAAATCAATCCGCGCCTTCCATGCTTGAAGACGTGGAGCATTTCTTGAGCAAGTCTTTCAGGCCAGAGAGACATTATTCTTGACTCTTTCACATTCACTGATATGAAGTAACAATGAAATTCCACGTGGTATCACGTCTCATGTTCCATCAAAAGCAATCAAAATTTCTCAGTATGTCATTTTTGTCATATCTCGAAGTGCTACTCTATCTTGTCATCTGATGGAGCGTCGTGGTTGAATCCGAAATCTTAAACTTTGATCAGGCGCTAAGTTTACTCCAAAATGAGATGAGGTACTGCTCTTCAAAGTTCAACTACTCTTCTTTCCTCATATCTTCTTGATTCCCATTTTCCTGTTAACGTCACATCCTCGCTCTTCAAGTTTCATTACAAATTCAACAATGCTCACTACTAAGGTCCTTTCCTCCCTCACCAAATCCCTTGTTTCGTTTGTCAGCCTTTCAAAGCATATTGTACTGAACGGTAAAATTGAACGGTTACAAGATACCAGTATCAATCTGGAATGCCGAGAAGCACCCCAAGAGCGGATCAGAAAACAGAAGTAAGCACTAGGTAGTTTATAGTCGAAATTGTCAATCTATACACCCTAATTTCTGTCTTTTGCAGCGGAAGAAAGTTTGCTGCTAGAGTGCAGTGTTATCAACCGGAACTTGAAGTCATACAATTGAGAATAGCTTCTATGGATTCTATAGAAGAGAGATTCGGCCACTACTGTGAATGATTCAAAAACAAAAGAAGAATCGTAAGAGTTCTGGAACCTACTCACCGCACCCCATATGGTTTTGCGACAAAATCCCTGCAAAATGGCGTTTTCCCATACAAATTAAAAGAAATTAATAGCGTTTTCAATCCAAAAGATTTTATTTCGAAAATTGAATTATATATAAATCATATTATAAATTAGTTAAAAAAATGAATAGTTTATTTTTAAATATTTTTGTTAGGAAACTACATAAGTTTGAAATTGAAAAAATTGATTTTTTTTAACTTGTAACACTTTTTCTATACAAAATAACGATTTTTTCGAAAATTTATGAATTTTGTTTTCAATATCTTATAACTCTATAATCAAAATAGCTAAAATAAACTAGCGTTTTTTTAATTAAATTCAAATAAATCTAAATCATTTTCTATTTGATTATATCGTTTTATATAGAAGTATAATAATTAAATAGGAAATTTAAAAAGTTGAAGAAATAAGGGTTTTAGCAGGGAAAACGATTTATATGCAGTGAGCAGGGGCCAGAATTCTTACAATAGCCACAGCTGATTTTTTCACCAAGAGTCCTCGAATGATGAATGTTTGTATTGGTTCGAGAAGGATACAGAAGACGTAGCACCCACGTATTCGTAGGTCCTAAATGTCTTAATTGTATTCTATCTAAAGAGCTAGCTAAGTGGGAAAATATTAGGCCTTATATAGGCACTACTGAAAGAGCTAGTCTCTTTCGCATTCGCTTAATACCTTTGATACAGTAGCCATTGTATTGAAGTGATTCCTTTGAAGTGAATACCCTTGTTCACACAGTTTGTGGGAAGAAAAAGAAGACAAATAGGGAAGAAGAACTCTGTAAGAACTTCGTAAAGATAACATTCACAAAACGAGATACGGTGGAAAATGAAGTCCTTAATATGATAACTCTCTAGCATCAATCGAGCAAAATTGTGATGCGCAATCAGTACTTTCAATGTGTGTAAATATATGCCAATTACGATAGCATGTCAATAAAACAGTTCGTATGCATTGCAAAGGCAATGAAAGACAGTAAAGGATCAGCTTATAAACATGACATTCCGCCTCGAAATTCTGAAAGGGGGAGAAGAAGGGGGCAAATTGTGGAAACGAAAGAAAACGCATTGACTCTAGAATACTACAAGACAATGATGTCATAACATTGCAATACGCAAACTGAAAGAATTTGCACATATTAATGCAGTTTTAGAGAAGAATCGTTACAAAGGACTAATCAGTCTTGCTTTGACTCGCTATTTTGCGTATTAATCAAATGTGTAGTACATCAGATAGGTACTTTCATCCCCTCGTAAACCATCGCTTCCTTACCCCAAGCTTTGCCTTTCTAGACTAGTCCAAGGTAATACGCTTATAAAAATCCAACTCCATTAGTAGAGTATGGGACTCTATTGTTCCACTCACCTAAACGCCTTATCATCACATCCATGTGTGTCTTGATACCCACCATGAACGCCTCAAAACAAAACCCGATATCCACTAAGCACAGTACCATCAGCTGACTGGGCCTCGTGGTAATCCAATAGGTCTTTGTTTTTTCCTTTGCACTCTTCTCATTTTAACTTGCATACTTGCAGCGTCAAACTCCTTCTTTTTAGGATCCCAAGCTGCGATGACATCAAAGACCACGAAAGCCCTGTCAGATTCCAGTTCGACAAATCCAGATACTTTAATAGAACCCCTTGGATGAAGGTTTTGAGTTGGCCACAACCCCCTGCTGGCCTCGACGTATTTGTATTTGAATGCCATGAAGGGTTTTGCAAACCCTGCGTGGATGTCCCTGATATTGTTTACAAGTGCAGGGAAAATCTCCTCTTTCACGGTTGATTTTCCGGGTCCTGTAATGTCCCTAATTTCTTTACTTTTGTCATCCAGATGCTGTTGTGATGGCTCATCCTTCGCATCTAGTGGCCCTTGAACACCCCCTGGTACCTTTTGTTGTCCTTTCAACCCCTTCATCGTTCTTTGTAACGTTAAAAACTGCTCCAGTGATTGTTGATCAGGACTCGTTTGAACTCCCAGGCCAAGTATTCCTGCTATATTTCTTAATTCCTCTGCAGCCAGGACTTTTATAAAACTCCATGAGGATTGAAAAACAACAGTTGGCCATAAAACATTTCGGATTTTGTATACTAATCGGTGATCGACGGGCTGTGTGACCCAGGATATTGCATCGTCAGAAATTTCGATACTGATATACATTAGTCTCAACCCATGTAATTTAGCGGCGAGCGACTTACCCTGATCTTTCGAATGACGGTGGAGGAATTGAAGGAAAGTCAATATCGAGCCAAATCCTTCTGCTTTTTAGATTCTTTCCAGTAAGTACAACGACCAGACTATTGCAAGCAACATCCCGCATCATGTCCGCCAAGTCAACTGAAGAATATCAGTAACCATAACTAGTAATTTAAATGAGTTGAGCAGCAGACGAAACCCCTAATTTTATTCATAAGCTTTGTATCCTGGCTAATCTTGATGAACTCTTGGAATTCTGGATCAGTTCCTTTATAAGGAATAGTAGGCAGCTGTTTCGTGGTGCCAAGGAAGGGTATAAATAATGGTGGTTCGGCCTCTTGCCACTCCTCCTCCGGTATGTGTTTCGATGCCTCCTCAGCAGCCTTGTCTAAGGGACCGAGAACTAGTCTGGTGTAAACTTCAAAGCAGACATATACCACCATAAAGCTGATGGCGACGTTTCTAAATAGCATCAGCACATATACTTCCTGCAGACAGACTCCGAGCATGTATACCTCATTCTAATGGGTGATTTCCGGAAGCGAACCACATGTGGATTTGACGCCGTTCCTGCGTATCTCGGAGCATTGCTGCGCATAGATAATGGATTCGCAGCAAAACGGCCAGGTCCTGATCTCGCCCGTACATTTGTTGTCCACGTACTCGTCAACCGGGGTTTAATCAATCGGAACATCGTGAGGGGTAGAAGTCAAGGCCCGCCTTCGAGTTGGCGAGCCCTTGATGGCGAAAATCTGTGGCGAAATGAATAGATTCTCGGGGACCACGAATGCGATGGCGATGCGAGATCCAGTAGAGTCTATGGGAGGGAATCGTTGATGATCAAATAATAGTCGTTGGGTACGTGTGAAAGTTGAAGATATTTGGTAGCAGAGCACAAGAGCGCAAGATGGATGAGGTAGATGGTCTAAAAATACTGAGTCGGCATTGTACCCATTTATCTCCGAATAAAGCAAATAAACACTCATACACAAGGAAGGCCTTTGATGACAAAATTCCCAAATTTGGGTCAATAATACGGTAATATCGAACAATAAATAGCTTCAATGGGTAAATATTTGATATAATTACAATTAAATATAGTACTACTACGAGTATGTATCTCAAGAGTTCCCAAAAACATTACCTAAGAGCCTTCAAACAATCTTCGATATGTGATCTGGAACTTTTTTGGACATCATGAATGCATATTCTATGATACCAGCCTAATTCGAAAGTGGTTAGCGTCTAACCTGTGCTTAGCTTGGTACAAACACCTTGAGGTTATCAGCGTCGACGCTCTCCCAGAAGATCACCTTAGTATGAGCCTCTCATATCAAATTAACAAAACTCATCAACAAATATGAAGCTCTCCTCCAGCTTCCTTTTGCCATTACTGGCCAGTACAGTTTGTGCTGCATCAGATTCCGCTCTTGCCTATATCCTCGAAGGCCAACAAAAGCCAAACAACCTCATATCACCTCCAGCTCTTTCTCCAAATGAAGCACGACTCGTCCTCGCACAAAGATTGGGCGTATCACAATTTCACGATGTCGGATCGGTTGGCAGTGAGGCCATTAAATACATCAATAAATTTGGAGGTCAACGGAAATCATTATTCAACGATGCGCCAAAAGACAGGGCGGCTGAGTTGGTTATCATCGTTGAGGGTGTATCCGAAGAGACGGCTGGATCACTACTAAACTCGTTATCTTCTATCAAACCAGCATTCACAATCTCAAATCCGCCTACAGCTAGGACGACAGAAAAGTTGGCGGATGATTTGGAATTGCAAGTCGGAAAGGCGAAGGATTGTACCCTCGACGATGCTATCAATCCATTCGCAGATCAATGTTGGAATGGAAAATCAAAGATTATGCACCTTGACTTGAACAGAAAATCCGAGGTATGGGAATCGTTCTATTCGTGATGTTAATGGCTAATGTTTGCGACAGCACAAGGAGTTCATCAACACATCTTACGAACGATTGACCAAATTCGCCTCAAAAGCAGAAATGAACGTTATCGTCGTTCTCATGCCTGAATCCCGCAGAGGTAGCGGCTCTTACGTTTCTTATACTAGGCCCTCACAAAAGAAGCTCTCTAGCAGACAACAATTCGAAGAACCAATGGCTGAGTTTGTCGACCACCAAGTACAAGAAGCCTCAAGTTCCAATTCTTCCCGCAACAACAATACCGTCATCAAGACAACTCTCCCCGTTTGCCACGCTTCCTTGGATTCTTGTATCTCTTCTACCAATAACTGCTCATCAATGGGCGCTTGCTACAAGAAATACACGTCCCAATCTGGCGATTGTTTCGCCTGTAGATGTGGCGTTGATTCAGGACGTGGAGGATCCGCTTGTCAAAAACGAGATATCAGTGGACCATTCTGGTTAATTTTCATTTCCAGTCTCGTTCTCGTTGGACTTGTTTCTTGGGGAATTGGTATGCTATATAGCACTGGTGATGAAAAATTGCCAGGTGTTATTGGTGCTGGTGTTTCTTCCGGCAAGACGAGATAAATATTTGTATGAATTCTAGAAAATATGTATGCTTAGGATCGAAGGTTGAGAAGTTCGAAGGGCTTTCATTTTATCAGGGTTGGCGTTTCATATGAAGAGGGAGATCGAGAGACTTGTATTTGTTTGTCTGGGCTGGCTGTATAGTGGCCGGTGTATAGACACGGCTTGTCACTTATTTATAGCAATAAAATTTTATCAGTCCCTATTATCCTCTCAAGAGGCCGCATATGGATAATTTAATCTGTTTTTCATCTCATCCATGTGCTTTTGAAGATGTATTTGCTCACATTCTTTCAACCAAGTGGTGGCTCAGGATAAATGGCTCTGCTAGAATTTATGGGTGGCATTTCTTATAATTTCTCGCCACTTTCTACTATCACCACCATTCGTATTCATGTTCAACCTCGGGAATTCAATCTTTTATCACCTTTGTATATACTGAAGTGCGGAGGTATGCATGGGAGTCTGGCTGCGTTGGTGGGTGGGGGGTTGTAGGACATGAGATGAGGATTATAACGGGAGATTGTATTATCTCCTTGAGTATAGGAAGAAGATTTCTGAGAGAGAATTATGGTCGCAACTTGAACTAAATGACGGCGAATTTGAGTTGTAAAAGGCTTGCAATGGAGAGGTCGCATGTAGAGTGATATATGTTATCAATCGAGGTCTACATGCTTTGAGCAACCGTTCTTCTCAGCGGGGGTTGTTTTTCAAATCTTATTAAATCTCTTTTCGATTGTTGATTTTGCGCTGTTATTGCTTTTTCACTGAATGAATGACAACACTTTTCAACGGTTGCCGCCAGTAGCTGTGAAAACTTTGACACTTGCACTTATGTTGCCCTTCATCTTACCCATACAAAATTATAACTCGATATTTTAGTCTTTAGCATCCGCTTTAGCTCTCTTGATGAAAACGCATCAACAAACCGCGGAAAGAGGTGTTGTTGTTCATCTAAGCTCTCCATGTTTTCAAGAGAAGGCGATTTTTATATAGTCATGGGAGGGTACTAGAGTGTAATTAATTTGTGGTTAGAGCTCATTCTTATTAGAGTATCGTTCCAATTAATTCGACTACGGTCTAAAAAATAAAGTGGGTGTGGCGATGTGTGTTCCATTTCCTAGGTTTCATTCTCGGATTTACTAGAGATATTATAAGTGTGGGAACAGATCAATCTTTTCATATAAAACAAGAGTTAGATGTCTCCTAAGTATCAGCAAACCCCCGAAAGATTGGTGCGTGGTGAGCCATAGGGCAATTACTCGAGTTCCAGGCTTTTGCACAATCTAGTGTTTGTATAACGAAATTCCCGTCGACGACTGGACTTTCCTTGGGTTGTTATAATATAAAATGGGAATTGATAATAGCGTTGAGATGTGGCCGAGAAATTGACAGTGATCGATCTATGACAACGGTTCTGATGTTTAGCAATGATAATGAGAGCTTCATCTATCGACTTTTGGGTGTAAATCTCTTTCTTGATAGAGACGATGTATGATGGAATGACTTCTGGAAAGACCAATGGGAGCCAGGGCCTTGTGAATACATTTCTCACTTTTTCTTAGAATGTAGATGAAGATACAAGAAGTGGAGGAGGTAAATCTTTTATATAGCATCCGCGACAATACGATGTCGTTCAATTCCTGGATGTATACAGAGGACATTAGAGCCGTGGATTTTGCATGAGTGCAAGGCAGCACGATATGAGATTTGTGGACTCTAGTATCATTCGTTTTAACCCGCTCCGACTAAACTTCCTTCCATTTCCATTCAATCTACCAGAGCAGACCAGACACACATAGCTTACACATCTCAAGCGATATAAGCCCACTATTCTTCTCTCTGCTAGATTCTCCATGCACGAAACCAACTGGATTGGAAGGAATCATTATGTGTCATGGAGCTATTGTTGAAGGCTCATTCCGCAACGTGCAATAAATCTTAATGGAACTTCTCTTACCTGCCACGTGGGAGTAAACGAGTGTTTAACTCCAATAACAAGAAGCATATCAATTAATCGACAATGTGTATTCACTGATACATCGGTGGTAATAACATATCCTTTCATCGTCGAGAAAATCCCAAAGTTACTGAAATGCATCATCCTTCTCAGTGGAGTTTGCACCAAGGGAGCTTGCGCACTTCTTTTCGGATCATCTGATGCTTGATTCTCCTGTCTGTGGTGTCCTCGTAATTTGTCCGAAGTTGTAGTTATATTTTTAGAGACACGTAGGTTTATATACTTGAGATTGGGAATCTTCTGTGGTGCAGGATCGACGAAATGGATATGTGTAGTGGGAATTTCTGGAGCTTTGGAGTAGATTTGGGTTTGAAGAAGTCGAGGAACATGCATGCCTTTGATTGACTACACTATAGAATTGTTGTTCTTTTGATTTTGTGTCTAGATATTCTATCTCACCGCGCTGGATCAATGTGTATAAAGCCATCGATCTACAAATGGGTTGAGTTCCATCAAGCACTGCTATTCAATAAAGAACTAGGGAAAGTAGGCACGCCTACATTCATCCCGGTATCGCATTGGGATTACTCATGTGAAATGAAGTTCCACTTACATCAAGCTCTGTTTCTCGCGACAGTCATACTTCTCCTTCCCCCTAATTTTCTCATCTAGTTACATTTCATCACATCTACACTATCATTGCTATCTTTCCACTGCCAGAAGTACAGTTCATCATCAACTTCCTTATGGACACAATCACCACACGTTTTTTTCATTCGCCTATCAAAATTACTACAAGTGGCTCATATTGGAAACTTATGCACAGAATTACATCATTCTAGCTCTCGCCTACCAGAATGGGTCCGTTGCCTATGTGAAGTTTTGATGCCTTTTTTCTTGGATGATAGACGCCTCTTTATACTACCACTTGAGGATTGAGCCTCACTTTGATAGCTTCACAAATGACTCATCCTCCTATCCAAAGTAATCTAGCTCAAGCTTTGGGCTATTGGTATAATATTTACCCCGCATCTTCAGTTTCATATCAACAGTCGGGTGGTGACTGCTTATGAGTTTCAGGTGTGTATATCCACTATAGACTCCAGAAAATACGTAGTTAAAGATAACGGAAGTTAAAACAACTAGACCATTCTGAAACTAAGCATCTCTTGTGCGACTTTCCCCGTTTACGGACAGCTTCCTAGAAATCTTCGTGGATGCAAACGTCCTTTCTTCACCATCGAACGGTCATATTATGCAGTAGAATTGACTTCGGAAAGGATTAGAGCTACATCCGTGTTTGCTCAAACTAGGCGATGATACAATTCTAAAGGTTCATATATATCTAGAAGAGATTTCTCCGTCTGTGAAAACTACACATTCACCGATGAATTCTCAAGCGAAATGACAGCGTGACCATAGCAAAGTACGGCGTGATGACAATGCTTGATAGACTACCATGAGAATTCTCGAATTTGTATACTAATTCATTCTGTCTTTGATTAAAATTTAAATCTTAATATTGGTATCGAGACCCCAAGGATCTAATCTTGATCACGCGGTGGGGTTAGCTCCCATTTGTCATATAAGGAGGAGAGATGTTAAAGAGGGACTGAAGTTCTGTATATCCAATGAAAGAAAAAAAATAAGTCCATCACAATCTCAAGGCTCAAATTCATTTCTAGAAACTTCTCTACTCAAGCCTACCTATCACTCATTAATATCCGACTCTCAGTACACTCACCAGTCGTCAAAGTATCGTGCGTATATACGTGACACATCGAACCCCCATTCACAAACGAACGAATAATCAAGTAATTCAAAATAACAAAATAATTCTACCAGCAAGAGATATGCGATAATTGATCTTCAACAAGTATTTCAACAAGTAACATCACATTCCAGGTTAATAGATAGATATACAAGATCTATCCAAGCAATTCCAACAACATATACAATTTAGCAACTCCAGTAGAGCTTCAAACCTGATATGAATGTAGATATCCTCCTTATTCACTCCTATCTGCAATTCAATTCTGGAGCCAAATGTATATATATATATATGAAGAATCAAACACAGGATCCTCACGCGAATATAGTCGTATATACAAACTCAATGAGTAGTTCAAATATTCAACATCTCTTCCCTCGAGTACTTTTATTACCATACATTATTAGTTATACAGATGACCCAATCCATTTTCTGCTTCCGTGTACTATTCTGTTTGCACTACCCAGTTTTATTGAAAGATAGCTATTATATATCTCATGTTTGTTGTTCGCTCGTATATGATACAAGATTGCTATGTAAGTTTTCATCTATGCAAATTCGATGGATATAGATGTGTTTTTTTACTTTGGACTGGCAGTATATTTTATCATTACTAGCCTTAGTGTTTATTTCTCTAACTCATTCTTCTTCTTTGTTGTCATTATCATTATCATCATCATCACTTCACCAAAATCCACTCCCTTGAATCCATACAACTCCCAAATATCATAAGTATTTCCCCAGGCTCTTTCCCCAAAACTTCAACACAATAAGTTCATCATTTACCTCTACTTCAATTATCGCATCTCCATTGAATCTCAGATCAGAAATGACTTGTAATATCTTTAAATTCTATAAAGGGTATCATATCGCACATTATATACCTCCATTCCAGGTACACCCGACATCATCCTCCCAAGTTTTCGCTAACGCTATCCAAACATCTCATTCAGACATCCAGCTACATCCAAGTCCAATCCAGAAAAGTTAACCCACGAGCTAGACTAATCCAAAAGCCCATCTACCTATCCATCTCCAATCAAAGCCAGATCCACACCAGCACTCTGCTTCTAAAGCTCAGCGCGGAATTCATTCGCAAATTCATATGTTCGTAAGTTCATCCGATCATTCTTCTCTTATCCCTTGCGGCGGAATAGCATTTTCGGGGCCTTGTCCTGGAATGTCTATTTCTGCCTCTTTCTCCCTTTCCGTTTCCTTTCCCTTGCCTTTATCCACCGCAGGGATTTTATTATTTTCCACTACTCCAATCGAAGCATTCCTCGCATGCGTCCTCTGTGCCTCCATCCCAGCAGAACTTGACGCGTTCCCTCCATCTCTACTGCCTAAACTTAGTCCCCTTAATCTACCCCCCACAACCCTATCCAAAAATCTTCCTTCCTCCCTCTTCCTCCTCTCCTCTTCCTCCAAAAACTTCCTCTCCTTTTCGGCACTCTCACTCTTATCCCTTGCATCCTCTTCTCTCCTTCTCACTTCCTCCTTATCCAACATTTTATCTCTCCTCCTCACCACTTTCCCCACCACTTTCTTTGCTCTCTTCCTCGTCTTCACATATGCTTCTAGTCCCACCAATACCGCATACGATCTCGAAATGCTTACTCTTCCCATATCACAACCTTCTCCTTTGAGATTCTTAACAAAAGCGCGGAAATTAGAGACGGGAGGTCTATAATGTCCACTTAATGGACTAAGTTTTGTCAATCTTCCATCTTTGATTTTGATCAACCCAGCTGCACTAATTCGACTGCCGTGAAGAAAAGAAGAATGTTGAAATGCGCCAGATTGTTTAATTCCAACATAAAGACGAAACGAAGTATCGGCTACAAAAATCCAGGTATTCTTCTTAACCGAACCACGAAGGAGTTTATTGAAGATGGTAGATGCGGACATGTGGGAAATCTTTTTCATGCCCTGTGCGTTGTCATATTCGGGAGATGCGTATTTAGACGCGCGGGATTCTTCTTGTTCGGCTTCGAGTTTTTGTTCTCGAGTTTGAGATTGTGTGTGGATATGTGGATGTGAGTGATGATGGAGAGGAGATTCATCGCTGGAACTGTCACTGTCGGATTGCCCTTCGTTATCTGCTTCACCGCTTAATGGTGTAAAAACAGGCGTATCGTCATCATTTCTCACGATTCCTTTGATACTGTCCCTCCACTCCGTTGTCGTATCAATCCTTTCGCCGTTCTTGGCCCAACGTAATCTTCCATCTCCATCAATTTTGACCAAGTAATCCAATCTCTCCTCCTTACTCAAATATCTCACTTGTTCTCTATCCAGCCTTTCCCTCGGACAACCTTGACAATCAATAAATCTTCCCTCTCCATAATCCAACCAATAAAAGAAATTCTCATTCGTATTTGCCTTCTTCCATTCCCCGTGGTACGTACGAAGGTTCGAGCCATACCTATGTTTAAGATCGACCATCTCAAGAAAATATTGCAAATCCATTATTTTCGCTGCTTTTTGTCTTGCTGCCTTTTCTTCCATTCGACGTTTTCGTTTTGCGGCACGTTCTTCTTCATTCAGCTCTTCAGAATCTTCATCACTTTCTTCATCTGATTCCTCATCTCCACCTGCTCTTCGAGCTATCATGCCAATTTTCTTCCAATTTTCTCGGGCGTGAGAGGTTCGATTTTGTGTTGTTGCTATTGAACTTCCCATTCCTTCTGTATGTATCGACGGTTCTCCCTCAACATCAAAACTCCTACTGCCTCTTTCTCTCTCCCCACTATCTCTCGCTCTCGGTGTCGTCAAATTTCTATACCTAGCCTCCTTAACAGCTTCCACCCATCGAGTCCCAACATCCAATCTTTTTCCTTCCAGAATCCTCCGTTCCCTATGTCCTCTATAATTTCTTTGGATAAGTTCTGCGGCTTTCCTCCTTTCATTTTCACTCAGATTTGGATTTTCACTCAACCGTCTCGCGATACCTTCGACCTCTTTTTCTTCTTGGACATGATTGATTTCTTGAATGACTTCGGGCGGTGGCATGGCGAGCGAATTAATATATTCTTGATGGGATTTCGATGATGCTTTGCTAGAAATGCTAAGACGGGATGGATGACGTGAATGCTGGGAATTTGATCGATCGTGAGATAGTTGAGGATTTGATCGATTGCGATTCGTATTTATAGTCGTTGGATTTGTACTCGCCGACGGCGTCGTCGTCGTCGTCGTCGTCGTCGTCGTTGTCGTCGCAGATCTTGAAGGGAAAGTAAATTCGCTATTTGGTGTATCCTCAAATTTTATTTTCGAATCGCATTTCTCTTGACTTGTATGTCCATTTATTCCATTGATCCCATTGATCTCATTCACTTCTTCGTACGGCTTATAATTCCCACCATGCGCATTCACATTCACATTCGCAGTCGGTATATCTTCTCGCACGGAACCCAGGCTCCGCCTCGATGTATTTTCATTTAAAGATACATCATAATCAGGGTATGAAGCCGCAACCAATGGAGGGGTCATTTTCATGACGGGAATTCTTGGCGAACCGGGATTGAACCAGAGAGATTAAGGATAAATGGACAATTGTCTTCATCAATTCGAGAAATCTGAAGGCTAGCTTTTGTTAATTGAGGATAGAATATTGTTCAATAGTAAAAAGTATCAATGAATGAATGAGAGTGAGTCAAAATGAAGTCAAAGTCGAGGATAAGAATATACAAGACAATGGAAATTCTGGAATGTCTCAAATAACATTCCATTTGCAGAACCTCGGGAGTTGTTTTCCCTCCGTACCATGATTTAATGGCAGATCCAACATTGTACTTTCTGCGACTATTCCAAGTCTTTTCATATCTGCATCCGGAATCTCAGACCATACCCAAGTCTTCATACCAACATTTCGACCAATACCAACATCGAATGGTTCTCGTTTACTTCGTGTGTACATCTTGGGCGTCTTGTTGGCGTAACAAGGTTTCTTCACATTTCTTCACAATGACGTTGGAAAGTTCATTCGTTGCGTAACTTCTTGCTCAGCCTTACAAGTATCCCCGCTGCCCCGGTTAGAGTTGTGGCTCTCGAGTGGCTGTATGTTGGTAGCGTGATCTACACAACCACGTGATGAATTTACGTTTCTATTGATAGCAGCTGGCCCCGGGAGTCTTTCTATGTGTGTGTGGCGCACACGGTAATGGCATCTCTTTGCATGGCATGTAAAAGTGAAACTGCACCACCGTCTTACCACTATTTCACTCGACTTGTCAAATCTCTTGCCACGTATATCTGTTCTCGAGCATGTGAGAAGTCGACATACCAGTTCGAATTGGGTTGTCATTGCAGTTGGGTTGGCTCTATGGCCCAGAAGCCGAGAATTATTAGCCTTTTGCCAATATCATCGGATTCGCTCGTTAGACACAGTGCTGTCAATATGATTCAATCTACCAAACCACAAGACAGTATACGCTTGTACTTACTGAATCCCGAAGTGCCATTTCCAATATTTAACTGGGCCTTCAAGAACTTGGCCGTATGGAGTGAGGCCTGGAAGCCAAGTGATTCCGACGAGGTTTCATTCTCTAGAAGGATCGAAAATGCCCATGTTATCTCGAATGTAGTGGCGGAGAATGCTGTGGGGTCTCACTCTTCTGCTCGGAACCTTTGAAGATACAATTTCCGTATATAGACCTCTGCTACACGATTCCATGGAAAGGTATACATGGGATGAGGCAAACGGCGGTAGACGCTGGAAAGACTGTCATCGAGTCCCCTACAACATGATGCCTGACACAACTAAGTGTATCTTTCCTATAAACGCGTCAGTGGTATGCAAGGACCCGTGCTGAATGACTACATGTGGGAGAGCGGCCTTTTAAGATCACAGATGATGTGTGTATGTGTGTGAGGACGTTGAAATGTAGGTACATGCAGTTGGGATTCGAAAATGAAAGGAATCTATTACGAGGAGATTCCAGTTTTCTGTTCTAAGAAACTATGGTAATTCAATTTGACAGGAGGTTAGTGAACACGGGATATGTTTGTCCGCTGTTGGTTGAAGACTATCGACCCGTACCCACACACGCATCTCCCATCAACTATGATTCTCCTAGGCCAACCCAACTCAGAACCCTTTTAATTTGGTCAATCACGAAGAAAAATATTATATATGATCTGGTGTAGAGTCATTGTATATCTCATTCTATATAAGCTTCCCATAGTATTCCTTCACAACTACACAATTATGCGAGAGAACACAACTTTTTGTCGTAGTCTAAGTAACTATTTAACCGGCATCTTGGTTCAAAGTCAGTATGAAAAATAATCTTGATAATGTCCCAAAAGACCTACCTAAGACTCGACACTGTGATAAGCTTAGCCTTAAGCATGAAATTTTCGAAGGTCTCTTTATGTCATTAATGTAACTACACACACCTATTTGAAAGGACGAACAAACCTCACTGCTGCCACTTTCGCACTAATGTCACCTAGAAGCTCTAATTTCATTGTCATCAGCCATCATCGTTGACATTCTCACCATCATTCCCACTACAAAAGTCTCCTTAGTTGTCCTCTCAAATATCGCTCTACTGACATACCTAAGCCCTGCCATCTTCTATATATCGATAGATGTTGCTCCGGCTTGGACATTACCGTTGCCATTTTCCAGTCTTCTTAGTTGCTCTTCACTTTGCATACCCATTTTCTTACCATGATTGTTTTATATAGCCAAACGAGACGATCCTTACTAAAGCCTACAAAGATATCTATAAAGCGCTGTTACATGCAGTCACGCTTTTACACTCTGTCTTGTGTTCATCCTTTGTATCAATCAGGGCGCGAGTCTCTTTTATACTTTTATACCCTTGCTTAGATATACAAGAAACCTTCGAGCCATAGTGAGAATTATTCAAGCTGATGTAGTCATTCATGTCACAGCCGATGCCGTGTTTTGAACTCTGGGGTTGCTATAACTTAACTTCATCACAAGAGCTTATCTCGTCTTCACCAGCCGAACTATATATATTTCGCATCCGGTTTCGTATCTTTGATATATCATATCAATACGCAAAACACAATCCCAGTATTCAGGAACTGAAAAGCAACATTGTACTTTTACGATTTGAGAACGAGCAGACTTGAGAGTTTACATGCTACTTTCGTAGATGATGTTTCGTGAAACACTCCGGAAGACATGTTATGGGAATAAGAGCTTTTAGTTGGAAATTTAATGGTAGTGTCTTCAGTATTAACTAGCAAGATCAATCATAATACATTATTGAAACGCAAATCATATTAAAGGCACTTGAAACTCAACATCTGACACTCTAGATATTACCTTTCCGAACTCTATTCCTCTAATTTTCTACTTAACTACCCAGGTAGATAACATATCAAACTATCCTCTCCAGCCAGCAAATCTCCCCTTGACAACTTAAAAGATATTAGACTTCGCATTTACCGAGATCATTGCGCGAGATGATGAAATTATATCCTCCCAACTTCGCCTCTACAATTCCATCTTCTTAATCAACAACATAACACACTTATACTCGAGCTTTAGGGACTAGCGACTTCGTAATTTGTATTCGAGTATCCTTCCTTCTCTTACTTCAGGATGTCAGATTTGAATCAAACGAGTTGTATCGAGACGAGACGAGACGAGACAAAAGTAGGAGATAAGTGCATCCTGCAGTGAAGAATAAGCAACAACAACGCCCCCAGATTGATGATAAACCCCCACGATGCTCCCCCCCAAAAAGAAAAATAGTAACAGCATAATATTCTATAAACCACATAGATATCAACACTCCTCTAAAAACTGCGAAAAATCTACTCCGGAGTTCAGATTCCGCTCTGCTCTCGTGAGAAAGGAAACTATCCTTTGTTTCTACATTCTAGCGTACATACATATCTAGACGAACTCTGATCCGCACCTTTTGTTTCATTTGATGGTGTCCTACAAACATACCATGAAGAGAAATTCGTACAAGATTCGATATAAATTCATACTTCTCCAGCCTACCCCCAAAGATCTATGCACCTAGACACTGCATTTCCCCTCCTCCACACCCCATAATGGAAGATCATTCGTCCATTCACCCCTCATCCCCACCTAGGAAATTCTCACGCTCTAAATCAAACAGACAAACAAACCATCACTGACCCAAGAAATTCTTCCTCAAAGCAACAATGTAATAATTAAATTCTTGTTGACCAACCCATCCTCCCATGAATACAAACAAAGTTACAATTATAACCAATCATAATCCTTCTCTCTTTCCCATCATAAAAGCCGCTGCAAAAAGGTATGATACCGCTTAGCGCATCGTCTAAAATCGTAAATAACAAGAAGCGCGCTAAAAATATGTAGTCTTACAAACACGCGAGGACGTCGGAATTCCGGATGTGGTAGGACTTGGTGCCTCTTTTTCTCGAGTGAACTTTCGTCACAGAGTACACGTGCCTTGTCGTATAACCACGACCTGTGAATTCGATTCGCTTCTTTTCGTCACAGCTCCCTCCGGGTTTCAATGTCGAATCAAATTGGTGGTTCTCGGAATATCCCCTGCACATGCCGCTCTGAATTAATCTCATCGCTCCAAAACCCAAAACCTTGACTTTATCTTTAAATCTTAATTTGACTCCGTCATATCATTACCTCCTCCCGAAATGTCCCCCATCCATCTCATGCACCGTTCTCGGCTGTTCCATCTCGCTCGGCTGCGGTGCATAATACCCCTTCTTATCCGCCATCCCGATTCCACCCGCCTCTCCCAAATTTCCCCGTGGATATTCAGTTCCAATTTCACTTGGAGTATGTTCTCCACGCCCAGCCACTTCGTGTTGGTTTTGCATAAAAGCTCCTCCTGCAGGCTGATATCCTTGTGAATTCTGATTTAGATTTTGATACTCTTGCCCGGGAAATCCTGCTTCATCCTCAGGAATTTGATTAGCCTGTTGCTTTGAAGCGCGTCTTTTTCTCCATAAAAGCCACCCAAGACCCGCGATAGCAAGTATACCACAGGGGATAGCGATGCCGGCACCGATGGCGACAGCGTGATTGGAAGAAGATGCGGTTGTGGTTGGTAGAGGGGCGGTGGATGTCTGGGAGACGGCTGACTCGGAGGTTGCTGCTGTGCTTGAACTGGATGTGGTGGTGGTTGATACCGATGAAGTAGCTGCGGAAGATGTAACAGATGTAGAAGAAGCAGAAGTTGTGGATGATATGGATGATGTGGATGATGAAGATGATGAGGTGTAGTCGAGGGGAACTTGAGCGAGAAGTTTGGCTACGGGCGAGATGTTGAATATATCTGAGTCATCATGGCAACAAGCGAAACTCCCTACACCGTTGGCACCAGTATCACAACAACTGTCTTGGGTCAGTATCGAAAAATCCAATTCTTTTAGTTGGTAGAACATACTATTCTGTTGTTGATGTTATAGCTCCATTACAAAATCTTATGCCAGCAGTTGAACTTCTAGCATCTGAGAATTGGTTAGTATTCTCAGCCCACCAACATAATTTGTATAACTTACAACTAGTACATTGATTTAAACAGGCTGGATCTTTCCATGTAGGATCTGTACATCCAACTCTTAAATAATCCTGAACATTTCCATTTGCTTGTTGACAAACACCATTTGAAAAACATATAGCACCAGCTGCACAACATGAACTATGACCCGTGGTTGAATTATCACATCTATATCCTGCATTGGCATTATGTTGTCCATTTATAACATAACATGTTGTTGGTGTATCCGTCGTGGCAGCTGATGCTAATAATGGTAAAGAAAATGAACAAAACAATAAAAATTGGGTTTTTATTGATATTCGTGAAGCCATTATCTCTGTAAAGAATGTAGTGATATGCCAAAGAATTCAAAAAGTTAATGATGGGGAAGTAAGGATGATATGAGCGTGGCACAGATCGAAATTAATCAAGATGTGGATATCTAGAACGATACAACAAATGATTTGATCTGATAAATCATAAACCAGCTTCCGAATTAGCTACTCCAAGGAATGATTTGAAAATCAAATAGTTCATAGACTACGAAAGAACGTAAAAGGATTGTAAAAACAAGAGAGTGAATGAAGAGCACGAGAAAAGATCATCAACCAGGTCTCAAGGAATAGCTGAGTTTAGGAATAGCTGAAGGAGTCAACGAAGCTTACCTTCCCTTGAGTACAAACCAACCTAGGGATTGTACGTGAAGGATTTATATGGGTCTCATATCCCTAGCCCTGTCAGATTTATTTTCCGTTTTCCCCAAGAGATTCAAAATGGTAGGTTGAGCCCCCATAATCCCTTGAATGGACATGAAAATCAACATGGATCCCAAGAAAAGCTCCAAGCCAAATCTAGTCGCCGACTTGAAGAAGAGCATGGCGGTTAAAGGAAATTCTAGAAACTTATGAAACCAAGATCCCACATTTCGCGAAATACAATGGAAACGAAGTATTTTTATCCAACATGAGGATTTGATTGCGAGTTCTATTCTATAACGTTAAGCGCGCTCTACTTGAAATTCAAGACTGATAAGAAAAAAGTATCACGAATGTGAAACGCGAAAGGGATCTTGCCTGAAAAGTTGTGGATCTGTGGCATAACTTTCCTTTCACCTCTTTCGTCTTGACAACGAAATAATGGAGAAGAGAAGCGAAATTTGATGAAAGGGTGGATAAGATTTGAAGCAATCTCGAAAGCAGTCTGGCAATGAAGATCAGGTTTAAATTAAGCTTGTATCGTAAGCGAATCCGATTATCGTAGAGAATGATGATTAATTTACTCTCCAATCATCGTGTAGACCAAAATACGGATTTTCCTAATCTGGCTCGTCTGGTTGATGTGAAGTTCAAAAATACGACCTAACCATGTTTTCACAATGAGAGTTAAGATAAACTACCAACAACCACCAACAAATGATGAGATCTTTTAACGCAAATGCCTTTAGAATCATCATACCTTAACATGGATATGAACTCATCAACTCAGCATACTAAATCAACGACTATTCCTCCTCAAATTCATCTAAATAATAATTCGCATCCCCTTTTTCTTCTTCTTGGAATAGCCGGTTCTATCCATCCCACCATCCAATCACACAGTATAATTCATCATGCAAACATACTATCAATATCATATATAATATACTTGACATCCCCCAATCTCCAAATTCCAAGCTTGCATCAATTGACCTAGTCACCTTACCCATTTTCTTCACCTCGTGTATACCACGCCGCAGAATGGATAGCCCCGGGCGAATTTCAAACCTGCATGAAGATCCAGGGTATGAGACGAACGACCTCAAAAATAACCTCGAACGAGGCTATCATTCCTCATGCTACCGTTACATTTGACATGGTGAGTATCCGAGTGGATGGTGATTCATTGTATTATAGTGATCATCTTTCCCTTCTCATCGTGTTTCTTGCTCTGACCCTATGTGTCAGAAATCGGGGATTGATAGATGGAAGTTCACATCTCAATCATCGAAACCGAACGAGCGGAAATTATTCGGAATTATCTACAAGAGGTATCCCTCACAAATCCACCCCAAGAAACCCAGGAAACCAATCTCCAGTGAGCTGCAGCATATTCACATGGCACGAATACGTAGCTCCACAGCACACCGTAGGTATATGGAGAGAGATAGATGTAAGCTTACACTTTGCGTCTCCGCCTCCGCCGCTTACTCTCAATCAACACATCCAAGAATGCATTCAAGAATTCCAAATGAGAAGCATATATCCACGAGAACCCTGAATCGAAGAAAAGTGTCAATCTAGATATCCGGCGGTACCATCGAATTTCTGGGATCATATCCATATGCATGTATTGGCAAAGTGCATATCGTACAAGTAAACTCTCCCCAATTCCACACATGCAACATGCAACATCTAACATCATTACCAAAAGAAACCCCCCACTCCCACAGCCCCATCTCACTATTTCCCTATCCCATCAAACCCAAACCCAAACCCAAGCTTCCTCTCAAAAACCCCAACTATCTCTTCCTCTTCCCTCCTTCAATTTCCTTTCTATACAATCCATCCATCCATCCATCCATCTCACGTTTAAATCCCAACACCTCTTGCGCCACGCGCGAATTCCCCATCATACTCATACTTTCCCCGACTTCTCAATCCCCAACTCCCAATCCCTAGAGAAACCTCTGGATTCCATGAGTAGATTGCATGTATGTATGCTATTGGTATGGGTATCAGTATATACATCCATAGACCTCCCAATGATAACCTTACCTCGTTACACGAAGCGTGGTATATATTTCTCCCAACCACCAACCTGATACAATTGAACAGTTGCGCAGTTACACAGTTACTCCATCCCACACCTATACAATAGCATAATACACACAATGAGATAAGATATTCACACCATACTATACTATACCATACTATTCCATCCCATCCGGCTGAGGTACAAATATGCCTATGTGAATATACCACACATCACCTCTTCTTTACCAAAACACTCCAAACAGCACGAGGAATGGATGTTTTTTTAATGATAAATTCATAGAGCAGGTGTAAACAAAATTGTTCTCACCGTTCCCATTTCCGTGCTAGTTATCACTTGTATAATCAACAGGGAACGATTCTCACTACTACCTGCAATTTGCCCTTCACCCATATCATAGAATCACAAGAAATAAGAGATAGTACAGGATGTTGGATTCCTTTCTAGCAAGAAAGAGCAAGATATTCTTCGTGGGCCTAAGAACTTGAGCTACTCTCTCTCAACCATGCACAATTTCATCTACCCCGCAATTTCATGACCCCAGTTTCCGAATCCGAGCTGCGGGACGTAATCGACTGACCAGAAAAACCACACAATGTCCTCATGCGACGTTCTTGTCCAACCATTCTTCCCATTGGTCGGCAGTGAAGGAGCTGCCGATTGAGTTCTCTACAACTCCATCGAACTAAAATCAAATCAGTAAATCTTATCCAACATCCTCTCTCTTCCCCGTTCTTCAAACACAAAACCACAGTCCCCTCTAAAAGCAGCCAAAAGAAAAAACACTACTCACAACAACAGTTGGTGTAACATGAATTCCCACCAATCTATTCATCTTAACCAACACCTTAAGTTGATTCGTAACCCCATTTCCAGAGTTCATACTTCCATCTGGACCTGGCTTATTATCAATCTTAAGCAGATCGTACATTTTCTCCTCGTCGATTCCTGCTTCTCCTCCAATCTTTGCGAGACGTTTGTATGTTGCATTACGTGTCTCATTAACGACGTTTGTGTCATAAAAATCCTTTTGTTGTTTGAAAAGAGAGGCAGAGAAAGGATAGAACTTTTCGGGTGAGAGGTTTAGGACTAAGTGGAACGGGTCAGTCATGGGAAGGAAGACTTGGGAGAGAAGGTAAAAAGATAAAGCATACCAGCGACACCGGCTTCGTGGACCAAGGTACTACTTGGATGCCATGGTTGAATTTGTTGACGGAAGATAATTTGGACTTTTGATGCGTATTTCTGTTTGATTAGGGGAAACACAGAAGTATAAACTGTGTTGAACATCTTGGCCGAGAACTATGGAGAGGAGGGGTATTAGTTTGTGATTCAGGTTTAAATATGAGAGGAGACTTAAAGCGAGAGTGTGTTGGAAGTAGAGGATTGTGGAGAGAGAGTTCAAGATAGAAGATAGAAGATATAGAGAGAGCCAGACAGAAATTCAATATAAGAATAATCGATGAGAAGAACTTCATCCCACAGAAATGTTCTACAACACCCTCGATTCGAAACCACCTTTATCTCCCAAATTCGCAACCATATCCAACTCAACTGATTTACCACTGGGTAAAACAACTGCCCACGAGCCGCAAACCTCACAAAAGGCCTCATAGAAGCCATGATACCAACAGGCAGATATAGAACAAATTGAGGCTTTGGGAAGACAAAAAAGACACCGAGTAGATGGTTGAAAATATCAACAAGACCCATCTCCATTCGGACCCATCTCCATTGGGTACAACCCAATCCAACCCAATTTCAATTCACTTGAAAAATGATACACCAGCTCAACCTCAATCCCAAATCCATCCACTGCCCCTCCCCCTCCGCCCTTCTCCTCTCCTTCCCCTCCCCCCACCAACAAGAAACAAAACCCAAACCCAAACCTAAACCCAAAAGAAAAGAAAAGAAAAGAAAAGAAACACATACCGGACAAACATAATCCAAATACAATTCCAACGTATGCAATGCCTGCGCCGGAGCCTCGGAAGCCAAGAATCTCTGACCTGCGAATTTAGGTGGGAGAGCCATCTTTTCTTTCTTTTTCAGTCGAGTTTAATTACTGTTGTAGATATGCAGTGCGCACTATAAACTCTGAACTCTGAACTCTGAACTCTGGACTATATCAATCAAAACGTAGGTAGGAGGAGTAATAGACGAGCATCATATCGCTCGCTCGATAGACAGGCTACCATAGTACGTAGTTGAAGCACCCAAGCCCGGGCCGAGATGACGTGACGTGACGTGACGTTGAATGGCAAGGCAATGGAATGTGGGGTACTAGGTAACCTACTCACACTTCCTCCATCCCGAGGCTTCCCTTCCCTTCTTTCCTTTCGAGATAAGATAAGATAAGATAAGATCAGATCAAAGTACTAACAAAGCAAGGCAAGCTCGAGGCAAGTATCTAAGTCTGTGATAAATACTAGATACCTTCATACATATGTATGTATTGTGTATATTCACACTATCTAATAGTCTACAAGAACTTTGGATTGGGTATCTATATGGGTATCTATATCAGGAGGTACATATCTACCTACCTACGTAGGTAGGTAGCTTCATATGATAGATACTAGGTCATTAGGTATCTCATCTTTCCATCTTTCCAAAATCACGAATCGAGTAGGGTTGAGGCTGGAGTAGATATCTAGGTAGCACATGATAATATAACCTAGTACATAATAGACAAACCTTCAGATACCAATGAATAAACATCGACACGAGCATTGATCATCGATCATTGATATCACCTTACTCGAGACAGTACATACCCCTAGCTACCTAATCCTCGACGACTCCCATTACGGATCATTCTAGGAGTACGAAGTAAATAAATCCTTTGTTGTCTACAGTATCACTGATATCATTGAAATACAGAGAGGTATATTATCCCCGTCGACGCTTTATAGCAGAGGTTCCCCTGTGTATGAGCCATCCCATCCTCCCCAAGTAAAACTGGGTATCAACGTCCTCCATTTCATTAGAAAACTAAAAACTAAATGTGTATATATGTACTTAAAGAAAACATGTACAGCTACAATTCTCCCGCTCATATATGGTCTGCAATTCATATCGATAGCAAAAAGGCTGATTATATATACCTAGGTATCCAAGTCAAGCTAAACAACTCTTTCCCTTCCCCTCCCAATGTAAGATGACAAAATGTTGCCCTATCTCGTCCTTGTTAGTCGACTCGTATTCAAGGCACGACTCAAGAGAATAGGAATTCCTTTAACACTGGCGAGCTTGTAAATTCGGGATTGAGTAAAATACAACTATAAATCCTCATTGTTAGCCAGTCGAACTCGTGTATCTCTCAACCTCTCCTCCATACAATCACATCCTCTCCTCTCCCTCACATATTCTCCTCAATGTCAGAAATAGATAAGAGATACCACTCACTTAAGAAAATACTGTAAACCACTCCTCCTATTTTCCAAAAACTTCGGTCGAAACTTCGATATAACACTTTTCCTCGGTAACTCTGGTATTGTACCCGCCGAATTCGGGAATGTGCGAAGAAGTTTCGTTCGTAGATCTGCAAATTCGCTGTAGCGTTTGCGGATTATTATTGGAGTTCCCTATGTCCATATCTCCATTAGCATTGATCACAATACCCATTTACTTTATTCTGCAATAAGCTCGGAGTTGAACATGAATGATATTGAGGTTAGAAAAGGAGAGAGAGAGAAAGGGAAAGAGAAAGCACACAAACCTCCAAAGTATCAACCTTCACATTCCACACCACAAATGCGCCAATGCCCCCTCCTATCCCCAGTCCCTTCCCCGCAATCCCTCCTATCCCACCAATTCCACTCCCATTCACAACGACATAATCTTCAATTACTACACTTCTTGCCCAACAAGCTTCATTTTTCCCCCTTCCATTGATATTGGCATCATCTTCATCTCCATCTGCAGTATTGTCCTGCAGAGTGATCCCGCTTGGGTGGATCGAATCTATTGAGATGTGGGAAATCGAGCGTGTGTGCGATTGTTGCCAGTAAGGAGGGGAGATTGTCGAACTGGGTGAGGTGATAGTTGGAGAGGTTATGGGAGATTCATTGGCATCTGGGTCTGAGTTTTGCGCAGCTGGAGGAGATGTATTGGTGATGATTTGATTCGAGGGCTTAGAGGAGGTTGGTGAGGTATTAGAATTAGAATTAGGATTAGGGTTATTTAATGAATTGCCATTGCCGTTGCTAGAATGAGGAGGAGTAATGGACTCCATCCATCAATATCGAAATGGCTGGGCCACTATGTGCGTTCCCGCTTTACTTATGCTTGTGTCACTGTGATGATATTTCTAGTGTAATAATTTGTATGTCGAAGCAAAGATTTCATGATACGAGTGGCCAAAAAAATGAAGTTGACTTTGAGAATTAGTTTAAAAAATAGCTACACTAGAGGTTTCCTGGGCCTACCCGACCAGACCACTGTTCTTAGTGAGAGTAACCAGTGGAGGAGCCGAGAGATGATCGTTTTCACGGCTGGATCCTTGTTTCCCCAACACAACTTTAAAAATAAGAGGCAACGAAGTAAAGAAGAAAGAAGAAAGTTTATCGCCGCTTTGTTCTTTGAGAGGACTTGGTGAGACAGGACAGGACAGGAGAGTCTACATTCTCGATATGTTGAATTGTGGCGATGCTAGAAAGATTGTTATTATGTTATTAGTATTAGATGGGTACACCAGTAGGTAGATGGAGGAGGTAATGCCCAGGCCAGGGTATTCGATTTATAATTCTTCAGATACGATATTCCTATCCATGAATACGATGAATACGAAAGACACGGAGAATACAGACACACATCATGATAGCAATTATAATGATATCAAACAAAATTAATAATGATAAAACAAGCAGAAGAAAATCCAACCGAGACATCTGACCTAACCGTCCGTTACTTTGTTGAATCAATCAGTCAGTCCACCTTCAACATTCATAACATCACATAGCATCACACCAGATGGTCCGTCTGGTCTGACAGATGCTGCACGGAGGACCTAGATAGAGTTCCAAGTGAGGAGAAGCGTGAGGTATGAAATTAGTGTCGGTGTGGAGCCGCTCTGAGCGATTTGATATCAAAGGTTACTCCGAAGGACGACTACTTCGTACGCTAGTCGGTATCCATTCTGGAGACAGACGTTGCTGGCAAAGAAAGATGCAGGACCAGGATGCGATGCGTACAACATACTGATCAACTGGATACTCGTACCGTACCGTAGCGGAATTTCGGGATAAAGGATAGAAAGGGTGGCTGGAGGGAGTCCGATGAGAATCATGAGATGGAGTGGATAGAGTAGAACGACTGGTGGAAGAGTACCTAGCTCAGCCAGAAGAAAGTAAGTATTTTTACGGAGGCGGGGAGAGAACGGATTCAACGGATCATCCGTTTTGTGTCATATGTATATTGAATGGAGATCCACGAATGAATGGATGTATTATCTACAAGTAGTATCCCACTTATATTCACATAGATGCAGATCAACGAACAGCTGGTCATCTGATATCTAGATCTAAGTCTAGGTCTAGGTCGAGGTCGAGGTAGCTAAAGGGGGGAGTGGATGTATATAGGTACTCGGTCGAAAGACAAGTATCTACCTATTTGAATCAAGAATATAAATAGATGAAGAAAGCGCTCACTGTTGGTTGTATATCTCATGAAGAATGGGGTGGTGGGTGGTGGGAAGAGGAAGAAGTGATGAGAATCCAACGAGATGTGATCAAGAGAGGCGAATAGTCTTGATATCTACCTAATATCTCGTTCATGCACAATTTTATTCTTTGAGTCTAGTCAATACGAAGAGTACATGTATACATACATACAACATACATACATACAACATATATATACACATACATTACCTAGCATATTCATTCTCAATTTCTCTCAATCATCAAATACCAAGTGGTGTATGTATGTGTAAGTGAAGTGAAGTACGATGTAGTATTTTCCCTAGTCATAAATTATGTTGTATCCCAAGGAAAAGTCATCCATCCATCCATCCATCCATCCTTCCTTCCATCACAAAATTCAATTCTTAAGATAGTAACATGGAACCTTGGAACTTTCGGAAGAAAAGTTGTGCATCGACTCCGTACATCTATCCATCTCCACTAGCTGGGGTGGCAGCTATCGGAACTAATCTCCATCGAGTTACCTGCATCATCCATACCGCTGATACATTTACGCTAACGAAGACATGTCTTGATGCGCAAAAGAAGAATTGTTAGCGTTTTTATAGTATTTCACAGTAATTCATAGCATAGCATTTCATAGCATTTCCTAAAATCTCCTAAAATCTCCTAAAATTGATCCAATTTCATGCATTTGATAGGTTCAAATTCACAAAGCTAAACTAAATCAAGCTTAATCCGGATTACGGGGTATCCCATACTAGCTCAATCTTGGTGCAGATGGAGGCGCTTTTGGATGAGTTGGGGAAGGAAAGGGCTCACCAGATGCAGATGAACACTCGGCCAATTTGGATATTGAATTGAACTTATTAAACATTGATCCTCTCTCTCCTCTTTCTCCTCCGTCTCCATCTTCCATCTACCGTACCGTACTCCTTTTTACTTGATTACATCCTCCTCTCGAAATCACATTCGCTTTTTGCTTTCATAACATCGAATATCAAGAATTCATTCGTTCAATCCTCTTCTCTCAATAACTCACATACCATACCGGTCAACCCATTTTCTGCAAGGTAAATAAACATTCATTGATTCCTCGTTACATTCCAATCTGGCAAACGAAAACACTCCCGCCACCACTTTTAAACTTGAGCAACATCTCACTTCTGGAAAATAAAAACTCTTGAAGAATGGAAAGCTGACCTTGGATATTCATTGATAGTTTATTCGAGAATATCATTGTCAAACGCGAAAAGCTTCTACTTTGATATCAATCTTCTACCTCAACTTAACTCACCATCACATAACTCAAAATGCGTTTCTCTACAGCAACTTTCGTTGCTACAGCTCTTGTTAGCTTTGCCACTGCTCAATATACCATTGATCCAGAAAGTGTACCATTGGCGACTCGCAGTAAGTTTTTCCTCCACTTTACCGACTCTGTGACCGAGAAATATACTAATTCTCCACTCTTAGAAAGCTGGTGTCAATCACAAACACAAACATGCCCATCGCTTTGCTTGCAAAACGGCGCCGGTAGCTCCACCACTACTACCAACACTTGTGATCCCGTAAGTATATAAATTCCCACCACTATCTTCCCCTTCCCCGACCTGAAAAGTAAATCCGACTAACTCTCAATCAGGATACTCTCGACTATGCATGCATTTGCGGCAATGGTCTCTCTCCAAACGCTTCCGAATACTCCTTGACCCTCCCATACTTCATCTGTACCCAATACGCCACCAATTGCGTCATTGCATGCAACGGAGATAATACCTGTCAAGCAGCATGTCGAGATGACAATCCATGCGGAGCCCAAAACCCAACCCGTATCAATACCACCTCTAGTACCACTCAAAGCGCAACTGGTACATCGGGAGCTTCCAGCACAAGCGGCGTTGCATACACAGGATTGGGTGGATCATCTTCAACATCCACTCCTAAGAGTGGTGCTCAGATGACTATGGACTTTGGAAAATCATATGGCTTGGCGGTTGTTTTCACAGGTCTCTTTGCGGGGTTTGCTTTGGTAATGTAAATTGACCGCTTCTTTGATGGACGGAGACGGTGTTGGCGAAGTGGATTAATCGGTCGGGTTGTTTCGTTTGTGAGATATGGCTTCATATCATCTCATATCGTATGATATTTGATATTGATATCAATTATCTCCATTGCACAACGAAACATTCTCGAATTGGGTACCTCGGGTGTTTTTGAAACTTTAGCGATCATTCAGTGTGCGTTTGTTTTCGGCTTCCTCTTTTTTCCTATTTTGAGGATTTTGAGCGTCGAGTTGGTTTCTGCTTCTTGCACATACATATTACAATGTCTGACATCCTGGATACAAACATGGATGGGCTTAATGGAGAGAGCTTTAGCTAGATTACTTGCTTAAGTATATAGCTGAGTTCGGGTTGGATTAATGTGGTAATGAAGGGGATTGTGGAAAAGCGTTGTAGGAACAGTCTAGATCTTTTAGATTTAGACAAACAAGAGCTATACTTCTGGCTACGAAATAGAAGCAAAACATTTTAAGCATACCTACTGTTCCATGACTCGAAGTGATATTGTTGAGATGTAGCGGTAATCTTGATGCAATCTATTTCGACTTAATTTGAAACTGTGCAGTGTAGGCAGTGTAATGTAGATGGAATGAAGGTTATCCATCCATGAATGCTATGTATGTTGTACTGTGTAGATGAAATGAGGAAAAGAAGAAAGATGTGCATGATGATTGATATTTGCGATAGAGTACGGGTATTTTACTAATGGGTAGTAGTTCTCTGAATGGCTGGATGTGGGAATTGAAAGATGTGATTGGTTAGACTTAGGCTCGCAGGTAGACAGACCTACTAGGAACTTATGTACTAGGAAGACCTAGACTACTCCGTACGGAGTATCGTAGACGATAAAAAAAAATGAGATGGCTCGGATGGGAAACGGCGGTCGATCGGGTCGGTACTTTTTAAGCCGTGCTCATTAGGCCCCTATTTCTTGATTTGGTGGTAGGTGAGTGGATAGATAGATGGGTAGCGGTAGGTAGGGTAGATAGGTAAATGAATGAATAAATGAATGCATTGACATGTGAAAGGAAGAAGGAAGGAAGGAAAGAAGGAAAGAAAGGAAGAAGGAAAGAAAATTATTGTCGAGTGATGCTTAGATTGTAGGTAGTTGGGAATTGTGTGGTATGATATTATATTTGTACTGTAGTATTTTATGATACATGTCATATATGAGTAAGTAGGTAGATGAGTAGATGGGTGAGTAGGTAGGTAGGTAGGTTGATATTATATATGTATATGTTTCTCACTAGACTCAGGAGTGCGAAGAAAGGGTTTGTAAGGGTTGTACGTATGTGTGTGTGTGTGTAGGTGTAGGTGTAGGTGTAGGTGTAGGTGTAGGTGTAGGTGTAGGTGTAGGTGTAGGTGTAGGTGTAGGTGTAGGTGTAGGTGTAGGTGTAGGTGTAGGTGTAGGTGTAGGTGTAGGTGTAGGTGTGTAGGTAGGAGGTGTATGAAATGATTGCCTATTAGTAGTAAGTAAAGTAAATATCACATGAGAGATGAATGATTTTCGTTATGTGTACTATGTATGTATGTATGAGTGTATGTAGTAGGTGTTGTATATAATATGGAGATGAACGGAGTACGTGGAATTACTGTTCTGTCTGTATCTTTACCGCTTGCTAGATATCTCAAGTCTTCATTAAGCGATTGAATCGCGAAGAGGGGGCTAGAAGGGAAGAAGGGGAGAAGAAGGAAGAGGAAGAGGAAGAGGAAGAAAGAAAAGAGCTGACGTGGAATTCATTTGTGTCCCTGGTCAATTGGTATTATGGAGTAGATAAATCTTCTAGAAGAGCTTCCAAGTTCCAACACTCAACCAGAGTGAGTTCTACCATCACCATTAGCCTCGAGCCCCTGACCCGACAACTTTAAAATTTTGATGTGGTAGATCTGTTGGGTTAGCCTCTTTTTGATTCTTCCACCGTTCCCCCCTAGTAATAATTTAATATGTAGCTAGCTAGCTTTCCAACTTTTTGGCTTGTGAAGATTTGATTGATTTGATTGATTTGATTGATTTGATTTGATTTAATTTGGTTTCTGGAAGTTTTCTACTTTTTCTACTTTTCCTACTTTTCTTGATCCATCCATCCCTCTTGATTTTTGGATTGATTTCGTGTTCATACGTACTTCACTCGAGACATCGTTCATACATACAACAAACGAGAGAAGATCGATGATGAGCAATTAACAACAGATTGACGATTCACATCTCATCACACAATACACAATACACTACACATTACACATTACACACTACACCATTCACGCATATCATCGGCCTCCTCCGCAGCTCATTCATTCAGCCTGATAACCAAATCCCCATCTCATCTCGTCTCGTCTCATCTCACCCCTCTACCCGCTAAAACAATCCACTTCCATAAATACTCAACCTCACCCCAAGGTCGCGAGGGTCGGAAGCGCATTCCACCCACCTCGATTGAAAATTCGCGAAAAGATTGATAAGTTGCTGGCGGTGAACACGGCGTCGGCGATTGGTTATCGAGAAGAAGACGGGGAATTGCCTTTGCCGGTTACGACGCCTAAGACGCCCAAGGAGAGGGGAATGGGGCTGGGTATGGCGCCGAATAAGAGTGAGTGGTTTTTTTATCTGATTCTTCTGCTTTTGATTTTCTTTTTCCTGTTGGATTTGGGATACGGGTTGCGGGGCTCGAGAATGAGGGGGAGGTAATGGGAGAGGAGAGGAGAGGAGTAGAGGATACAGTGTGGCATGGCATGGCATTGAATGGGATTTCTTCGCAGATTGAGCTCTCACTCCCAAAATTTACAAGTTTGGAAACATAAGAATGCAAAGCTAACGAACATGCACCAAATAGAAGAAGCAGCGCATGAATGCGTGTCGGAAGAAGCACTCGTGCATTTGAAATCGTATAAATATTCGAGTGTAGATAAGAGTTTGATTTCGAATTACATTTTGAAGCATTACGTAGGTGGCCTTTCTTTTTATTATCATTCCTGGGGCTTGGAGAAGGATTCTCGCACACGCCTTGAACAGATTTGTTCTACGGCGTGTATGAAGTGCGGAAGAATTCTACACGATTGGAACGCTGTGAGGACGGGAGTTTGGGACTTGCTGGGTGGTCTCGGAAAGCAGTGAAAAGCTCTCAAGAATCATGAGAGAATTGCTATCGAAGCTTTGCTCTATTCTCATACATCACTCAACAAATAATTATTCTAGATAATCTCGAGCGCAGCGAGCAATGGGGGTTTGGGGGCTGGCCCCCATAAAGAAGAAAGAAGAAGAAACAGACTAACAGTTTTCAATATAGTGGAATGGCTTCGTCGAATTATTGCCATTATGGTTGGCACCAAATATGGTTACATTATTGGGATTCTTTTTCATCCTGAGTAATGTTATCTGTTTGGAGATTTTCATGCCGGATTTGGTGGGGCCTGTAAGTTCTCTATTTCTACGTCTACTATTGTGATTTTTTTCTGCATTGTTTAAACTCTACCTATCCATTCATTTGCAAACCTGCGGAGCAAATTACAAAAGCTAATTCGACTCAGGGACCATCATGGTTATATTACAGTTTCGCATTCGGATTATGGATGTATTCAACAATGGATAATGTAGATGGAAAACAAGCTCGAAGAACCGGAACATCTAGCGGTCTCGGTGAACTATTCGACCACGGAATCGATTCTCTGAATTGTACACTTGCATCTCTATGCGAAACAGCTGCTATGGGTCTAGGTACATCGAGAGCTGGAATCTTTACCGCATTGATTCCTTGTTTGCCTATGTTCTTTTCAACCTGGGAAACGTACCATACACACACATTATACTTGGGAATTTTCAATGGACCAACTGAGGGATTAATCTTGGCTTGCACGATTATGATCTTGAGTGGTTATTATGGACCAGAGATTTGGACACATCGAATTACGGATTTGGTCGGTCACCATTATTTCCTCGGATATCATGAATTTTTCGGTTCATACTCCGTTAGAGATTTATGGGTCCCAATCCTCGTTGTCTCATTATTCGGTATTCATGTTCCTTTCTGCGTTATCAACGTAATCAAAGCCAGAAGAAGAGACAACTTGCCTGTTTTACCGGTTTTCCTCGAATGGACGCCTATGGCCGTTTTTACTTTCAGTATTGGAGCTTGGCTTTTCTCTCCATATTCAACCCTCATGGAAGAAAATCGTTTGGTACTTTTCTGTCTTACAATGAGTTTTGTCTTTGGAAGGATGACGACAAAGATCATTCTAGCACATCTCACAAGACAACCATTTCCTTACTGGACAGTTATGCTTACACCACTTGTTGGTGGTGCTATTCTTGGTAATCTACCTCGATTTGGTCTACCGGCTGTCAGCGTAGGAGTGGAATTATGGTATTTAAGAGCATACTTTATTTTTGCTCTAGTGGTTTACTTTAGATGGGCTTGGTTGGTTGTTACGAGTATTTGTGATTACTTGGGAATCAACTGTTTGACAATTCCTGAACAGAAGTTGGAGGAGATTTATAGAAATCAAGAAATGGAGAAGAGATTAGAGAAGAGAGGATTGGAGGTCAATGGAAAGAGAACCCCAAGTGGAAGTGGAGCGAAGAGTCCAATTGGAGTACCAAATGGAAAGAGAGCTGATTAGAGGAGTTGAGATGTTGAGATGTATAGAGTACATTCTTGAAGTATGTGGGCTTGTGGAGGTTGGAGAAGCCATTGGAATGATAGACATGGGGGTAGATCGTATGTATTTCGTGGGTATAGCTAGGGACACGTAGAGATTTGTTTCACTCGTGGGTATGGTGGGTACAGGTAGATAATGGATGGATGGATGGATGGATGGATGGGTGGTGATGAGTAACGAATGGGTCTCTCGGACTTGACTTGAGGTCAAACAAAAAAAGGAATGAGTTCATGTATGGAAGGGATGCATGTAGATATTTTAATACGGAAAATTCTGAAGGGAGGGGGAGCGAGTACGAGGTAGATGGAGGAAGAAAGAGGTTATGTTGTTAAGCATTGCATGGCGTTGCGAACCCTTTGTGGGTGAAGCGAATAAGTAACTTGATTGAAATCCTAGTTGCATATTGGTGGATTTTTATTTGATTGGTTTGGATTGAATGGATTGGATGGATTGGATTAGGTTCGAAGAGGATGAGTGAATGAATGAATCGGAGGGTGGGAGCGTGGGAGGAAGGGGGAAAGGGAGAGATTAGTAATTCCGTACTTACTCTCCGTATAAACTTGTTAATAATACTTCTTTGCTGTACATTTTGGTTTGGTTTGATTTGATTTTGTTACAGATGCTACCTATCTAGTAATACTATAATGAATGAATATAAGTAGGCAAATATAGTTCTTTATTTTATAGTCTTTTAGTTTCTTGATTTTGTAATGAGGATTTGATATTGAAGATTTGATTTTGATTTTTATACATATTTTTTTAGATGATATTTTTTTAGATGATATTTTTTTAGATGATATTTTTTTAGATGATATTTTTTTAGATGATATTTTTTTAGATGATATTTTTTTAGATGATATTTTTTTATAATTATGATTTAATTTATTATTAAAATTTCTAAGTCTATTTATTTAAAGAAATCTTTCATTTTGATTTCTTATCTTAGAGTTTATATATATATATAAATGAATATGTGTTTAGTATAATTTGAGAAGGGGTGGATTTGTTTATTTGTGTCACGGGATCACCTCTGGGAGTATTCAGAAGCTTTACCGCTGAGCTAAACGCCCAAAAGACTAGGAGGTAGAACTAGAAGTTCTACCTTACTCTCACATATATAGCAGGACAGGACAGGACAGAAAGGGCTTAGTGTCACCCCGTGACAATTTGTTTGGTTTTTTATTTGTTTATTTATATATTTGTTTAGTTTTTTATTCATCTACTTTAAATAATTAGGTTTTTTTTCGTATAATACTGTGGAAAATGTAGTTGTTATGTTAGGATAGCTAGCTATTTGAGTATGGGTAGGTAGTTGTTTTATGATTTTCGTAAGTGTATATGTATATATGATATTCCCTTCCAACTAAAAGTTAAGAATCATATTGTTTACTATATGATTTAGTAGCAGTAGCAGTATCAGTATCAGGACTTCGGAGCTTCCCATCTCTCTATCAAAGATACCTCTGATCCAATGATTCATATGTAATATTTATTCACAGCGCGTCGCTTGCGAGAAATTCCCTGCGCAGTTTGTTGTTTCGATGGATCGATCACGTTCAACAGAATCATGAAGTTGCAAACCCTAACGCTATCTCTACGGTGGATTTCGGGGACAGGTTCTACAGATCATATGATGTCTGTGGGTTCACGGTTGTTGGGGTCTCGGTTTCTGCGATACGTGGTATGGATGCGCGCTATCGAATTTGGGATTCAGCTTGTGTTTTGAGGGTGGTTTTGGATGGGTGGTTTTGGATGGGCGACTTTCTGCTGCGCTGTGTTGTAGATGGTGTTATTGGGATTGAGGCGAGGGGTAGGATGGGTACTTGTGTGTAATATGTGTTGGTGGGCTTGGTTTGATCTATTTCTCTCGGAGTCAAGTAATAGTAAGTGAAGGCTCCGAAGTCTCTGTTCGACTGACTCTTGTCTTCTAGATGTTAACATGCAAACACTGCGGAAATCCTCCGGACTCTGTATAGGTTTACTACATAGTACACTTCTTGTGTTTTTCGTCGAGCGATGTTTTTACTCGACAATGAAATGGGGTTTGTAAGGGGAGATTCCTTCGCATTCTCGCCGTGGACATAGATGGCGTAAGCGAATCTAAGATGTACGATTACCACATGGTAGATTTCTATGATATCCTGTGAAAAAAACTTGAAAGCACCGTGGGTTTCAAGTCTAATCTCCCCAGGAGTCATTCTTCGAGGGCATCTTGGGCGGGTGAAATATCAAATCCGTCGAGTTTTGCCGAGGATGGGAGATCTCTGTTGGGCTTAAGGAGGCGTATTATGGCTAACAGATTGGTTCAAGTTCATGGGTGAACGTATTTGTGATTATATTTATCAGTTTCCAGTGCCAATGTCTATAATTCGCGCCCCTTCTTTGTGAAAATCGATCTTTGGATGAAGAAGATATTCACAAGCTTCTTTCACCAAACAATGATTGTAATTGAGAATAAAATTGGATGAGCGCAAGGAATGATGAGATTCTATAGCGAGCAATGATGCCGGACAGAGAAGTTGAAATCTCAATTGGAAACAGAGGGCACGTTTAACTTTGTTATTTTCTGAGAGGAGCGAAGCCTAATAATTTAGATCTCTTAACTATTAAGACAGGAGGCGGTTGGAAAAGTAATGAATTAATGAGTGTAGCTCAAGCCACAGGACTTACTGATATGAAATGAGGCGGAGAGAAACGACTTTCGATATCTGAAAACTAATTCCAAGTGGAAGGACTGAGGCTTTGGACTTATTATGGCAAGATGAGTTCGTGTGAATATTGAAGTATAATGGCAGTAAGGATGATTTAATTATACATGGGTTGATAATGTAAATAGAAGCTCCGGTGACAGCATTGTATAGTATAATAGAAGAGACGACGAAAATCATTCATTTGTTAACATTGTAATAACGATCGAAACATGAAGCCCAGTCATAATAGACAAAAGCCTTTCATTCCCTCGTTACACCCCTTTTTGTTGTCTCTTTCCCGAGAACTTTTTATAGATAATGAACCGTTAGATATAGTAAATTGCCAGTATTTATACACATAGAATATCAAGCATGAGCTAGGGTACAAGCAGCTGTACCCTATATTCTCCTAGTATGCATAAGATCGACATTTCCACATACAACACCTTACTCTTCTAGACAGTATAGAACTCCCTACACTATCACCCTGAAATATAAATCAGCGTTCAGGAATCTCTAATTCACACAGAATAGATGTAGTTCTGCTGCGATACGTAGACACAAGGCTTTTGTGACATCCCAATGTAAAAAAGAATAAGGAGCATCGAGCTCAGAGTTCAAAGATGAATTCTCGGGCTAGAAATTGAAAATAAATTGTTGTTGATAGTCTTAACTAATGATGTTTATGTAAATCGAGTAGCATACCTAGTGATAATGTCCTTTCGACAACGAGAATAGGGCTGGAACCGTGACCAAACGGTCATAGGAAACGTTGGCACACTCACTGACTCTTGAGTGCGAACTCCAACCCTCACTTTTATGCATCTGGGAATATCTAATTTTCATAGAAAGATATCTATCTTTTGACTCGTTTTTTTATACTCAGACCCAGGAAAATCTTTCTCGCATCATCCTAGCCCCTCCCTCTGTCCTTTCTACACTCATTCATTCGCACATATTCAATACAATACACCATTTATTGTGATTTCATAAGCCCGTTTGACCTTCCAGCTATGAGCACATTATCATCCACAGTATATATTTACTACTCCACCTCCAAAGAAACAAAGCATAAAAAATTCAGAGGGTTCCAGGCGCGAAGGGATTCAAAGATGGTCGAGTTCTCAAAGCAGAAATATCTGTTCAATCTAGGTAAAAGTTCTAAAAGCTTCTCACTGCACATTTAAGCAAACTCTTTCCAGCCACCTCATGTTCGATACCTTATTATAAATATTTAATAAAAGACTCAAAAAAAAAATTTAATTTAGTTTCAAAATATTAATTCAATTTAATGATAAAAGTATATTTCTATAAATTTTATCAAAATTGGGGTTGATTGATTGATTGATTGATTTAATTTAACGTCCCGCTTCAGTCCATGACTATATAAGACGGCTAGGCCATAAGGGCGCTAGCGGATAACTTTTGAAATACACAATGGGAATGAAATAATGGGGGAAGTGAAAACAAATACTGGGGTATAGCGCCCACTATTGTATGTAGTCCATATCAAAATTGGGGTATTTTTTGTTGAGTTAAAGTATTTCAGATATATAATAATAAAAAATCCTGGAATTGAATAGAAATTTTTTTTTGGGTATATTTTGAAGTATAATAAGAGGTATAATTAAATCTAAATTTTATAGAACTATATAAAAAGGAAAGATATATCGATTTTTTATATTATCAATTAAAAAGATTTAATAAATTATAAGGATTTTAGGTAAAGATTGAAATAAAAAAAGAATGATTTTCAAATAGATTAAAAATATATTAGAGATGAAAACTTTGATATATATAATTTTGTTGGAAATCACATGTGTAGCACGTGTGTGGCACATGCACACCACTATAAAACTCCTTCTTCAGACTTCCCGGATATATAGATCTGATATATATATTTCAATATATCACTCTTTATGCATAACTTGCTATCTATTTCTGACAGGTTATAAGTGTCGCATCATTATAAGCTTCATTTTATATCTCTGTATCCCCTGAATCTCGAATTCTCATTCCCCTACAGCTATTCCTACTCTTGATATCATGGTAAGCAAGATCACTATCGATACAGTCCAAATAAAATGGGGAATACTAATCACTTTTAATAGTTATAATTGGATAGACTTCTATGAAGCTATTCAAATTACTATAATAGTAGTATTTACACTATCCTTGTACACAGGGAGAAGTGTAAGACTAGCGAACGATCGAGCCGATATCGCTGAATGGGATAGAAAAGCAGGAATTGTATTTTCTATTATCAATTTCTGTATTATTTTTATATACTACTTTCAATTTATATATATAATTGATGCAGAAGACATTGTAGGAATCTAAGCGAAACTTTTAATATTCAATAATAATACGAATCTTTAATACACTTAAAATCTCTGATAATAGTTTATTTACAAGCAATTCGATTTTAAAATAGAGACGATTCAATTCTTCTTTGATCGATTCTTCGATTATTAATATAAATTATTTACAATAACATAATCTTTATTCGAAATAGAGGTCTACTTTTATCTTTTGAGTATATTGCTAAATATAGAAGTCTGGTAGATATAGCAAAACTTTATTATATCATCAAATATGAATATACGAGATATATTATATGCTCTACAACAAGCTAAGAGAATTTCTTGAGATATAATAAATCATTCAGCAATAGTTAATACTGTGTGAGGAAATATAAGAGAAAGAGGTAATAAGAGAGCTCGAGGAAGAGACAGAAAAGAATATGGAGAATATTATAGGAATAAAAGAAAATATATGCTTGAGAAAGGCAACAATATTTCGCTAAGTTCTAATAAAGCTATTAAGGCTAAATCTTATATTTGCAAATTCTGTAAGAAGAAAGGATACTGGCAAGATGCTTGTTAGGAATATAATAAAATC